GACGATTCTGTCGGGATGTAAAACTCTTTAAACGCTTTCAACTCATCCTGACCGGCGTTGAACATCTTGCCGAACCCTTTCTGCTTCTTGCCCTTACTCATCGAGTCATTTGGTTCGTACACCTTGATCGTAGTCGAAAGTGCACTAGACTTGACACAACAGACCAGATGCCTACCTAGACAGATACCTGTTTTGAAGAAATTACAGTTGCTTTGGATCTTCTTAGGCCTCTTCGCAAGTGCTGGCTCGTTCGGATCCAATGCTGCAAGCGAGTATGATGATAATGTCTTGTTCGATAAGACCAGCAAAAGACCATACTCTTCCAATACATCAACCTGCGTGACGTGCTGCGCTTCGATGACGCGCTTAGGCACCTGGTCTTTAGCCTTACGATCAGACACGTAGATGCCATGATCAGTGCCGATAATTAGTTTGCGGCCACCATCTGTTAGTCTAGTTAGCAAAGGTCAAACATCTAGTGCATCATACACTCCTTACCGAAAGGCGTCACAGCGTTGACAAGGTTGCCAGCTTGGAAGAAATTAGAAGAGAGGGTGTTAACGTTGAAGAAGTCAGCTCGTGCTCGGAGACGCTGTTGAGCTGAGTCGATGAACTCGAGCCACTTTTTCCTCGCTGTCTGATTCGATGCGTACAAAACTTGCTCGTAGTAATTTTTGCCTAGATGTCGGAAGGTGATAGGCCAACCTTCCGTGGCCTTCTTATCGGAATCTTTGCCGCGGAAAGGCAAGTTCGAGGACGCTCGTTTTATTCCTGCCTGAGGAATGACTTCGTCCATTTCTTTAATAGAGAGCAGCTCTAGCGGGATTGGCTAGATAGTTAAGATTAGCCACTGAATTCTGACATATTAGAGATAGTTGATTACTTACCCTTCTGTAGGCTTTCACTTCTTCGCCCTTGCCAACTTGCTTTATCCGCACCAGGAGAACAGCATGGTCAAACAGGAAAGCCGTGATATCCGTAGGATCTGTAGGAGACTTCTTGAACTGGGTCTTGAATACTAGTTCACGGCCGGGTTCTGTCAACTTAAGGTCGACACGATCGGCAGGGCGGAACTTCAGTTGTTCGTGTAGACGGCGCAGGTTAAACCGGTTCTCAGCTTTACCAGACTCGGCATTGACTCTGCTCAGCAAGTCACGAATCGTAACAAGAACTTTCGGAATATCCTCCTTATCGGGGTTGCCATCTTCCGTATATTTCAAGACATTCTCAAGGAGCAAGGGATAACGAGCAAGACGTGTTGTAGGTTTAGTCAAGTAACCATTCAACTCCAACTTTCTCGACTCCTTTCTCCTTTCGATCTCCTCGACGAATTTGGCAAAATAGGGGTTGCTCGATCGCTCGTTTTCAAACTCAAACTTGGCTTCAAGTTGCTTCGAACCGTACAAGATGAATGGCTCGAACTGAGGAACGATTTCCAGGAAAATATCACCGAGGTTCTTGACTACAGGATTCTTTTGTTGCCTCTCTGTCAAAGCCTTGGCAAATCTTGAACTAACAGAGTGAATGCTAGGATGATCGATAATGTTGCTGAAAATATTCTGCACAACGTTTTCCCTCCTTGCAGCGGGAATAGGCGAGCCCTTCGAGCGCAATGGCAAAATCCAGAAATCTCTGAGATATTCGAGATCTTTGACAAAGTCTCTTTCGGTATAACAAATTTCGGAAATAACTTCTTGCCTCTTCTTTTCCCTATCACCGACACTCTCGGCGATCTCCTTGGGGACGGTATTAATCCAGAGCTTCTGTTCGTCTGTTTGGTCCACATCGTCGTTGATAGTAGCGTCCTGGTCTTTCCTAAGGCCAACCTGTGGCTTGAGGTTAAGTCGAGACACCTGTTCTAATCTTCGTGGACAGGCGATCGAATAGCAAAGCTGGTCCCTTGTGCATGTCGGAGAATAACATTCGGAGAGCAGGACGAATACACCATTGACTGGGTGCTTCTCTTCTGGCTCATCCATAAGAGTCTCCCTAAATTGATACATCTCAGACGATGAGTCTCGTAATCGGTGTTCGTAAGTGACATCGTGAAAAAATTTCTGCGCATCAAGAGCTCGACCAAGGAGTAACGCTAAGTTTCGATCTGTAGTTCTAATGATATACGACAGGACATCAACGGCCTCAGAACCGCTAAAGGCATTCTTGTAGGTCAACTCGTTCTTCGTCCGGTCGCCCGTGATTATCTTTTGGCGGAAACATTCGGCGACTCTCGAGAGAAGGGCAGGGTAAACCAACGGCGGTCGGATCTTGGCGGTAGGAGGTCGTTCACCCTCAATTGATTTCGATAGGGATGGCCGGTGAACTAGCTGCTGTGGCTGCTGCTGAAGCTGTTGTCGAGCTTGTTCGGAAGTCTCAGGGACAATGGTACTAGCCATTGACATGGTGCGACTGTGGTCTCCGGCAACAGTCGAAGATGCCATGCTCATTGTCCTCGTTGCAGTACCCGGCGCAGATGTGTATCCGTTAAACGTGGGGTATCCGCCCGCATTCCCATTCGTTGCGGGAGCCTCGTTCGAAGGCGCCCTCATACGGTTGGGAATAACTCGGCCGCTCATCATCTGATGAGCATCACGATCGGGAGGATAGCCAGTCATCGACATCGATCGATCGTCATGACGCTCGGGGACTACTCGACCTTGTGCGGTTGTGCGAGACGACATCGTAGTCTGCGGAGGAGCCCGGAAATTATTCGGTTGGTTTTGATAGGGGGCGGGCGATGGCTGATATGCCGGCTGCCGTGGCATGCTAGCGAGAGACTGAGATCTATACGGGTCATCACGCATAGCAGGGGCAGATCCGGCTCCTCCCTGATACATTCGGGGAGCTGGGTTTCGCGGAGGATATCCTGACGGGGCAGGTCCCCTCGAGTCGAATCGAGGCTGTCCTTGGGGCGGAGGGCCAGGATAAGGCCTTTGATTCGGTCCAGGAGGCGGCTGTCTTCCATACTGCCCTGGCATCGGGGGATAACCTCCAGAAGGGTTTCGCTGACTTTGATAGTAACCATTGGCCATACTCGTATCCATAGTCCTAGTTCGACCAGTGTCTTCATAGCCCCTTTGTTGCTGGGGTCGTGGAGGGGGCCGTCGCTGCATATCATGCTGCATGCTTGACACGGACGACATAGTCTGGGTTCTACCCTCTTGCGGCTGCACGTTCGGCGTGTAGCCTTGCGACGACGAGGTCATAGTCCCGGTTCGTCCTGGAGGGGGGGCGGAACCGAAAATGTTGGAGAATGCGGCATCTCGCTGATTATTCGAGGCCGGGCCATATCGCCGTTGGTCGTATGTGTAATCAGCCATTCTCGTAGTCCTAAAAAGGGTGAGGTTACGTAGTCAGCAACAGATTCGTCGTCCAGAGGTATAAGAACGAGGTTTAAAAAAAATTATCAAATTATACGGCGGTGCCGGTAAGGTTGTACAAACACCACTTCGCATACGCAGGTGCAGCTTCGTATCAATACAAGATCCAGGGGTGTAGCGTCACGTCACTTACTCTTACAAAAGCCTAGGCGGCCGGGAGCCTAGACAAGAGACTGGGATAGTCCGCAGATGGAGATAAAGGGGTGATTGCCGACACTGACGACGGACTCACCGCCGTGGGTGGACGGCCGTGATGTGCGAGCGATATCCTACTCCCTTTTAACTTATCCAGCCTTTTCGTTCTTCCAGAGGGTTTTTTTTTTCTTTCCCCCTTTCGTCTTTCGCCTAAAAATGTACAGGTTCCCGCTAAGTTAATAATTGGATGCAAATCGCTAGTGGAACGGGATAACAAGTGATTTGGAGGGGAGCGATGAGCAAGACGTCGGCATCGAATCGAATAGGTGGGTTTTAGGGACAGGAAGGGAGAGGTCGGGTTAGGTAGGATTTGAATGGGCGCTGTACGGTAATCTGTACAATATGTACAATCTGTACACTGATTGATATGATCAAGGATCAGAAGAGCAAGGACAATTGGTGTCTGCTTCAAACTGCTAAGAACTGGACCCCGGCACCTGGGCACCTGGGCAGGACTAACAATAGGCCCGGGTTATCATCGGCTAGGGATTTCCAGTTAGGTAAGGAGTTACAAACTTGGGTACCTCATAGGGTCGGTCAGTTGGTCACATGGAAGCGTTACTTATAGTCGTTAATTGAAATACCTAGGTACCTGTAGCAATTACCTTTTTTACAGGAGCGTTGAACATCGCCATATAAAAAATATAGGGACCTATATACCTATATATGTATATATATTACGTGTTCGCGACTATAGAAGGTGCGATAGCGTGTACGTCTTTTAGTTTGACCGAATTATAGTTCAACGGGAATTGAAATAATAGATCAATTGGCTACAAACTGTATTACAATATGTACTAGCGGAAAGTGAATCTACAGCCTGCATATCAACATATGCACTGGTGCAGCTAGATGACGACTTTAACATTTCGTTGCAACAGAAGGGACGCCACGGACCATCTTCTCCTGCGCATTCTAATTGAACGAATACGACAGACCCGTAAACCCGTGTAATATATTGACTCGACTCAAATCCTATTGTCAGCTAATTTGAGCCATTGAATCTGTTTCGGGATTCATCCATCAAAAATGAAAAATTAGGACCGTAACTACAGGTATCGTTAGTAGGTATCAAAGCTTATTTCTGGGCTAAAGAAGATAGCTCATGCATAATTCACTGGATGATGCGTAACAAATCCGCGTATATAAATATTATGGGGTAGTTATCAGCTAGTGAGCATTCATTGGTTCATTTGGGTAACATAGTTCATAGTTAGAACCGTTAGGTAATTAAACAATCACGTGGTCTCGGGTCAGTAAGGTTCCATGTTCGAAAGCCGCGTTTGGTTTCAAGGCAAGTTCAGCTGGTTTAGCTTCATATTCTATCGAGGCTCGACAGGTTCGGCAACGACAACTCTCTATATTCCCCGAGCCCAATTATTTCTCTTCCCTCAAACAGTTTGTGGAAATTCAAGAATAATATCCATCATGGTCGAATCAGAGATCGCGCCTAAGTTTGCCCCCTTCTTCGGCATGGTAAGCTCGAGATTCCATCAGTTCCGTTGATTTGAAGCTCCCTTAATTACCAGTCTTAATTACCAGTACTGACAACATCCTCGACAATGTAGGCCGGCATTGCGTCCGCCATGATCTTCGGATGTATGATCCCCGAATAGCGCATCGTTCCTTAATGATACCGTGTACTAAGACAATAATAATATAGGCATTGGGGCAGCATACGGAACAGCAAAGTCAGGAATCGGTATCGCAGGCGTGGGTACCTTCAGGCCAGACTTGATTATGAAGGTTTGTTAAAACCCTAGTCCAGCGCATTCCGTGCTGGTTTCCTTTGCCGTAGCAACTAGCTTTCTAATATGACGATTACTATAGTGTCTGATTCCCGTTGTCATGTCCGGAATTATCGCAGTTTACTCGCTTGTCATCGCCGTCCTAATCGCCGGTGACATGGACCCACCGTCACGACAGAGTTACAGCTTATTTACGTATGTCCCGAATACCATATTTTGAACGAATAGGAAAGCTCGGATGAAACTGATGTCTAAAATAGGGGCTTTATGCATCTAGGATGTGGACTCTCGGTCGGATTCACGGGCCTGGCTGCTGGATACTGCATCGGGATTGTTGGTGACAAGGGGGTCCGCGCGTACATGGAGCAGTCGAGAATATTTGTTGGCATGGTTCTGATTCTCATTTTCGGTGAAGTTTTGGGACTCTACGGGTAAGTCCAGACCTCTACAACATGACAAAATATCCTTACTCACCGCACATAGTCTCATCGTAGCACTTATCCTCAACACCAAGAGCAAGGGCTAAGCTATTCGAACTCGAGCGGTACCATATTTCATAATGGTCACTAAGTGTTCACATAAAGAAGCATCAACAAACTCAGTCTGTAAGGACAAAGTGTAATCAGTAGCTACATGGTCGATGGCGTTTTACGGGTATGTAGAACTAAGGGTAACCATTAGAATCGTTGACGGTTGGTAGGTCAATATTCGGTCAGATGTACGACCAAGGCCTCCATTGATGAATAAGATATTTTGAACTACAAGCTGGAGATTCATCACAAGCAAGGTTCTTCAAATATGTGTTAAATTGATGCTAAATAGGAGCTGGCTAGCTACTGCATAGCCCAAAGGAATGTGGAAAGAAATGGATAATCAATCCCCTCGCAACATATCTCATGACCTCATCCATTCATCCACATAGACATCCCGAATGTTGAAACCTAATCAGAAAAAGAATATGTCCCCTGAACCTGTCTAGCATGCCTAACCGACGCCAAAACGGTAGCGCCGCCCAAATGCGTATGATGAAGAGACGAAATAAAATAAGGCGCCAAAAGGAACGGAAAGAAGTGTAACGCAGCCATTACCAGTCCTGGCCGCAGTTTCCTCTCCAGGGGAGATGATCAGCCCAATATCGCAATCTCTATTGCGAGGGAAACAATTCTTATGTGACAGGTTCAGTAGGCTGTTCATCGACCAAAGCGGCGAGCGAGTCTCCCACGACTATCGATGTTAGTGCGGAAGCTGCTCCAACCTCGCTCGCGTTCCTCTGCACCTCTCGTCTGACCTAATGGTTAAAAGTGTTAGCACTCGGATCCTCGATATCGTGTTAACCAAAATATCCATGGGGCTCATCAGCCGAGGTTTCTATTATGTATAAAAAATTGCATCAAAGCTGAAAGTTTTGAAAAACCTACCCAGAAACCAATCCCAGTGTCTGTCCTCGCGAATCAGAACATCATCTCCATTCTGTCTTGCTAGTCTCTCGCTTCTCGCCTTCGCAGCCGCTTCCTCTCCAACCAGGTACGGATCTTCGAGAGGCCGCACTTTATAGGGGTCAGCATCGTCGGCCGCAGCCACAGCGTTCATGCGTTGGACTGCCGACCGCAAGGCGCTTTCGACTCCCCCCCAGTGAGACCCATTAGCAGCAGATACGCGACGGTGGGCAACCCTCTGATAGTGGCGAGCTGTCGGGTTGCTGCTCATTGAGGACCAGCTTGGGACTTGGAAATGGCCGAGGTGTGGTACCTCGCTACGACGGCGCGGAGAGGGTATCCGTGGTAAACCGGCTCCCGGTGCAAATGTTGAGGTCATGGGAGTTGGCGTCGGGGATGGGTTCAGCATGGACGTATACCGTGGCGGCGATGCCAACGGCGAGCCTCGCGGCTCCGGTGGTGTGTACTCGGGTACATTTTCGTTCGTAGGTATCGTTGAGTGATATGACGGCGCTTCGGACACTATTACAAATCTCTTTGTTAGCTCTTCCTACCATACGTCTAATATCGGTGAAAGAAGTGCCCTCACTATAAGAAGGGGCTGCTGAACGAACAGAAGCCGTCTCAAAATCCTCGGCGCTGAGAATTTCCAAACGGGATGGCCCGTTATAGATAACTGTTTCGGTTGCCATTGTATAGACTAGATATTTGAGCCTCACGAGTGAAGGCGACGGAGTGGTGAGCGTTAGGGGGGTAAGTTCGGTGAGAGCACTTCGCACATCTGGTCGAAGAGCCCCCTTATTATTCAGGCCTAACACTCAGTGCGAGAGCCAAAACATCAAAATTAAATGAATCAGAAAATCACAACCATGAAATTAAGCCAGATAACAACTTGAGACAAGATAACTTTCTCCGGAGGGTTAGGCTAGGAATGACAGCTTGACTTAAACAAAAGACCAATATAGGTAAGGGTTCACAATGAGGAAGACTAGTCACGACGAAAGCGAGCACACCACCACTCAGCTTCCTTCTCCAGGTACGTATGTAGGCAGGTAGGGTTCAAGCTAGAGAAAGCTTGAAGAGATAGATGAAGCGTGGTGTGAGGTGTGATATGAGGTGTGCTATGAGATGTATGCTGTGTATGCACACGTGAGAGTTGCAGAGAAGAACTGCTAAGATAGGGATGGTATGGAGGGACAAGAACGGGAACGGAGTGAAGCACACAACCATCCACCATCCACCACCCACCACGATGGATGGGGTTTACATATGCAAGATTCTACTGGCCCCGTTCCGTCTCACTCTTGGTCTCGCTGTCGTGCTACCTTCTATACAGGGCCGAGCTGCGTCACGAATATCTAACCCGTGGAACCTGCAAGCCCCGACTATGTTTCTCCGTACAGTAGTAGTATTAAAAGAGACAGTTCGTGGAGTTCGTGGAGAAGAGGATACCATCAATGGAGATAATTTATCTAAGTAATTTGCCGATACCCAAATACTATCGAGGGGATCAAGCATCCATCCTATGCGAGTGTTTGGGGGGGGGGAGAGGGGAATAAGTTAGGTAGGCTAGGTCCACTACATGCCGCTGGGTACATGTAAGTTGGACAACGGAGAGGAACAAGAGCCCGATACCTATTACGACTACAGTACAAAGGAATTACGACAGTTCAGCAGTCCCCACTATACCTATTTAAGTAGGCCACTATCCATCTGATTGGCTATACCTTATCTTATCAACCCCATGCTACCCCGGTCACAAGTAATGATTGGATGAGGGTTGGAGGGGGTATCGTGACTGAAGCTAAACGGAGTCTTAGAACGGTTAAGACTGTCTTATTATCTTGACCGCAACGAGAAAAGTCCCCTTCCCAGGGAGAGACCAGCGGGGTCTATCCGGCACAGATTGTCGCGATGTAGCGGGGTATTTGCCTAGGTAAGTAGGGCTATGTATGTATTTATAAGACAGGGGTATAAACATCATTGACACTTGGACAATAATACCGCATTTCTATTCAGGGCTGAGGATGACGATATCGTACGGGTTCGTGAGAATATTATTATTATTTACTGAACGGTTACATCAGTTGATCACCAATAAATTTCGTTATCTGTTTATAACCGTACAGTATGTATAAGGCTATATATAATATTATCCACTTCTGAGGATTGACGACTCGGAGCTTTGGTGTTCCTGGCTAGATCTTCGCCTGCATGTCCTAACAATGCATAACGGCCCGCTTAGAAACCTGCTCGGACATGATTGGGAAGGGAACCGAGAGAGACAGCTCAGCAATTCGTGATATCGACATCAGCACAAATCAACAATAAAATATTAACTAAGACACACATCTCTTCAGCTGTCTAATATTAAAACACGAGTCTTATAACACTTGATTATATAACCTAGCCGTTTCATTATAGGTAAACCCGGATTTATAGCCTACCGATACAGATATACACCCATCTTATGCACAAGAAACAAGAAAGTAACCGGGCTATGGACTTTATGGGGAACCACGTCTTATAGCTATTACATCATTTAAAGCCGAAGTATCACCACTCTTATTATACTATTACGTCGTTGTTATTCATTTATTTCTAAATCTACACACCGAATGTTCAACTCTTAGAATTAACACGGTCCATAACGGATTTCCCATATCTCCGAAAGACTTAGGTTAGTTGTCTTCGTTACGAAGCCGAGTATGCCGTAGTAGTTTAACCAGCTACATACTACTACCATTATGTTGGCGGGTCTGGGCTTTTAGATCAAGACGAACTATACGTCAAATGCATAAAAGAGTCCGCTTTTTTCACGTTCCTGAATACACGCATTTAACAACTCTCTTAGCTCGGCAGTAACCTTAAGAACGCCTACATGTGCATCTATTGGTGGTCGCCATCTGCCCTCGATCCTACCCGGAGTCGATGTCCTTATCTAGCAATCAATCATCTGCAGTCCTCGCGTGAGACTTAATTCGCAACCCTTAGAAATTCGAGGTTCTTAATCGGGTGCAGATGACACTGCTTCACTGTAACCTTGAAAGGCACGATTTAGACGAAATAGCGTTGAGCACTCAAGCTCATCTTTTCAACAAAATGATTCTCAGATTTACTATCACGCCGGCCTCAACACAATGTTTCTGTTATGCCATATCACTCAAAGATTCTGCTTGTTCATAAGGCAAAAAGATCCGCCAACATTCTAACCAAGTAGCCCTAACCGTTATCCCATAAACTATTCGTACAAATTCTACGCCACCGCCCCTTTGTCATTATATATCGTGTCTGAAATCCACTAACCTAGATCTTATCCAAAAACCAGCCCCCGGGTTTCCCAAAAGCCCCGTTCCCACCCAAACCCAATGCGTGCTTATATGCACAGTACCAAGTAGATAGTAACTTTTAGAGAATAGCAGAATAGTAAAGTAAAACTACCATAGTCGTCGTTGATAATATACTCGCTCCTGGCCTTCTGATAACCGTCGTATCTCTTCTTTAATCTTCTGCCTCCTCTCAGCTCTGCTGATTGGCTTCTCCTCGGACTTCTTCTTCTCCTTCGGTGTAGGTTCCTCCACGGCGTTCGGAGTTCCCACAAATGCCCCAGCAATATCGTCTTTCTCCGACGCAGCCGGCTCTTCCCACTCTGGCTTCTCTAACTCCTCCTCTGGCACAGTAGGCCGCACAATAACGATATCCTCCTCTTCTATACCATTTTTCTTACGACGGTGCCGCAGTCGTGAATCATTTATCGTATCCTCGAGCTGGCTAGGCGAGTTGTGGTGTTCTGGAAAGTAGACTTTGGGACTTGGTCGGGGTATCCGGTTGGGTTTGATAGCTGCTCGTAGGTCGCGCAGTGTTCGCTGCTGAATCACATAGCCGCTAACAAACAATGCTGCCGTGCATAAGACAACTAGAAAGAAAAAAATGCAGATCATTGTCAGTTTGACCGTTGCATCTGTTTTAGGCTGTTTGCCCATTTTGGAGGGGCTTATCCATACCAATTCCTGACGAAATTATAACCGAGACTTGCGACGATGTCAAAAGCATTCTTGTTTGAAATTGTAAAAGATCAATATATAAGGTATATATATAATATAGAAATTCAGAAGTACAGATATAGGTAAAGATAGCAGCTTATGAAGCGATATACAATAGGTTGAACGATTCCAAAATGTTGGCTAAGAACCACCTTTTGAGAACCGATTTCCTGTTTTGTCTCGAATCTCGTGTTTCCCGGGCAACGCACATCAACACTCTCGGCCGGGGTGCCGGCTTGGCGATCTGATCCGATCCCGATCGCAGATCATACGGGTAACACCCTTACGACGAACTTTTTAAACACGTCGGGTACGTTGATAATTAGGTATTATTTATCATGTAGGAGCTTGATAAATTATATTTTATATATTTTATTCTTAGTACGCCCCAAATACTATTATGCCAGCCCCTTTTTTCATATAAGAGTTTGATAGTCACTCAACCGTAAGCATGTGTCTATACAGTCAGTCTCCTAAGAAAAAAAAGTCTCTTCTAAATAGGATACATCGATTCAAGTCAAGTCCTTACACGTCTTATTTCCCTTTGTATTGATCTTTGTACAGGGGGTTGCACTTAATACGGTCTGTCAAACTTCGTCAAGACATTGGATTCGCCGAACTCATACTCTTCGCGTACTCCGTTGGACAACAGTTCAGCCATGGCTGGCCTAGCGTATAGCATAGTGTCAAGTACAACTTTGCATATGCCGACTATCCGGCTTCCGGTATCATTCCATTATTAGACAGCTATCATTGGTAGGTACGCGGGGGAAAGATGTGTTAATTGATACTATCTAATCGGAACTAGCAAGTCGCATTGTAGTCTCCTGAAGCTGAAATCCCTCGTAGCATAACCGGAGCTGACTTCCATATTTTCTCTCCTACCTGAGGGAATAGATCACTTTCTCCATGCGGATCGGCAGCATGTAATCTTCAGTCCTAGTACTCCCTACCCGGCCGTTTACTAGCAATGAGCTAATAAGTTGAAATCCGTCCGACACAATGCTCTCGAGGCTACCTAGCATTATCCAAACGGGATTAAGCTCGAACATAACTTCACCCTTCTCGAAACCTGATCATAAGTACTGGAAGAACTTGTCTGCCAACTACCGCGCTCCCGGGCTTGCTGATGTTTTGAATCCTATATAATGCCATTCATTAGCAAGGCGGCTCAACGTAAGGCAAGAATGGGGGAATGGAAACAGTTATCAAAGAATTCTACATCAGCACCGAGATACTCCCATTAGCCACCGTAGAGTAGCTCAGCACGCATATTGCTCAAGCCTAAACCTCTAGTCTCTTCTAGGCGGAATATAGCAACTCTATAGCTCTTAAACGAATCCAGCAACACGAGTTCCAACCTTGAATCTTTTATTCACTATTCTTTAGGATCTCTCCGACTTCAACCATTATTCCTGCCAAATCTGAGTCTAGAACACACCTCTCTTGCGCTGCCGTGATTCGTTGGACGAATATGTAGTCGATTGGGTTGAGCGCTACTACGTCCACGCGAACCAAGGACGAGCGTGGAGATATCTTCGACTTAGACAAATCCATCTCGAGGAGGCAAGTTTAGCCGTCATTTGTCGGATTTTCTCAGATTACGCACATTTAGGGTCGTTCTTTACCATGCGCCTCACTACTGTTCTCAAGGACGAAATTATAACGTCATTCTCATGAGAAGCCTTGCGCAAGAAATATGAAGACTCTTGTGCTCCATCTTCATCATACCAGATACCGAAAGTATTAAAAGATCTGAACGGTGATGATCTGGTGAGTTTACGCTTTGAAGGTCTTGAACGTCCTTAGCGTTTTAGGGGGGTTACGCTTTATGGTATCGTGACTTATACAAGACTAGCAGGGACCTCATACGGCATTACAAAGCTATTATATGCTGATCAATGGACCGTCGTTAGGGAATCACATCCACAGGCAAACAGATAGCTTCAAACATAAACGTCTAACTGTTGGACATTAGTAACAATCTTATAAAGGTGGAACCAACATCTTGTCCAATTAAGGACTCTCCCAGCGCTCTGATTGGTTCGGAAACATAAGAGTTCACGAGTCCCTTGCATCGTCAACCTAGAAGGATAAGTTAAATGGAATCTATGGAGCTAGACTCCATGTTTGTCAATGCTCGGCAACTCCGAAGCTGGCGATCAGTTGGAAGAATTGAGATCTTGTTTGAGTAGCCAAGTTCCAACGCCCCCGTGTAGATTACAATTTACGACATTGCCAACACACTGGATATAACCCCCTTTTAAATCTGCTTAAACCCTAGTCAAACGGGGATATTGCCAGAATTATAATACATTTGAGATACATTTTAGTTTCCCTCTCTCTTGAGCCCCCTGTCATACAGCATCATACTTGACATCTATCTGTGTATCCTTCACGATTATTAGTTTGCGGCTCGAGGAGTCGTCAGAGTCGCTATTGTTATCCCGACACTCTGGGTGTGGCTGGGGTTCTGCTTGGCAAGTCGTTACCAGTGAATCACCTCGACCTGACCGCCTTATGCTTCCGAGCCGTACGGGGCGGGCTGCGGGATCAGGGGCTGCGGGAAGTGCTTGCCTGTCGTTGAAAACGTCGAAAGTAGAACCTCTTTTAGCTTGAAGCTCGTAGGTAGGATTATTGTCGCCTGCATTAGCCCCGAAGCCGTATCTTATGAGAAGCGGTCGTATCGGCGGGAGAGAGCCCGCGATAATGCCAACGCCGCACTCAATAATGGACCAAACCATTATGAGACACCCCTTATCTGCACAGTTGTTAGTTGTTAAAGTATAGGTATGGGGCGCGTAAAGAAATTAGATGTAGCATACAGAGACCATCGGCAGGATCTGCGTTAACGTGTACATATGTGCGTACGTATGGTAATCGAACACAGGTGCATATACTGGTCCTGTAGTATAAACTATGAGTTAGTCTGATTCTATGGTAAGGTAAAGACAGCTCTTGGGGGATAGGATGACATACAAAGCACCGAGAGATAGAACAAATATAAGTGATGCCTTGACTCTTGGCTTCATATTCAAGTTCCACAGAATAAGCGCAGGAAAAATCGCACATAGCCAGTCAGTTATGATGGTGATCGTTGCCATGGCGAGAGACATATTGCGGACTATTTCAATCCCGCTACAGTCTGCAGGTCCTCCCTCCCAGCTGACGTCAATAGGCTTGCATTGGCCTAACACAGTCCCAAAACCTATGGCAGACCCAATGACACCAACAATTATAGTAATCCATAGAGGGATAACGTAGCGCTTGTCTGAAGTGATCCGTAGGAGAGCGACGCAAATACTGGTTTTGATAAATGGAAGAGACACCATATAGGATGCCTCATAGATGAATATCCCTAGAAGGTAGAATACTGGTCAGTATTTTAGTTGTGAGATTATGTTGTAATATAGCTGAAAGTATTAGGGACGTACACCTCAGCCCGTTTTTCTTTATTTCGCCCGTTGGGTCTACCTTAGCAAAGACATCGTCTTTCGCGCCCCAGCCTGACAAGCAGCCCATAATGGCTACAACGCAGGAGAAAATATAGATAATCTGTAGTAAAAATTACACCATTCATCAGTATTGATATCCCCAGGATTATCCTTAGACACCACCCGGAAACTTACAAGGCTTATCGCCGTCAAATAGTCGTCGCAACCGATAGCCCCTTTCCTAACTCTGGCCCAGATTCTCAGAGAGACGGTGATGCAAGAGACGGTAAGTAGGACTATAGTACCGGCCAGCGCTCCAGAACCGAGTCCTTCTGATATGTAGATCAAAGAAGGGTTTGCCATGATGTCTTTAATTCTAAACCTAAGGCGTTGAAGCTGGCGAAACCTACAACCCTAAGAGGCGGGTTGGAGATTCTCTATATAGGAATATTTCAATGCCCCAATCCTGAACAAGTACTATGAACAGACCTAGTACTACGCATATTTTTAGTTGATACAATTACTCTTCTCTTGGAACACACAAACTACGAATAGGTAGCCATGATAACCTTGCTTACATTTGGTTGAGATTTTTTTTGGTTGCCGAAAAAGATCACACTTGGGCAATCTTATCGGCCTATAAGAAGCGAGAACGACGGTATTCAGAACCTGTTCTGCGGAAACAAGAGTAGTTCGGCGCATAAGCATAAGTTTTTTTATTGTCAAAAATAAACGTTGAGGAAGATACGATGACTTCAGAGGTCCTCAAGTTTAAGCATGGGACGGTAGAGATATGCTACCACTGTAACAGCCGCATGGACTCGGATCTTAGTCCCCGGGCTTGGATATTGCCAGTTTGTACAAATTGTCGTCGATACTGATTAGGGTTAACCGGCATGGGGCATGTTGGTTTGAAGATGTTCTACTATGGCCCTAGTTGTCTATCTCTTGTTTGCACACCCGAATGGGACACCGGATGCCCCATCCGGTCCCGGGACAGAGGATACGACAAGGTTCAGGCTGTTACTCGTGGTTAGCTCACCCCGACGCAGAATCAAACTATCGGACCGCTGTCTACCATGTTGATATTAACCCCGCGATCAGATTCCAACGCGCTCAGGGATATTACATATTTAAGCCGGGGCAAGAATGATTCCCTACGTTAGATCGACAATACCTATATGATACGCACTGACCTGAATGTAAGGGAAATAAGAGGAATGTGGAATATTGATTAAGCGAATTTAGTTTGGAAGATTAACTGTCATCTGAAGTCCAAGTAGTAATAAATCTTATCCGATAGAGTGGTAAATGGACGACGAATATCGATCCGGATGAGGGTTATGGCCCTGGGGTCGGAGTTTTACTATATGAAGAACGACTAGATTGGCTCCCACGATTTCCTCTAGATATCATGGCAATTGCTAAGCGACAATAGCTGCTGTCAAGTCTTCTAATCGAAGTTGCTATGGAACACTAGATAATTTATCTCATTCGCTTATATCCCGCGATAGCGACATTTTTTGGAGTATAGGGATAGTAATAATTCTTGGCCGCGATCAGATCTGGATCCTATCATGTATTCTCGTCCCTTGTTGATATATGAAAGGACCTTGGCCAATGCCTTAATTTTATATAGATAGGCATAGAAGATATCAAAGTTTCCCAGGACTCATGTAACATCTACAGGAGTTCGTAGGTGCTTCCTTACATAAAAGTTTCTTTCTCCGATTATGCTATAGCCTACGCCAAGGATATGCAAAAACCCAAATGACCTTACCTTAGAAGCAAGGCATAAGTCGATTTGCCATCCTGTGATACCCTGAGCAATGTAATGTGACCCGGTTCCCATTCTCAGAGCCTCTCTTGTGCCCCAACGAAGAATTCTCATGCTGCCCTATTAGCGGAGCCCCTTGACACGGGAATGAAAAAAATATTTTTTTCCATCTCTTTTTTGAACATCGATTCTGTGGATACAAGAGGGCCGAGTATGTTTGTGAGTGCTCCACATAGATGTTGTAACACAATGTTAAAGCGTGTACAATAGATCTAGGTCCGAGAACTCAACATGTCTACTTATATAAAACCACTAAAACGAGAGACCACTAGATCTTGATTGATGAGTACGTAATATCAGTCAAAGCGTTCGGTGGAGGGGGTTTTATACTAGGTATGGGGTTATAGTATGGAATAATTTCCTTAGCAGTGGAGGATTATTTGGTAGGGGAAATTCCACTAACATATCTTCTTACAAATAGCTTATGGTACAATCGAGCTAATTGCTTTCTAATATTATTACTATATTAACGTTAAAATATATCATTCTATGACGTAAATAAGTTAACGACATAGGAGTGAAGAGGGAATGAAACTAAGTTACATCTACCTGGCCTGTCCTTGAAAATTTCGAGTAGCATAGTCTTTACTATCTTAGAATTTCATATGAAGATTTTATTTCAACTTTGAATATAAACGATTATCCAATTATATTGTAAGCCTCTTGTCTTAGGTACTTAGCAAACTAGGTGAAATAACCTCCCTGATATTGGACAGGTGATGATATGTGCCATTGAACTTCTTGAATCTGGAATATGACAGGGAAAGATGGTTATCCCTTAAAAATTTTTTATTTCCCCTTTCTAAAATTTCCTCTTTTCCGCCTTGCACCCTTTTTATGAGAAAATTTCTTAGATAATGCTGCTTCGTTTTTGTGTTTTATAACATAACATGGATTTTTTGATAGTAAGGCTCTCTAGGAAGGTTAGCTCTTACGAAGCTTCATGCGAGAAGGCTGGTGTTGTAGTATAATGTCTATAAATTCAATTTGTCTGCTGGATTGTCTATCATTTTCAAAGGCCACAAGTTTACAAAGAGGTGACTAAATACACAGCAATAGTTTCTAAGAAAAGCGTCCAATCTTTTCCCTCGGATTACTACCTTATGATGAAAGTTCATTAAACCCGAGACCAGAGAGACATTAATTAGGGGTTTTAGCAAACTGTTCGTAGGGCTGAAAGCCGAGGCCCCTTACGGTGGACCATTATTACAACTGTGTCAAAATCAAGAAAATAGGTGGCATTATGTCTAATAAGGTAATAGTAAGGCAAAAATATAGTGTAAGCTCAATTAATATGCGTTATATACACAATTAACACCCCTTTTAACCTTATACTACAATAACTTTACGAATATATATTCAAATATTTTTCGAAATATACCAATATTTTAATTTAAAAATAGTAAAAATTACTATTTAAATTATATGTAATTTAACCTAATATTTGTAAAGATATTAAAATAGTTATATATTTAAATAGGTAGGTAGTTTTTTTTATTTTAAAAGTTTAAAAGATTAGTTAATTAAATATTGCTTTTATTTTAGTTTTATATATACAAAATATATAAATTTAATAATAATATTTATTTATACGTATATATATATTTAAATAATTTTATTAATATATTTTTTTAAAAAATATAATTAATATTATTTTATAGTTTTAATTAATACGAAAATAATGATATAAGTTATATGTATATATTTTTTAGCTGGCGTGTTATGTTAATATTAAATAAGTTTTATATAAAAAGGTTAGGTTAAATCTTATATAAATAGGTTAGTATGTAATATCTTTTATGATTATTTTAGAATTTTGTATATATATTATATATTATATATTATTTTTATAAAATAAATTAAAAATATTATAAAATAATTTTAATAATTTTTTTTATATTTTAATTAAAATAATAGTATTTTATTTAAACTTTTAGAAAAAATATTTAAAAGGTTATTAATAATATAAATAAGTAATAAGAAAACTTGTATATATTTTGTATAGTATATTGTGTACTTTTCATATTAGCCTTTTTTGGATAAATCTGACCTATTTTCTTGATTTTGGCATAATTGTAATAATGGTCCACTGTACCCCTGGAAGATTTACGTTAGCTCTCGTGCATAGGAGGTATCTTATCGATAAAAGCTATAAAGTACCAAGGTAACCGATAAGAGAATATTATCCAAGGTTGAAGCTGCAACAATAAGAATAGGAACAATTCAGCTTATTCAACTAAATTTCTTGCTGGCGTTACCTTAACTTCAACTACGCAAACAGTACTCTAGATCTAGAAAACAAACCATCCGACACTAAACTGCCCCCCTTAGCTACACCTTTCCGACAACAACCATGAGCTCCAACACCCACCGCGCCGACGAGCGGCGCTTCCTCGACGAGCGCGGCTCCAACGCCGCCCTCGCGCCCAACGGTCTCAACCCCGCCACTATCATGGAGAAAGCCGTACGCGAGCGCATCATCGACAGCTACTTCTGGAAGGAGCAATGTTTTGGCGTCAACGAAGCCGATATCATCGACCGCGTCGTCGACCACGTGTCCTTCATCGGTGGCACCTACGGCGGGAACCAGAAGCCGAGCCCCTTTCTATGCCTGGCCTTCAAATTACTACAATTAGCCCCTGATGATACCGTTCTCGGAGAATATCTACAGTATGGCGGGGACCGCTTCAAGTACCTGCGCGCTCTGGCTTGTTTCTACGTGCGGTTGACGCGACGCGCCGAGGCCGTGTATACGATTCTGGAACCGTTCCTCGAGGACAAGCGGAAGTTACGGCGGAAGGGGCGCGCGGGAACGAGTTTGACATATGTGGATCAGTTCGTTGACGACTTATTGACAAAGGACCGCGTCTGCGCTACGAGTTTGTGGCAGATGCCTAAGCGCGAAGTCCTCGAGGACTTGGAGTTACTGGAGCCGAGGACTAGCCCGCTTGGTGACATTGAGGACTTATTGGAGGATGAGGATGTCGATATGAATGGAGATACTAATGGAGACGCGAGAGCGGATAGTGATGAAGAGGGGTTAATTGAGGAGGGAGAGCAGCTTTCGGATAGGGGGCGTAGGAGATCGACTTCTGGGTCAAGCAGGAGAGGAGACTCGAGGTTCCGTGGTAGAGACCGATCGCGAAGTGGCATGGATGTTGATTCTAGTGGTGAATCTGGTAGGGATGACCGTTGAGAGAATACGACTACGAGGAGTTACGCGATTGGCCCTAGAGACAGGGCCGTACAAATTACTGCGAAATATCACGGCCACTTGACATGCAAATTTGCTCTATATTCATAATATGAGCAGATTGTAAGAGTTCGAAGAGATCTTGTCTTAAAGTCTATGGGGTATTGTATAGATACTCTATACGCTCATCAGCATTCTCTATGACTCCGAATCAGGGAGATGAGAGGTATCGTCTAGTCTAGTATTGAGTTGGTCGGAACTCAAAAGAGGGATTGTTGCAATATACGAGGTGCCAGAACGTCGGCCACAGAGAGCAGTCGCGCATCATCCCAATATTGCCCAACGAGCTGCATCCCTCCAAAGTTTAGCAGTTTTTGCTCCTCCTTTGTTGGATCGACGGGGATATCCATGGGAATACTGATGGCGGGCAATCCTGCAAGGCTAGCTGGAACCGTGAAGACATCGTTCATATAAGAATCCAGGGGCGTTTGCCTCATGACGTCCTCGAGTAAGGGTGGAGTCGTCGGCGCGGTGGGAGACAGAAGAAAATCGACTTGAGCGGGGCCGAATTTGTTTTCTAGCTGTATTGTATCTTCCATTTCACTGAGGTCGAAAGGTTGTTGATCCTCGAGAGGGTTTGATAGTTTGAAGACCCGGTCGAAATCTCTTCTGACAAGACGACGGACTTTCTGGGCTTGTATGAAATAGTTGTCTATGGCCTCTGAGCTGAGCGTGTACGACCCCAGCAAAATGCGACGCTTTACTTCGCTTCCGAAGCCGGTTTCCCTCGTCTTTGCATATAAGATGCCTTCGAAAGAGTCGCTAGCTTGTTCACTATTCCGTTGACCGTAGCGAATGCCATCGTACTTGGCAAGGTTAGATGCTGCCTCGGCCGGTGCTATCACGTAGTATGCAGAAAGTGCATTTTTCGTAGAAGGCAATGATACTGGCACGATACGCCCCCCTAATTCTTCGATCTTTTGGGCTGCCATCAACCAGCCTTGTCGTATGCGCGGGTCGAGCTCCTCGATGTTGTATTCTATCGGGATGCCGAAGGTTAAGCCCTGTATTGTGCCATCTCGGGATGGATCCCACGAGTCGTAGCCTCTTCGCTCCGCCGTGCATCTTTGGCGCACGTGAGAAGGTAGAGACGTTGGGTCATTAGGGTCATGTTCTAGGTGGAGCTTTTGCTCTACGATGGCCGCGCCTATGGGGTCTACGGTTCTAGCAAGTAGTCCGACCGTATCTAGGGAGTTTGCGTAGGGCACGACGCCCCAACGGGACAACATGCCATACGACGGTTTGAACCCCACAGTACCGGTATATGCAGCCGGCATGCGAACAGATCCTCCCGTGTCGGTGCCGAGAGCTAATTCGGCTTCTCCTTTCCTTACGGCAACAGCACTTCCTCCAGAGCTACCTCCAGCTGAGTACTTTTCTAGGCCGCAAACATTATGGATATCCTCAAATGCAGATGTTGTAGAGTGTGTGCCCATGCCAAATTCATCCATACCGGCTTTGGCCGTCACAGCTGCGCCCCTCTGCCTTATTTGTCTGACTATGGTGGCGTCGAAGGGAGTCTTGTTCCCATAGAGAATGTTAGACGCACATGTTGTCGAGAAACCTAGTGCAGAAATATTATCCTTGACTGCGAGGCGGACTGTCTGCCCGTTGCCTTCAATGGGTGGTTCATTTCTAATCGAGGGGTCCGTATTTGCAGTGGCTTGCTGGAGACAGCGGCGCTGCATAATGCCAACCCTCCATTGCGAAGAGATCACCCTACGGGCGGCTCTGATTTGGGAATGCCTAACATATGTAGACATGTGGTCTCAGAGATATTCGACATTCTAAGCTGGTGTTAGTTTTTATATTATTTGGGGGAGTTTGAACTGCGTTACTTGTACAGTGTTTGTTATCGATAAGGTAGTGTATGTATAATGCGGACAGGACGGGTACCTAGACTGGTTCAATACAGGTACTACATACCGTAGATCCGCTATCTTTAACGCTAAGGCAATAGACCCGTATAGAGCTCCAGCTATCACCGGTGACGCATCTTAAAGCTTGGCAGGTACCCGGACGGTCAACGGTCTCTTGACCTATCAGCCTATGAGGTTTTGGAGCTCTTCCGTCTCGTCCCATGTAGGTACCTATTTAGGTACTTACGTAGGTTGCGTTCCGGTACCTGGATGACAATTATTAAACTGACAACTCACATGTACTACCACTAAAACACATCCCCATATCCATACATCAATATATTTACACGGGCACCTATATACCTAAGTTAAGGTTGCCTTTTACATATGTCTATATCATATCCCTGAGGCTTGACGGCTATGGGCATAAATCATATCATTAAATAATCAAAATGATCTCAAGGATTATCCTCGTCGCGTCCCTGGCGACAGTCGTTAGATCCTCTCAGCCTGGAGCTCCTGCGCCGGTCGCTGCTCCGATGAGAGATCTCGAATGGGGACAGATCAATTTCATCCATACTACAGATATCCACGGCTGGCTTGGTGGTCATTTACAAGAGTGAGATACCTGCATAGATATTAGCTAGTTAACCTACTATCGCTGACTTTGTTTACCTCCAGACCGCAATATTCAGCCGACTGGGGTGACTACATTTCATTTACGAGTCATATGAAAAAGAAGGCCGATGAAAAGGGCGTAGATTTACTGGTCATCGATACGGGTGATAGGATCGAAGGAAACGGCTTATACGACGCTTCCAATCCGAAAGGCAAATACTCCTACGACATCTTCGGCGAACAAACTGTTGATGCCCTCTGTACCGGGAATCACGAGTTATACCACGAAGACTCGGTCGCGCGAGAGCACAATACGACCGTTCCGAAATTCAAGCACTCCTATATCGCCTCCAACCTCGATTACATCGAGCCCGAGACCGGCAACCAGATTCCACAGGCCCAGCGCTACATCAAGTTCACTACCAAGAACCTCGGCTACAATGTCGTCGCTTTGGGGTTCCTGTTCAATTTTGATCGTAATGCGAACAACAGCGTCGTACAACCTGTCGAAGAGACTATGAAGGAGGAATGGTTCCAGAACGCTATAAGAGAAAAGCCCGATCTATTCCTCGTTGTTGGCCACGTCGGCTTGCGCATGAAGGAATTCGAGCAGATCTTCAAAGTTATCAGAGACCAGAACTGGTACACTCCTATCGCATTCCTTGGTGGTCACGCCCACGTACGAGATGCGAGGAAGTTTGATGACAAGGCATACGCAATTGCCAGCGGTCGATATTTCGAAACTATCGGGTTCTTGTCTATCGACGGCATCAAGAAGAAGAGCGGAAGCGGTCCTTCGACCGAAGCAGCAACCGTCACCTTCAAGAGGCGCTACATCGACAACAACCTATTCGGTCTACACTACCACACCGGCCTAAACGAAACTACTTTCCCTACCGAACACGGCCGCAATGTCTCTAGACTCATCGCCGAGGGTCGCAAAACCCTCAACCTCGACGACTCATTCGGTTGTGCTCCGCAAGACCTGTGGATGAGCCGTTCTCCCTACCCTAGCGACTCTAGCATATTTAGCTGGCTCGAGACGCAAGTCATCCCCGGCACCATCGTCAACGAAGAGAGGAAGGACGTCCCGCGCCTGGCTATTGTCAACACGGGGGCTATTCGTTTTGATATCTTCAAGGGCGCGTTCACCAAGGACTCAACGTACCTTATTTCGCCCTTCATCAGCAGGTTCAACTACATTCCCGACGTGCCCTACACCATCGCTAGCAAGGTCCTCGAACTACTTAATAGCGGCGGTCAGGTATTTAGCGGCGCCCTCGACACCAAGTATCTGACAATCCCTGAGCAAGTAGTTCCGCACAGTCCGTTCTTTGAGATGGCGTCCGTAGCAACCGACGATGAAAGCAAACTCTCATTATTCATAGAGGAAGACACCCTGCAAAAACCGCTATCAGCCGCCAACCGCTTGTCTAAACAAGATGAGGGCAAAGGCGACGGCGACGACCCCGAGCTAGTAGGTGGCTATACAACGCGCGACGACCTAGGCGACGACGGTGATGATGCCGTACACTCGCCCATCAAGTTCTACGCCGTGCCCAACTGCATCCAATCTAAGATCTCGTTCCCCACCCCCGGTAACGACACAATACCTGCCCCGGACCCCGAAACCGTAGATCTGGTCTTCATCGACTACGTCCAGCCGTGGGTCATCACCGCGCTTAAATTCAGCGGTGGCGATTACAGCATCAGCGATGTTAAGGTATACTCGAACAGCACCCTGACGGATCTTATTGCGGGGTGGGTGAAAGAGCATTGGGAGAAGAATTGTTAGACTGATATGGAAATGTGAGAATGATATGATACGATACGATACAGCTTTGGGTTTCACTTTGGATTTCAGATTGCGTAGGTACTTGGTATTATTTATTTAGCTAGACATGGTTGGGTTTCGGTTCTGGGTTTGGATAGTTCGCTACATAACTGCGACTTTTAACAGGAATAAATACAATGAATAAATAATAAATGTCAAAGGACTTGAGAACGAGCTGAGATTGCTCATGTGGCAGAACACAAGTAGAGGAGTTCGTCTAACCTAGTTACCCCTAACTAGTAGTAATAGTCTTCTACAGTAAGAGGTATTTAAGGTAAGCAAGTAAACAGGTAATCCGCTACTAAATAAGGTATTGTATAACGATCTCCAAGTCTACCTTGACGCTAGCCATGTCATGATATTCTCCTAAAACAAAAACCGCTTTTGCAAAATCTAGTAATCGGGCCCCAAACCCAATAGCACATGCCTCTAGAGGTACTTCATTACCAGTACAATTCCCCACCGTCTCACAACAATTCATATAGGGTAACTAACTTAAGGAAGAAAGTAGAGCTGGGGTTGTTTAGTTGGTTAAGAAAAAAAAATCAATATTGAACGACGCTGGTGACAAACCAGAGAATGACTGGCATAGTGAGGATGAGCGTGGGGATGGCGAGGAATCCAATTCTTTCGCTGAGAGACAGGTGGAACCATATTCTGCAATATCTCGCCAGCATTTCCAACCACATCAGAGTTAATGGCCTGCGGGGCACTACCATTATGCCCTGCTCGACATCAGGGAGCGCTCGTATAATACCTTGCTCGGCATTAGGGGGTTGGTTCACATAAGGAACTGGCGGCTGGTTTGCGACACCTCTCTGTATCGGCTGGAGTTCTATATAGGGTTCCTGCTGGTACGCCGGCGGAGGCTCAAGCCCATGTCGTGCTTGCTGTCCCGGTGGCTGTCCCGGTACTATTGCAAGATCTAATTCCTGTTCGAAAAATGGCATCTCTTGGAAAACAGCTATCCAGTCCGCAGGTAGTGCCATGTTATCAGTCACGCCCTCTGTTTGCAGTTCCTGCTCAGGCGTCGATGTATCGGTACCATTTGAGTGTTCTTCCTCGCGCGAATTAGAGGTGTGAGCTTCGCGGCAGCGGTCGGCAGCTGACTCGTCAACTAAAGTCTCGGCAGACCCTAGTGAGTGATCGTTAGGTGGTTGATATTGATTATTTGTTACCGGATTTGGAAGGGATACATAGGCCCCCAATGCAGGACTAGTAGTGGATTCTCCAGTGGAACTAGAGGCTCCAGAATGAACTGGGGTTCTCGTAGGACTTGTGTTCTCTGTGTCATTAAGGGGTGTCGAAGGTGATGACGCTTCCGTAACGACCACATTCGGTGTTGACACATGTTCATCCACCGTAACCAAATGATTGGGAACGTCGAAGGCAGAGCATGCAACAGGAATGTTTCTCTTTCTATTGTTATTACTGCCCTGACGAACGGCGGTGAGGTTTTTAGTCATAGAACGTGTAGTTTCGATATCAGACCATCGGATATGACCACTAGGTGCTTGAGTAGAAATACCAACACTTTCTCTCACGCCCTCTCCAATAGCTAAAACAGTACCGCTAGTACGGCCATATATATTAGCTTGAACACCATCAATAGACACATTGGGGTCGCTGATGATATAGCTGTCATTGCTGTTGAATGGAGTGGTCTGAGTTGCAGCGTCAGTGGTGGTGATAAAGAATGCGTAAGCTTTACGAATAATCGACTTCATCAACCCGTAGAACGAGATATCCCTTGATTGACCGCGCGCATTACTGTTCACAAGCCTATTATCTTCTGCATGAACAGTATAGCTTGACGCTCCGTTGGCAAACACGACCGTCTCTACAGACGAAAGCGAGTCTGATCTATCGCGGCTATGACACAATTCACTGTTAGCTTAGGGGACAACCACGATGATTTTGGGGACGGAACAGAACGAACAGCGAGGGTGAGGGCGAATCGATAAATTCAAAGCGGTTTCGTTGTTTGCTGTATCGATATGGCCCGTGATATTCGCTTGATTCGTCTTTTCTTGCATACTTGCTCAAAAATGTTATCACCCCAAGGGGAATTTGTCCAGCTAGCAGCTTAAGAAGCTGGGACCAAACCAGCGCTGGGCTTAGTGGCTGTTGTGCAGTAGTAGATTGACCCAAGAGATGTTCATGATACCGATTCTGCTGCTCAGCTGTAGCTAAAGTTCCGGCCCCTCTGGTCATATCTTGACGGTTGCGAAGATGCCGAGCCCATCGCTCTTCCATAGATAGACCATCGAAAGCATTGTGGGGAGAGGGTGGAGGAGTGGGTGGCGGCGAGAAAGGCATCGCGCGTCCAATTTGCCCTCGAATACGCTAATGGCTATGCTATTTTACTTGGATTGGGTGTATAAAGGGGTATTTGATATATTAATGAATGAAATGCTGGAAGCCGTAACGAAAGACCCAAGAAAGATGCCGAAATGTGGTTGACGATGCTCTCTCTGATACCTCTTTAATCTGAACTTGGAAAAGTTGTTCAAATAAGTATAGCAAGAAGAAATGGGTAAGTACCTAGGTAGGTTACCTATTGGATCTGGTCGAGTAGCTTCCGCCTTCTCCTTTCTATGAGCTCTTGTTGCACTTCCTCTAGCGTGGGCAACTCCCACCCTTTACCATCTCCTACATCACCAGGTAGTGACTCCCATCCTGGGGGAGGTTCTGCCTTCCCTCGCTTTAATAGCTCCTCAAACGCCTCACGCTCCTTCTCGGCCTCATATTCGAGTAATGCATCGTCTTCTTCGTCGGGTGCATACCCGTAATATTTGGCGTCAACTGCTTTCCTTAGGTCCTCGCGAGATTCTAATGGCTTCTCCGAGTCTTGCAGCTTCTTCTGCGCAGCAGCCTCGAGCAGCTCTTTCACACCAGGTAATTCCTTCGCTCGCCCGAAATACCTATACCCTTTGCCTCCTCCTGGTATTTCCCTACCCATTTCATCGTAGACTTTGCCGCCGCCACGCATATAATTAGGGCCTCCTAAATTGCGTATTTGTACCTCCCACATGTGTTTCTCTCGCATAAGCTTATTTATTTCGTCATTGAGATCTCGGATCTGGTAGTCGCTGAGAGATGTCTCCTGTATTCGGGACATTTTCCGGCTGATTTCCTTGAGTGTTTGGCCTCTCCATTTCTCGCAAGCTGGAATCGAATCTACTTCTGTAATAACCTTGGGTCGCCGCGCTCGTCCCGCATCGATAATACCTAAATCCGCAGCTTGCGCCTCGCGGAAGCGAAAGAGCATCGACTGGGCTTTCTCCGAGTTACGCGCCTGTTTAAGGGTTAATTCTGGAATTCATCAACGAGAAAGATATATAAAATCGCATTTACTTACCATCTTGACTGTTATATCTTATGCAATTAGATCTTGGTATAGTTGGCCTGTAGATAAATTGCTAGTTACTTGAGAAAAGGTGGAATCTAGATATTTGTAGGTAGGTATTTATTGGGCACAGATGAGCACAGTGAAATTTCTCAGCCTCGTTTCCATTAAGGCTGATGACCCACATCATGGTGGAGACATCACAGCTGGTGTTGGTCTGCTCAGCCAATCATAGTGCTATAAAACGCGACGCGACCTTTCACAGCTCAGTGCACAGGGCTCTTTCTATTAATTAAAAGTACCTAGGTATCACTACGTATATCTATCTTGCGCTTTCAGCATGAACGCTCTGACTTCTAACCATTTCATCTTTTTTTCTAATAGACGCAAAAATACTGTTATTTATGTTGTCTGAATCTATTACTACATCCAAGTTGTTGATTGATATAGTTACATTATCGGATCTTTAACTATTATCTTATTAAGGAAATCATCTACATGCGCACTCAGAACAGCTTCTCGCAAGTTAAGTGTGCGATGGTCAGCTGTGCTTCATAATGGCAATCTAATATCACACATTTCCTATTTGCTACTTCATCGATATCACTTGATATTTTCGCTATTTTCTTTTTTGAACGCGCGTGGTTTTCTCAGTCATCTTAATGGCCTGATTCTTCTATGGAGTTTATGTCGACTTAAGTGGACAAGTGTCTAGCCTCGACCTACAAGCAATTCCCAACGATGTCTTTACATGAATTTAGTTCATAGCCTAGCAGTGAAGAAACTCGTCACAAAGACTGTTGGAGCCGTAGGACCTTCTCTTAGGCCTATGGCGAATGACAATACTCAAGAACAGAAATCTGAGCTAGGAGATACATGCCTTTAGCACGGCATCGGCTTCCCATCTCTAGGACCACTCAGTATTTTCAGACATTCAAGCACGGGGGCAATGACGACAAATAGCACATGGTGAGAATGACGTACATTCGATGAAGTCCATAGTTTTCAATCGGAGCCTTGCTGGGTGTCTGGAGGACTGCTTAATCTGACGATGATGGGTTAGTCTATCGTTGACGTTAATAGGTTCTCCTTTTTTTCTTTTTCTTAGCTGCAACTAGCAGCGATACAACTTAAGAATGCCCGGTGATGACCAATTCCAAAAAGCCAAATTTGCAGGCAGCCTGAACGAACCCTGTTTTCGTCATCGTGCGGAAATAGGGCGAGGGAATGGTTGTCAATGAGAACTTGAGAGCTAATCTGAGGGTATATATGTTGAACACTATCATTTCACTGCGCGTCTCAGTATACTCAATTATATTAAATATTCCAAATACTAAAACTAGGAAGTCCTAGTTACCAGTGGAAGGAGACGGTTAGGATATAGGCCAAGGATCGTTGTTGGGGATTAATAAGAAAAAGGATATGAAATACTAGAAGGCCTGTTTCTCTACAACTTCAAGATCTACTACGAGGTAGAGTACCCAAGTAGGGGAGCACATCTAACAAAGTGTACACTGGCAGATATTTCTAAGTTCTCTCTAAGATCATCGTTAATTATTATTCGAGGCCACTCATCTGTTAACCCCCGGCAGAGGTTGCTGAATGTTTAGCTTAATATATGGCGCATTTGCCATTGAGTTGGCCTACCATGTTCATGCCCACCCCGGTATACGCAGTATATGATTTACCTCTTGTGCAGACGAATAGACTGCCTCGTGAAGACTTCGGTCCATATGTCTAGTTTCTATGTTCCTTTTCCCTTCTGTCTGCCTCAACCTGTTCGATCTGCCATACCATATCATACCCCGAGTATAAGGGGCCTAGTGCTAGGTATCTATGACGATGAATAGGGCACACCCAGAAACGGTACTCCGGGAGACTAAATAAGAAGTCTTCTCCGTTCCTGCCGATGGGACTAAAGACTCTTAGTATGGCCCTGTTAGCGATGTTAGTGTTGAGAAGTCCTAAGACATTGGAGGCTTCACGCAAGGCCGGGCAATCCATAGGGGCAATAAGTTGACCGTTCGGACTTGGCCCGAGATAACGCGTCGGACAGAGCCATCCTTCGTGGTTGTAGCCCCCACGTACTGGGTCCTCGGTGCCAGGTTCAACTACTACGCAAGCTTCTGTGGATCGCCCAGTTATTATGCAGTCCCAGCAGGTGTAGATAAGGGTATACGACCAGCACATTGTGTCGTTTGTTCGGCTTTTGTTGGCTTAGTCCAAAGATGATGGTGGTTATAGTTGAGGGAGCAAAATAGATAGCTGCTTAGGTAGTCGAGGAGTTGGTTTATAAATTACCGATTATTGATGATTAGGGTTGTACCACTATGTGACTTTGTAGGTCGGCTAAGGTGAATTGTCATAGCATAATTTGGTACTACCACGGATGCAATATTAATATACTTGTGATTCAAATACCGATCCCATCTTACGATCTAGTAGCTACATTAATAGGTGCTATTCGGATAGCATCTTCAAAAGAGATGAGGTAGGTGTTGTCTCTTTCCTGGTCTCACAACAAATACATAATAGCTAATGTAAATTGTAGCCTTGAGTCTCCCATTTAGCCTGTGCCGCAACTATTAACTTGCCTACTACGAATTAGATTTGGTCATTACAAGAAGCAAACCAGCCAGCACTATATCCTTAGATAGTGGCACCGGTAATAATGCCAGCTAATAAAACTAGTGGCGTAAAATTAACTGTAACAGCTATCTATGTCAAAATACAGCTCGAGGATGATAGATAATTCAAGGGGTTGATAATACACAGTCAATACGCATGTACATTCTCACCAGTAAATTCCCATATGCGTTAGAAAATCAATATCGTATAACTTCCATGAACGGAATTTTATTAGCCGTTCATCACTAACAGCTTCTGACTAGATAGATCAACCCATCCTCTCTCTCAAAGGAAGAGGTGTTACTCTATATCAGACCGTTTTTATTGTGTCATGGTGATGCATCCACCATCCCCCCCATAACTCCTCCGAGCCCCTGGGTAATCGTATGGCTTAAAGCGCACATCACGTACCGTGCCCCATACCACTCGTTCCGCAAGTACATAATTACATATGTACCTAGTCAATCACGGGCCCCATAATTACATCAGTTGAATTTCATTCGTATCTGCCTTAGTGCCCATATATCTAAGACACCTACATCCCATCACATCGTAATATTCACTGCCTCTTCTTTTCCGAAGTGGTCGCAGGCTTGCTATATAACCAGAGAGCGCAGAAGCCCAACCATCCAGTAACAGTGACACTAATACCTGCGATCCAGGGCCAGGCGCCGCTGATGACGTAGCTGCGGGGCCATTCATCGTGGGCGAAGTGCCGGACCGAAACAGTGTTCTTCTCCTCGACGTTGCTGTAGAAAGGACGCTTGTAGTTGACCTTGAAGTTGAAGATACCGTGTTGGTCCGGCAGCTTGAATGATACTGAATATGTTGTGCTATCCTCGGATGAGATAGTGGGGTTTAGCTGGAGACGGTGGAAGGGGGATAGCATGCTAAATTCTAGCTGCAGGTCGTCGTTGTCCGGGACGGTAAAGGGTGTATACTTGTCCCAGGAGTACTCAGAGAGGGAGATAGAGTAGGTCTTGTTAATGTTAGTAAGGGGAAGCTACCTTAGAGGTCTAGAAGGAAACGTACCACGTCGTTCTTAATACGGTAGATTTTAGGGTTGCTGGCGTTGCTCTGGCCAACCTCGTTTAGGTGGTGCTCAATCCAGTTTACTCTTAGGACGCCAATCTCCTTGAAGGTCCAGCCCGCTACTCGCTTGGCGAATTCGCGATTGACAGTGCCAACCTCCTTCTTCTCGTCCACCTTCTTTACCTTAGCATCGAACCACTTGTCGCTCAACATCTCTGCGGAACCAATAACTGCGAACCGAGCCGAGTTGCGAGCTTGGAAGGTGCTCACAAGGGAGAGCTGGGAGCCGCTTGCGAAGAGCTCGTCAATGACTTCGGCTTGCTCTTTCGGATTGTAGCTGTAAGATGTGGAGGGAGCGCGCAGGATCGGCGTAAGGAGGGCACCTGAGCCGAGGGTCTGGCCTGTTCCGCTTGGGAAGGCGATGACCCCTCCGTCCGCAGAGACCGGGCTGAAGAAATCCTTAATATCCGGACGAAGAGGTCCCGGGGGCGGAAGCAAGAGCACGTCGTGCTTCTCTGGGGCAGACAACACATCGTAGTTGAAATGGTCAACAACAAGACCCTGTCGATCGGAAGGTAGGTGAATATCTAATTCGAGAAGTAGAGAGACAATAGATGTCGGGGCTGGTTGAGAAGCTGAGAGAGCTAGGAGGATGTTGCCATTTGCATTGATAAAATCAAGGAGGATCTTAGGTGTTAAGTTTGGGCCGAGTCCTTTCGCTCTGTCAGTCAATCATATTCCTTAAAAACACCATAGTGCGGTTGCTATGCAACAAGTATACCTTTTGACTTAGTCGGGAGGAATAGAACATGGTCGTAAGACTTCTCGCCTAGGTGGAATAAGCTTAGACCTTCGCTCTTGGGAGTTTCGTAGTTAATCTGAAATCCTCGACCTATTATAAATATTATGTTAGCATAAATGATGTGATAAAGTATTTACTTGAAGTATTAGCTTTGCTTACCCTCTAAATCACCTAGGAATTTAGAGTAGCCTTCCTTCTCAGCAACATCCTCGAGGAGGACCAGCAACCTATTCCCGCTAGAGCTGATCGCATGGGCGAGGGCGACAAAGAAGAGGACGACGAAGGATATTAACGACTTCATCTCGGCGGTATCTCAATGATCAATTGACTTCAAGGAGAACAGGAGAAGAAGAAAAGGAGTGCGACAGCAGAAATACCGCCGCGCATGGGACCTATATTTGTTAAATGTTTAGTTTTACTTTTATAAGTTTTGGATCGGACCAGCTGTCTGTACTTTGCTGCCGGATTTTTGGAGGTCTGGTATACGTAGCCCGTACCTGCCAAGCTCTAAATGAACATGGGTGCACAATTACGTCGTCCTATCAGTGCACTCCATAGCACCGGCAGAGAACACTCCGATTTTCCGAGTACCTAAGGTAACGTCTTTATAGATAGGTATCAATGTACATATGTACATTAGGTAAGCATTTTATTGTTCTCACTCAGGTTTGAGTCATTAGCAACACCCAAAATCCTAATAATTAACTTCACTTTGTGATTGGATACAATTATATTCAAAAAAGAAAAAAAAATACTATGTAGAATTGTAGATACGGTTTTTTATTTTTTAAATGGAGGCCGGCCCTTCCCGCAAACGCTTACGGCGGAGTACACGAAGTTGCTATCAATGTACGCATAACCACCTTGAATTATATCTGACTCTCATAATATGTTGACATATCATACCAGGTAGAAAGCGTAAAGTGAAATGTCAGCTCATTGATGAGAAGGTTGATACTTGTGCTGAATGCGTCAAGAGTGGGACGCAATGTATTATTCAACCGCCTGAGGCAGAGTTGAGCAACGAAGGCTCTCCTATTTTCGTTGATAAGGAGAGACAAGAAGCAAGACTCGAACGGATCGAATCTCTCTTAAAAAGGTTGATCGAGGCGCAAGAACAACCTCGACCGGCTCAGGCTTCATTTGAATGCGAATCTATAGCTCCAGCCTCTCTTTGGAATGATTTTGTAAGTTTTATCTAGCAGTTTCAATTGAAAGGCCCAAATCCTTAGACGATGTCAGTTGCTTCAATCAACGGCCGGCGGAACTTTTCCTCTCATCGACGATAATATCCTCCCCACCCATCAATTGGAAAACACATCAGATGAGAAGCAACTACTTGTAGCCCTTCTTCCGTCTGTGCAGGATGCAGTTACTATAGCCACAAACAGCACTGCTTGGCTATGGGGAGCAGAAACACCGCTTGGGAGTGTCCTTAGGCCAAACGATACGCTCCAGCTCTTAGACGTAGCCGCTATTTCGAACGGTAGTGCTATGCATGTTGCTAAAATACTGCTCTTATTTGCATTATACATGCAACAACTCCCGTCACGTTTTAACGTACAATTCTTAGGATCCGAAAACGTCGAAAAGACTATTGAATTGATCGTAGACCGAGTCAAACTATTCGTCATATCTCACGAAGACGAAGCTTCTTCGTTAGACGGCATAGAATGTCTCACTTTACTAAGCTCAATTTATCTTAACGATGGCGCAATTCGGAAAGCGTGGATGATCTTTAGAAGAGTTCTCGATATTGCCAGATTAAAGGGGTTTCAAAATAGCTTCTCCCTTTCCGCTCGCAGCTCATCTCGTAGCGAATTAGCCCTTCAACGGCGACTATGGCTTTCGACCATCTGCGGCGATTGCTACTGCAGTCTTCTCATCGGCCTTGAGCCTGGACTTGGTACAGCACCCTTTGGTCCTGACGACGATACCTGGGTGGATCCGCTTGCTGATGAAGACGCTAATGTCCAACGCCGTATTTGCATAAGTGTGTCGCGTATTGCGCAGAGGAATGCCGTTGGTCTTGGCGGAGACCATAGTATCCTTTGGGAAATAGATGAGGCACTGAACACATTACAAGACTCGATGCCTGCTTCTTGGTGGAGAGCCCCGTTATTCCGTCAGGATAGATCTCTTGACTCAGCCAGGGAGCCAAACCGCCTTATATGCCAGCTGTGGTTTTATCAAGCGCGAACATTTGCGCACTTACCTATCGCGTTTGGAAAAGCTACAAATGACTCGCTGAATAGCCTCGAAAGCTGTATAGAGGCATCCAGGTTTACAATTCATCGATACCTTGGATTGCAGCACATCAAAGACCAATTATCTCGTTGCAGAACCGTCGAGCAGTCTGCCTTTCTTGCTGCTGTGGTTCTTCTCCTCGCTAAAGTACAGCTCCAATATCTTGAAAAGCGTTCGGCAGCTTCCAGATACGATTCAGATCGGGCTCTGATTGAGCAAGTCATTAGCTCTTTCGAGGTTTCTAAAGAAACGGGAAGTAGGGAACGTGTAGCAAAGCAAATCTACGAGATCCTCTCCACCATGCTGGATATAATTATTAGCTCAGAGAATACCTTGTTCATGACGAGCTACTCCGGTCCTAACACCCCCTCGACACTTGGATTGTCTTTCGATCCTAACATCGTTGGGAATACTGAGGATACTTCCAGTACGTTTAAGTCTGGAATGGAAGATATAATTGCGTCTTCGATCCAACCAGCGCTTGACGTAGAAAGCCCAGCTTCGCACCTGATGAATCTATTATTTACGAAGTCTGACATAGCAAAACCCCTCAGAAATCACCACATGTAGCACTTACCGTTGGTGATTTAATAGATCAGACTATCCTTCAATGACACACTTCATAGAAATTACAGCATTGACAGTTGGTTTTCTACGGAGCAGCTAAATTTAATCTTTGCTTATGGCGCCAACTCGAAGGCATGAGACTAAAAATACAACAAGTATACAAGCCTTTAAATAACATCTACATCTATTGAGGGTTAGTGCCATTTCCCCGTAACTCCAAATCCTCTAATAACTCCCTCCCTTTTCTCGCTATACGCGTATTTTCAATGCTGGAGTCTTCCCCCTGACCATCAATAGCAAGATATGTCATAAATGCAGCCAATGTTTCAACTCTGACACTCAGATTCTCGCCTAACACTCCAGCGATTATGCCAGGAACCATCATCCCCTTAGTTACAACGGCTCCCGGCCTAACCATGAAAGTCTTCCATATGGTAGTGTGGTTCTCTGCGAATGCGAGGGTTTTAGTCTCGAGCCGGCCCTAGAAAGGTCAGACATGGAAAAGGCTTGACAGGTTGGACTCTGCATACCTTCATCTTGCGCGCTTCTTCCAGAAAGCATAACTTCTCTTCTTGGTTCTGACGGACGAATTTACCGCTTAGATGGACGTATTTAAAAAGGGGTCTATCGGGCTTCGTTTCCAGCACTCGTCCCATGCTTTCTACGAAGGCCAGGGGGTACTCCAAGTCAGGGGGTATGTTCCCTGTATTGGTTCCCATGTTCCTATAGGAACCGTATAAGTAGATAAATCATGTGTGCTCACTCTTTACGCTAAACTTACCAAAGCATACCTACAGCATCCGAGTGCGCCTGTAATATGTCTTCTGGCCATTTTAAGAAGTCTTTGATTATAACACATTCGAGCTTCGGGTGGCCAGATATGTCGGCAGGTAGATCCCGACGTACGAACGCGATTACGCTCGAGATGTCTGGGTGAGCGAGGCAGTGAAGGAGGACTTCACTTCCAATGGACCCGCTCGCGCCGACGATGAGGATCTTCATAATGGCGAAAAGGCTAAAGTTGATAATGAAGAGTAGGGAAACCAACGGATGGAAGTATGTGTCTGAAAAGCAAGACTTGGAGATTTACGCATACATATCGCGAAAATATATATGATTATAGTTGTCGCCCGAGTCGGCCGAGAAGGATGAGAACGTCGTCATCTACCAAACACTAGAGCTAGCGAAGTTTAAAATGAACTAGGGTGACTTGTTATTATTTTATAATAGAAAACAATAACACGCTGTTTTTATTTCTTCTTTTGAGGACGTCTGGTAAGTTAGTTGTATATCGAATCGGGTTGGACACTACCATCCTATTTACAAGGTACATATAGCTCTAGGTGAGATCATCAGGCATTTATGACGGTAAGACTAATGTATGATACAAAGGTGAGGATTAAAAAATAGGTATAAATAAATTCAAATTCTAGAAATATCAATAATGGTAGTAAATATGTACCACGTATGTCTCACATGAGAGTTGTGATGCTGGTGTAAACGGTCTTATACTTGGATGTACATGTAGTTATACCTACCTACCTAGGTACATAGGTAGGTACATCCATGTATCTGACTTAAAGAGGTTATGTACTTAAACACTTATATAAGCATAGACCACTTATGTCATTCTCGCAGGTCCAATCGCATCGGAGCTCATAACCTCATGTACCTAAACCTTTAAAACTACCTGTAGCATCGCCGGCCACTCTCAAAATCAGAGGTCAATTAAACCATCATTCAACCCACATCATGTATGTCCGCCTACCCACCTAATTAATACCTTATACTCACCTCTAAATTCTACCACTAATATTCCTCCATACGCTTCTACTAACAAACATTATCGTCAGATAGAGAGCAAAATGTCCGCCCCAACACCAGCCTTCTTCGCCGGCCCCCTACGATACTGCCGCTGGGCCGCCCGCGAGCGCCCCGCATACTTCTGGTCCGTCGTTATCGGCGCCGCTGGCCCCCTAATGCTGGCTACCGTCCCGCCCGCTATGAAGCGCTTGGGTTACGAGCGCACCCCGCCGATTCCGTTGACGTATCCTAGTACGTACTACCTGCTACTCAAATACCTACCTACCTGGGTCTTTGGAGAATAGAGATAGAGATAGGGTCTGATAAAGGGGGAGAAGAGAGGGGAGGTATAGATATTGAAGAAAATGCTAACGAACACCCGCAGTTCCTACCGGCCCGCGAAAGACATTAACCGGCTACGACGACTGAGCGCTATATCTATTAAGTATCTCTGGAGAACATACCTAGCAATGTGGCATAGGAGCATGGTCGTGGATCGATAGGCGGATTCTGCATGTATATATATATCAAAATCACACCCCAAGCACCTCAAGTCGTCGGATCTCGGAGCAAAGTATGAAGACGGGACTATACGAAAAGGCCTCGGGGGACATATTAAATGCTACCGCATACAAGAAGAATGTCTCTTCAAGTCTCACCAAAACCAACCAATCAAGTCAAAAAAAAAATATCATTCAGTTCAGTTCATTTTATTTTCGCACGACTAGTACCGTGTATTCATCATCTATTCGTTCACTCATTGGTTATCTGCGTCTAACCCGTCCGATCTAAGCGAATTATCCATATCATCTATCCTGGAGTCTGGGCTACCTAACAGAACAACCCTCCGCCCGCTGTATATCAAGAGTGCTAAAATCTCAAGCAAACGCCCGTCTATGCACCGATGCTTTGCGACCGCATCTTCCAGCGCACCACAGATAACCGTTTTCTTTGGGTCAGACTCTATCTTTCCCTTTGGATGAGATTCCATTCGTACTAGGTCACGTGTCAGTTCTAATTTGTGTTTCTATGCGGGATATATCGACTTACGACTCGTCCATCGTCGTCTCCGGTATACACCAGCTGCGGCATCGGGGTGATGCAAGTAATCGCCGCCTCCGTATTTGTCCCCGTCTCGCTGCGCGTGTCGATGTGGTCTAGCCGTCTTACCAACTCCAACCCCCACTTGCCACCCTTGATGATCCGTTTCCAGATATTTACCCTACCTCTCCTGTGCCCCGTAAAGATGAGATAATTCTCTAGCCACTCGTTCCCTGACCCTTCGTAGAAGGAACAAGAATATACGTAGTCATCAGGCTCGGAACATACGTTCTGGTCGAGTATCAAGTCGCCATTGATTGTGTATAATGTCACGTTCGGACCTGAGCATAGCATTATCTCCCCAGATACGTCGTTGATGCGAGCACATTCGACAGCTCGAGCGCTTGACAGCTTTCGCACAAACTCGAGACGATTCATATCCCAGAGAAACGCGTGTCCGTCTCCGGAAACCGTGACCAGCGTGCTAAAAGCCTTTGACACCGCGATCGTCGTGACTGGGGTCTTGTGCCCGAATAGCGAAGAACGATGCATGAGCTCCACGGCCTTACCTGAGGTGGTCTGTATGGTGAACACGGACACGACGCAATCCTCACCGGCAGTGATCAGCGTCTTCGAATCGGCGACGATGATACATGATACTTGGCCTGTGTGCAAGTTTTCGCTGACGCCCGCACTCTTCCGATTCTCAGTGTGATAGAAACGCACACTGTTATCCGCAAATCCCCATTCGAGATATTTGTCAAAGAAAGGGGGGAGGTTAAGGCGGAAGGGGGAGGAGCATAGGAGCCGATCCAGTTTGGGCGAATACACTAGGGATGCGACCCGCTCGCGACTTTCGAGAAGCGGGTGAGGTATCCTGGCAAGAGAATGGCTGGCCGTATCTAGTCTCTTCACTGGAAATGAGACGCTCTCTCGCGGCGGATGGGGCTTGGTGAAGACTTGATGTGGTGTTTGTCCGAAATTATGGATAATGCTTGTTGTAGCATGTCGTTCGTTTGAGTCCGTAATGTTGTCAAGATCTTTGGCACCATAGTACGAAAGATAATGGAACACATTCAAGTTTTCTACAGCTGCTTCGCCACGTTGCTTATGACCGAATACTAGGTCGATCCACAGATGAAGGTTTTGGCTCACGTAAGGACTCTCCAATGCCTCACGATGTTTCGCAACGAACATCTTCGGATCACCTTTGGCCCATGGAGGTAACTCAACGTGATTGACTCGGCCACCAGAACCTTGACGGTCGCCAAAGTTATACCCATTTACGTTCGTTAAAAAGTCTGGAAGGTAGAAGAATTCTGGTATTAGCTCTCGGACATCGGATCCGTTATCCTGCGATGCGGATTTCCACGACCCTTCGATCGAGAAGAAAAGTCGATCTGCATGGTCAAACGAGCCACCTTGAAGAAGGATGAAGGATTGCACAAACGGAGGCAACCGAATTAAATACGATGCAACAATCATGGCAGACGAGTAGTGCGTGCCATAGTGAAAAGGCGTCTCGCCAATCTCAGCTAGACTGGTGTATCTGGTCTGATAGTCAAGCTGACGTCGTGCGGTCTGCGCACCCATAGGCTTCGACAGATCTCGGAACGTGGCGGGATTGTTTAAGTCTAATTCTTCACTCGTGTAGTCTGCTAGGACCCAGGGGAAAACTGGATATTGGGTTAAGTCATTAAATGTCCGGCCTGCCATTGTATTCACGAGCATTAGGTAATGGAAGTTAGATATCTCGCCTCGTTGCCATCGTCGCATGAGAGGATTCCAGGGAGAAGAGTTGAAGATGCTGCCGAATTTTGATCCAAACGATTGAGGAGACTCTTCGAAGACTTTGAGCGACTCTAGACGCCAGGCATCCTCTGGATTGGGCAATGAGTTAGCTCCTGCGGTGTGCGGAGTCTTGTTAGCAAGCTTAGAAAATATTTCGTCTCTCATCGCCGGATTCATCGCAGTCAAAAGATAACTACGGCCGTCGGTAAAGAAGACTTCAATAGCCACATCTCGGAACAAGAACCGGCGCTTCGATATACTTATAACATCGTGCCACTTCCAACTGCGGGAGTCTTGGGAAGCGCGGCTTATAGCCTGACGGTTTTCACTAGACTTCGCACCAGTTATAATCTGAGAGAAAGGGTCACGCTCTTCTACGGGTGCCTCCCAAACGTTTACTATCTCTCCATCCGCACACTGGAAGAAACTGTCCATCAAATAAAGGGCGTTCTTTCCAACTAAAAGAATACCCTCAAATGCTTCAAGACCAATGACGCGGGAGACATTGTAAACTTGTTGGACCGTGTCGCCCTGCTGTAGGCGTCTCATCACTCTCCTATTCTTGTCTTCGAACCCGTCGTCGACATCGTTAGGATCGTTCGGGTCGTCTATCATCTCGAAGTCATCCTCGGGGATAGCTGTCTGCCCAGGTTTTGCTTCACCCTGAGTACCGGCCGGGGCATCATCAGCATCATCTTCAGCGACCTCATCCTGGCTGCTTATCTGCCCTTGGGGTATAGATGGAGGTGCAGGCTTTCTTGACGCAGGAATCGCAACAGGAGGATCAACTGACTCTCCTTTGGAAGTGGAATTTGCTAGTTGATCTATCGTTTTACGTTTGGGCTGGTACTGGTCGTGATCGGTAGACAGGTCTGGTAGAAGCCGGAGGCGCATACGATTCCGGCCTTCTGTCCTATCAAGTTTCCACTTAATAGGCTTAGGATCGTATAATACAGCTCCTGGTCGGTTAAGGTCCTTTTGCATCCGGGCAAACGAGGACGAAAAGAATATGACATCATCCTGCTGGTCCTGCATAAGACGCTGGTGTTTGAAATGCTCAGACGCGTAGATAGACTTCATCCACGCGGAATTGGCCATGTCATGACGTAGTAGGATATTGTCCCGTTCGACCATCTCCGAATGCCATCGTTTCAGAGTCTCTTTTCGTTTTGTCAATCGTGATTTAGCTGTCTCTGCCGTACGCTGGTTTTCCATATTGACGAATTCTTCCCAGGCTCGCGAGAGACCCCCCAGAAATAACGCATCGAGTGAAGGCCGATGTTCATCAACCCAGTCGATGAATGCGTCTGTATCAAGTTCGGTAAGTTTCTGGAAATCTGCTGCAAGCTGGGACTGGTCCGAGGCGGATGTCATGGATAATCGAAACAGCGACGTGCATTCGTTGGGTTTCTGTACGAGCATGATGCGCCAGAGATTGACAGCAGCGAGTCGTACGGCTCGCCTCGTATCCACTAACTTAGTATAGAGCTGATACCAGAAGAACTTCATATAGTCATCATCGGGCGATAAAGACTCTAATACAACCATTTGCCAGTAGAGTATCTTTTCCATTGAAAAATTTGCCTCCATCTCGGTGGTTTGTGGATCGTCCATTTCCGAGAGTCTAAGTAAGACTAATTTAAGAAACGAGCCTCGAATAGTCGTCACTGCTTGGCTGCATAATCTTACGGTTTTCATTTTTGCGACGTCTGGCTTCTGGAGATATTCCAACAAGAGTCCCGCAAAGTTTAACATTGATTCGGTACCGTTCATAAACCACCCTTCGAATATTGCTTCAACCATGTGGAGACTGAACCTAGCCATGTTGGTGAGCACTTTCGGCTCGCTTAGAGCTTTCCAGTTAAGCTTGATCGCCGTTGATATATGGACGATTGTGCTTTTCAATACGTAGGACTCGAAGTATGCTTGGTGTTCTTGGAATCCAGGAGGTACTTTAAGGAATAAGCCGAACCCCGGAAATTCCTTTCGTACTAAAAGTTGGTCTACGAAGACGTTGATAACAAGCTCGAGGAGACCCTCGACTAACCCATGACCGATATTTTGATCGGCAACTTTCTTCTTCGGAGACATGACATGAACCAGGCGAGCTGGACTGGATTGGGTAGACTTCTGGGATGTGAGAAGTATGAAAGATGAGGCCTTCCGTAATTGACTTCCCCGATGAGCATGAGTAATTCTACTAGCAGGTAGCGACGTATCGGTCGCGCTAGATGTTCTAATTACGGGTGCAGTACTTGCTGTCCCACCGATCGGGCGAATGATGACATCGCCGCCCTCGAAAGTGAGTGTTGAGTCTCTGGAGTTAAGTTCTATCTCTGGATTGACCGGGTCCGTGCTTACGATAGCCGGGTATAGGGCAGACAGAAGCAGCCTCACGTAGTCCGAGGATAGTGCAAAATCTCGGAAATCTGCCGATCGAGTATGTAGATCTGCCATGAACCGAATGACAGTCTGGAGTACCGCAGCGTTCCCGGCGTTACGTTCAGCTCGCGGTTCAATTGTTTCTTAAAGGGCATTTAGTTTAGATCTACAGAAATGGAAAGACACTCACCTCGTGATTCCAGCTCCTTTTGAAGTGACATTGATCGCGCTCGTAGTCTTGTCCCTACACTTTCGTGTTTAGTTATGGCCATGTTTAAATCAGGTGGAGGCGAAGCCGGATCCTCCTGGGCTTTAAGAATATCTTTTAGTGCATGCTGGATCATGGCCGTGATGATTGACAACGCATCTGGATTGGCGATTTTGCATTTCCCAAACGTTTCTAATAAACTGAAAAAATCGAAATTCTTCTCGAAGTCTATTTCTGCGACGTCATATCCAAAGAGGATACTGAAGCAAATGGGCCATAGAGTTGCAATATCCCACCACCGCTTAAGACGGTGAGCCATAATACAGAAGCCCCCAGTCTTCCCCGAAAACTTGTTAATATAGGCCGTCCCGTGGGTGACTAAAAGTCTAGCAAGTATCTTGCAGCCGTACGTTACGATTTCCGGGTCGTTTTCTGTGAGAAGATACAAAAGCCACTGGACCATCATCAGCTTGGAATTTTTTTGCAATGGCCATGCGTCAAGTACCTTGTTTGTCACTGTCTTAGCGAACTTCCGAATAATTGCCAAGTTCCCCTTTTCGCATAGTAGTTGGCTATACATATCTAGGAGACGTATGCCGACCTCTCTCTTCGTGAGCAACCGCACATCATTCCCGCCCGCTCCGTTTACAGGGACCAGCGGTCGTAATGGAACATTATGAGAGGGTCGACGATTTGCTGCTTTTGGAGTGCGTGGAAGGGATCTCGAAGTGGGATGAAACGCATAAGTAATGAATAGAGCGAGTGATTGGTGGACCTCAGTGTTATAGTTGCATTTGATGAGGCTTTTGATAGCGCTTATGAAATAGGGGAGTACAGCCTCCAGCAGAGGCTCCGACTTAATGGCATCGAGGAGCCTTTTCACAATTCCTAAAGCACGATAATGTTAGTGTAAATTGAGGCGCTTACTTGGATCCCAAGTAACTCACGCATTCGAAGCAGCCTGCGGTTGTTGTATTGATGATACTTGCTCATCACAGCGAAACTCACGAACTGTTTATAATACAGCTCTTGAACAAGAGGGCCGCATTTTCTCCAACCATCAAAATCGACTAGGAGAATGCGATATGCTAAGGGATTTATGATCACTGATTCAAGAGGATCGCGGTGTTTATAACCGACAAATTCCAGTACAAGGCTGAGGATCTGGACGCATAATTTGTCCTTTTCGATATTCGAAATCGCAAGCTTCTCAGTCAACCCCTCGCTTCCAGGTCCGCCGAACCCGAGCTTGGCTTTTAATAAAATTCCTAAGATTGCATACCCCCCGTCCTTCTCCATAGCCTCGCTATTTCGCCAACTCGAATTGATACACAGGAAGACCATCTCAATAGCACGTACTAGCGTGTCGGCCGAAGAAGCCCGCTCGATTAGCTTTAACGCAAGTGGCGTGAAGCCCGCCAATTGCCAGAGGGCATCGTCAAAGAACTGGGGAGTCGCAACAATGGGATTTCCAGTCAATACTGCCACTCCATTCGAACGGAGAAGCGCATCGTTAATCGAAGGCAATGCCGTATTAATAGCTATGCCCGTGCCATTTTTGAGTACCATTTGTACTAGAGTATGAGCAGGTCCGCGAGACAAAGAACGATATAGCTGTGACTCGCCAAAGTGTTCCTTTTCCCGAAAAATCGAAGAGGGTAGTACACTGAGAACAATTTTATGCTCTGGGACTACATGGCTAGCTTTATCCCTAATAACTTTCATGATATCAGAGTCATCTTTCCCGGTACTAACAAGATCATTACGGAGACCCAGGGCAGCGGATGCCGTGTAAGTTTGGAATCCGCCAAGGCAGTCCTGGAAGTTCCCTTGGTAATGAACTCCTAGCCGACTGGGAACCGATAGAAAATCGTCACTCAATACGTCATCGAAAAGGTGGGCTGTACCAAGAGACCATCTTGAATGTATTACTCCTGTACCCAGGTGAGAAGAAAGCTCACGCGGGGTCCCTAAAAACGCCTGGACTGGCATGACCTTGTTACTCGAAGAAGTAAACGATGCAAAACTCTCCGTGCTGCCGTTCGATAACGGCGGCTGAGCAGGATAAGAGGCCCGTATCTGCTCAACAAATTCACCATTCACATGTAAGGAAGCTTTGCTAGGTGTCATTGTTTTAGGTCGTCGGTGGGTCACCACGATATGATACCATTTCCCTTGTTTGAACGTGAAGGTTCTAAATCTGACACTCGGCCGCTGTGAAGTAACTGAAGTTTGTAAAATGAAGTTATGGGTATCTTTTTCGAGATATGCAAGAACAAAACAGGTTTGAGTTGAGTCAAACGCTCCAAAAAGTGTGGTGTGTGATTTCGGATCAAACTGATCGATCCGAACCCACGCAGCAAACGTATATCCAGCAGAAGACTGAGGGGGAAATGGACGCCCTAAACTTGGCAGTTCAATTGAAGAGTGTCCATTTTGGGACAAGTCGAATTGTATGTATGGAGGGCCACCATATTTATGCATTACTTCCAAGCAGAAATCTGATGAGTCCAAAGAGGGATTGAGTAGAAGTTCTTGTGCATCGACTAGCCGGTTCACACCGAAAGGCATCAGAGATCGACAAATAGATAGAACTGTCTCACGCTCGATATCGTTAAGAGGAGAATTTCCGTCGAAAGCAAATTTTAAGAATCGAGACAAAACGCCTGTCTCATGAACTAGGCACAAGTTGATGTTGGAAACGTCTAAAATCGAGGATAAGACCTTAAGTACCAACAAGGATGCTGTGTTTTCCGGGATTTGCTTATCGCGTGGTAGAGATTCCCAGAAGTCCACGATAGTACGAATGACCTCGGGGTTTTGTAAGGTTGACTTGGGGCCAACAGTCTTTTGGATCGCCGCCTCAATCGATGCTATATGGTCACCTAAACGAGCAACATCGTGAACCTCACTCCTTGCGCCATCTTCTCCAGTACCAAGTTCATCCGGCGCCACCAGAACCCAGGGCGCAGCATCATCCAACGTGACAGAGCAACATAGTTGATCCAGCGCCGCATCATTTACAGCCAAGGAAAAGAGCTTCCCAAATAACTGGCAGCTTGTCCACAGATCTGAATCGCTACCTCCAAGGCCAATGCTCGCTATAATTTGCTCCAAAGCATCCCAACCGCCACCCTCGACCCGCGTACGAAAATACCGTCGGTTACCAGGATGCGCACGGAAAGCGGCAGCGAGAGCACTAAATACGACATTGAGGAGCTTAAAGAAGCTTCTCTTCTCATCATCATCTCGCTTTTGGAGGTTATAGAAGCCGGAGAAGGACCGTAGTACGTCGAGTAGGTGGTGAAAGCCACGAAGATGTCTAAAGTCGTCTTGGATGGAGCTTGGTGGGGCAGTTGCGGATAGATATTGTTGAATTTGTCGTATTTGGGCTATTAAGGGCTCGAATTTCGGGTAGCCGTTATTTAGAGAAGCGGATATAATAGAGGATACGGCATCGAGGAGAGATTGGAGGACTTCGGAAGCTTTGGAGGTAGCTAGCGGTGTTGATGCGGAGGTGGACGATCGATAACGACCCGGGCGTGTGGACATGATAACGGTAACAGAACGACTAAAGTTTGGTGAGGGATGATAATTATTTGTTTCTTCATATTATAGAAACTGAAACTGCTACTGCTAGTACCCTATTGGGGTCTAGGCTGCCATTTACGCCAGAGAGCATCGAATAATTGGAGGGGAAATTCTCGCGACGAGGTTTGGAATACGCAATGCGGCAGGTTTTGATTTTGTGTAAGATAAGATTTTAGGTCTAGTTACTTGATCAGTTGTTGGCGTTGAGTAAAGGATCTGGGGCCGCTTTGATAAACCCCAAAGATCCGCGCCAATATGTTGGAGTTAATTGTTCTATGAATTCAAAGCTCTACAGCTAAGTTCAACTGTTGTTAGAAGTCGCTACCTAAGTTAGGCTGTCAGCCTCAACTAGACGTCTATTATGTACCTCATTCAGGAAGCAGGGAGCCTTACCTACTAAGGTACATGTAGTAGCTTAGATACAAGGTACGTGAGGCAGTATGTGTGTCAATATGTGTGGCGCTCGTACAATTGAATGCTTGGCGTTAAACAGCTTGAACACTTTGAACGCTGACATAATCATTTAGGTACGAAGGTACTTATTAGTATTGAATGAGCACTGACGAAATAGGGGTAATGTCACGGTTCAAAATGCATGAGCAAGGACAAATGAGGCAGCCAAATTGAAGACACTTATGCGTCAGTTTTTATGTAATTGCCTATGATTAAAAGCTAAGACAAAAAAGTTACCTCTTAATAGGAGATCCGATCGCCTAAGCGCTGAGCCTTGAAGTAGCACAATATCTACCTCCTCTCTAAATTATAAGTTAATTGTTAATATAAGCAACGGTCTTCGTATTAATATATTCTTACTTGAGTAGATCTAGAAGCCCAAAGAGCCAGTAATAAATTCCCAAGCTGCTTGATAGTTTTTGTCTGCCGGCGTCATGATTCGCAATAGCCAGGCCGTATCCCGGCCCCCTTCCCAAAAAGCCTCACACCTCGATAACGCTTTGAGCCATTCCCAATCGCTCGGGTACCATCCTGATTGGTGCCAGTCAATAATGGCGGCGACGCGAGGTGGAGATTCTCCATCCCTCGGAAAGATAAGTATGTTGCTCCTATCTAGATCGCTATGCGTAAATACCACTGGTCTGTCATCCGTCAAGCCGGCCAACTCGGGAAAGTCACGCCGCGGGTTCCAGTCCGGGTGCTGGCGGCAGGAATAACGCGCAAAAAAATCATGAAATTGTGTTATGTCATCAAACGGACCGGCCTGCGGGTCACCTGCGTCACTGAAGATAATGTCGCCTACTCCTTGACGTCCGATATGGCCTTAAACTGTTAGCATACTAGATTGTTTACGACATATTCATGATCTTACCGATATAGTACGGTTCCGTCTCTTGACGGAGATTGCGCCATGCCTCTACGGACGTACGGAGCTGCTCGCAAATTATATTTTGATCATCTTGATTAAGTGATGGCCACACATCTTCTAGTGTGTCGGCGTTGACAAACTCCATATAGATGAATGTCTCTCCGTTATCATGGCACCACCCGTACAATTCCGGCGTAGGCACTGCATCCTTCATGTGTTTGTTGAAATACCATAGGCACTGTGCTTCGGCTATCGTGATCTCTGAGCCATATTTGACGATAAGCCCCAGTTCTTCGAACGGGATTGGTGGAGGCCTTGGTGATCGTGCGCGAAAGCTATTGATCTTGATATCCTTTTCTCGGATCTCCTTGGGAGATGGAAGGTTATATCTGTTTTTCTTGAAAAATGAAGAATTAGGAAACATCATATTTTTTGCCCTAGGTAGTTCTACCACTCGCACTACACCGATGGAGTTTCTAATAGCCATGTCCAAGGAGCCGAGCAAGAATTAGAATCAACTAGTTCCTTTTTATGTAAAAAGGAAAAGAAAACCGTTAATACGAGTAGGTAGGTAGTTAGTCTGATATCGACCTTGGACCTTGGTGAACAGACAGCCTACCTATACTTCCTTGACTCCCTTGATAGTTGGCTTAGAGGCCCACAGCCACCCTTCTTCGCCCCAAACTGGTGCACATAATTGATGTTGGTCTGGCTAGCGAAACCTGGCCGTATGTTGGAGTATCTAACTTTATTAATGCTGTGGCAGGTTACTTACTCTTAAGATCGGGTTTTCCACTTCATTCTTTCCGTCTAATGGCAACAGAATTCCTATTTGAACTAAATGCAAAGCTGCTTCTTTCATCCACCACTGGCAATCTTTAACTTCTATCATCTTAGGAGACGTTCCAGCAGCACTGTCAGCCTCTCTGTTCACTTTATTAAGGCTAGGTCCCGGTGCCGGCACCTCCCTACAAGCCGCGTCAAATGCATTGAAAACGATATTCTCTGCATCACTCTGATCCTCCTCTTCGCTTGAGGTAACGGTTCCGTTCTTATTTGCTAGACTCAAATGTGTCTCTGACACCAACCCGATAGGGAAGGCATTAGGGTTCCTGTTGTCTTCGCAAACATCATAGTTACGGATATATTCATACTGAAACCCGTTGAGACGGTCGCCTGTTACATGAATACGGTCACCAATGTTTGATTGCTGATTTTCAGTGCCGATATAAGGTACCCAGAATGACCAATGCGCGGCGAATAAACGAGAAGGGTATACTAGAACGTAAATAGTCCGGGGCATGGCGTTTGTATCGTAACGGATGTATATAATAGTAGGTGATTGAGATGAATTTAAGATGATAATGATCATCGAAGATATGAGATAAACGGCAGTCCACCGTAGTACCAGCCACTTGTAATTTTGATTGGTTGAAATATGGTAACTGCATGCCAGCCTCATTCCTAAGCTAGCCCCTTCAAAGAGTTATACCATTACATAATCTTCAAGTAACTAACATATTCTAGAACCACAGTAAGAATGATAATACATATTAGTTGAAATAATGAAATTTCGAATAAAGAGTCTTAATTTACTTATACGGTTATGATAAAGGCATATCTCTAACCTAAGCTCTAACCTCTCGCCTGAGATATTGATAAAGCTGCTATTGGCTAAGATAAGCCTTTTTCTTATTGTCATACTCAAAGACTCATAATTATATTTAACAAAGGTAGTTATACCAATATAACCCTAATAGATAGTTTGGTAAATACCTGTTTATACTACATGTATGACTTCTAACTTAGAGTAGACTTTTACTAGGTAGTAAGTACCTTTGAACTCTATAAGAAAGTCATTACAGTTTGGAAACATCAACAAACTTTTCCTACATACTTCAAACCTATTGGCGTTGGGCTTTGTTAATAGATAGGTATCTGCACGTAGGTCACGGCTAATCTAGTAAGTATATATGCACTGTGCTATGCTATCATACTGAACTTGTCTAGTAAATTTGCATTGATAACATCTTGTTACCATACCCGTGTCCCGATAGGTAATACGGTGGAAGTGATAACAAGCGGTATCCGATTCATTCGAGTCAAGTGAGCATAGATGATGGAGGGAACGGATAGTCAGTATGGATTTAACTTGGGTCATTTTCGCGAGTGGGTGGGGAGAATGTTCCCCGGATGGGTAACACTAGAGTGGATAAGGTTTCACATGTAAGAAGTTCGGGATACTTTTTTAATGTGGCATATCCCAATTTCTAATAATGCGGTCTGCACTTCAATAAATCCAACTTTAGCATGATATGTAATAGTCTTAATGCTCCAGTCCCTAGAAAGGGGAAATAGTTGTTGAGTAGAGCAGGAGAGCACGTGTCGCCTCGCCAAGAATCTGTTTTGAGTCAAGTACACGCAGCTGATCCAGGGTGGCAGGGTGGCAGGCTGGTAAATTGAAGCTGCAGGGCTGGTGGGTTGAGTGGTCAGTAAGAGCCAGTAGAGCCAGTAGAGCTCGGGTGCTGAAAACAGATTCCAAGCCAATCAAGCTTGTACCTTACTACCCCTAGCTCGATTGTGTCATATCATCGCTATCTGAGGTGAATCTTACGAGCTAAGTCACCAAGTTATGTAGGTACATGTAACATACGTAGGTAACTAATTGTTACAAACAAAGTGCGTTCCAGGAGTCCGTCATAAAATCGGTTGTACGTTTCAAAAGGATGATGTAGCTAAAGAAAATGACAACTTGATCGATTTAGTCTAGTATCGCCGTCCTCGTGAGCCTTTGCACCTGTGGCAAATCTGTAGCACTTTCAGGGTCCAAAAGCTGCATAAAAGGTAGGGAATCCACGTATGCATGCTGATACCTATATGTAAGGTAACTCGGTCGATAAGATAGGGGAGAGAGCATTGATGGAAAGATGGTCATTCCTTATCACTGACCAATTGCCACTAGAACTCAACAGATTCAATTTGCCTATACCTGTTTAGGTGCTCATCGGCAACCGCGTGAGCCGGAACCGATTGGGATGGATCCTCTCCATTGCTGAATTGTATGTACATAGGTACCATGTATTGCTTAATTCCGATTCCGGCAGTTACATACCTATTTTCTCTATTTCTCTATGGTTACTACTAGGGACTCGAAGTATTTCCAATGAGAGTATTTGATAGAAATCACTTGCATCTTGAGCAAGTCGGAATTCAGCATCGAAGCAGGGGAAACACAAATTCCCGGTAGATGACGATTGAAGGATTGCTGTCCTCCAAGATATCCTCTAAGGTACGATGTACCCAAGACTCGGGGATTTCCACCAACAAGGGGGCCTAAACTCATTTAGGGTTAGTGTTAAGGTCAGCCTGCGCCGCTAGCCCCAGTGCGAGCTAGCATTTCCGCTCTTATCTGGTTGGCCCGGCGGCTGTGTGCGTCACCTGCACCACTCCAGGCTGGGGAAGGCAGCCATAGTGTAGGTTGGTACACGGTCGCAAGGTCGGTACCTTGTCACCGTAAGCTCGTGCTTCGGCTTGTGGCAGCCACCTTTATCTTTCTGGCTTTCGCTCGTCAACAACTTCCTTCTTCTTTTCTTCCTCTTCCTCCATCTCCTAATCATCTCATCTTTCCATCATCAACACAAAGTCATCTCATCTTTGTGTGAATACTACACCTACCGAGCACCATTGGCTTGGCCTCTCGGATTTCCCCTGGTATTTCTTCCCCCTTCAAGTCGCAGGCAGACTTATCATTCACTGGTGCATTGTTATCGGTCCGCAAACATCTATCATCCATCCATCCATCAATAAATCATCAATATGAGGGGCTTCATCGCTCTCTCTCTCGCCTGCGCTGCAGCTGCAGCGCCCTCGTTCAGCTACGAGACTATCCACGATGGAGCAGCTCCCATACTGTCCTCCGCTACCTCCGAAGAGGTTCCCAACTCATACATCATCAAGTTCAAGAGTCACGTTTCCGATTCTTCGGCCGCTGATCACCACTCGTGGGTTCAGAAGATCCATGGTGATAAAGAGGATGAACGATTAGAGCTCCGCAAGCGTGGTCAAATCCCGCTAGTCGGTGATGTCGTTGACAGCTTCAAGGGTTTGAAACACACCTTGAAGATTGGCTCCGAGTTCCTAGGATATTCTGGCCACTTCGATGACTCAACTATCGAAGAGGTCCGAAGGCATCCCGATGTAAGTACCAATCTATCATTGCAGTGTATGAGTTATTTAGAGTAGTCATACTAACTTGGGAACAATAGGTCGAATTCATCGAGAAAGACTCGGTTGTCTATGCTCTTGCAGACGAAGAGCCGGACCTAGAGAAGAACGCGCCATGGGGTTTGGCACGAATCTCGCACCGTAAACAACTTTCTTTCGGTTCATACAACAAGTACCTCTATGCCGCTGATGGTGGTGAGGGTGTCGACGTCTACGTCATTGACACTGGTATCAACACTGAACACGTTGACTTTGAAGGTCGTGCCTCTTGGGGCAAGACTATTCCTAGCGGCGATGAAGATGTTGATGGCAACGGTCACGGTACCCACTGCTCCGGCACTGTCGCTGGTAAGAAGTACGGTGTTGCTAAGAAGGCCAATGTGCACGCCGTCAAGGTCCTCCGATCTAACGGATCCGGTACTATGTCTGATGTCATGAAGGGCGTCGAGTGGGCTGCTGAAGCACACTTAGAGCAAGTTGCCAAGGCTAAGAAGGGCTCTCGCAAGGGTTTCAAGGGATCCACCGCCAACATGTCTCTGGGTGGAGGTAAATCTCCATCCTTGGATCAAGCTGTAAATGCTGCCGTTTCCGCTGGTCTCCACTTCGCCGTTGCTGCGGGCAATGACAACGCCGACGCTTGCAAGTACTCCCCTGCTGCTGCTGATAAGGCCGTTACTGTCGGTGCCAGCGCTCTCGATGACAGCCGTGCATACTTCTCCAACTGGGGCAAGTGTGTCGATATCTTTGGACCGGGTCTCAGCATTCAGTCGACTTGGATTGGCAGCAAGACTGCCATCAACACTATCTCTGGCACATCCATGGCCTCTCCTCATATCGCTGGTCTCCTTGCCTACTTCCTCTCTCTGCAACCTGGCAAGGATTCCGAGTACGGTCTCGCCGACATTACTCCTGAGAAGTTGAAGTCCAACATTGTCAGCATCGCCACTAAGGATGCTCTTTCCGACATTCCCAAGGACACCCCCAACCTACTTGCCTGGAACGGTGGTGGTTACTCCAACTACAGCAAGATTGTTGAGCAGGGTGGCTACACTGCCGAGACCCCCGCTGTTAAGACCATCAACATTGAGGATCTCGAGAAGGCTATCGAGCACGACCTCAACGTCGTTTCCGGCACCGTCGTCAAGGGTGTCTCTTCTCTCTCCGGCAAGGCTGAGGAACTTTCTCACAAGATCCACCAGGTCGTTGAGGAGGAGCTTAAGGAGTTTTTCGAGGAGCTCCGTGTATAAAGTAATGTAGCAAATGTCGTCCTTAGCTAGTAGAGCTTGCACGTACTGAATATTGGGCATCGGCAAGTATGGCATAGATCATTGAGGAGTAGTGTTTTTTTTTTGGGCATTCGGTCAACTCGGCCTATTTATATTTGTACACGCAGAAATGGTCTCGGTAGTATGGTTACGTCTTATTAGGCTTGTCTCGTTATGGCTGGAATAGCAAATTTGTCATTGCCATTCGCAATTCGAGTTGTATGTTTTTAGTAGTTAATGTGATGAAGTAATCTAGGTTCTCTAAATGACATTTGTAGAATATTTATCGCATATCTGGTAAGAACCTTATGTATTTAAGAATGTTCCTTTATAGCCTTGTACTCTGTTAATATTCGACCGTCCTGTCGAGATGCATGTGAGTTACATATATTGATAATCAGCCTACTTGTGATACAAGCCAGCGGGTGCCTACCTCTCAGATTAAGTACCTACCTAATCTATGTAATTAGAGGTAACCGAAGAGTAGAAGGTATAAGGCATGTACATAATGCATGTAACATGTAGGTACACTGCCGTATAAGTGCGGCTCCTATGTTGAAGCAACATCCATTGTATATTGTAGGTAGGGAAGGGTGGACTTTCCTCGATATCCTCGAGGTCCTTGAGGTTGCTGCCCTCCTCCTTTGTAGAGTCGAATGCGAAATGACCTTCACTGATTCTACCACATTTTTATCTTCACATATTCCCATCTTAGCACATACATTCATCCAACTTCAGCACTATCATCTCCAGTCGAGATCTTTCACGTTGAAAACGGTGACTTTTTGGTTAGTTTACATTTCAAACGTGCTCCTAAATTAGTTCAACTTCGCTGTTGGATTGCACCATTTTTTTTGGTTTCCACATGTGGACGCCATTAACATCCGTCTTTGGATCCTGTTCTCTGCCTTTATTATATCTAGATAATTTATTCTACCCGGGCCAGAATGCACCGTCGGAATAGCACAAAGTTCCATCACCTCGACCGTCGAAAATCGGCTTCCTCTGCGAAAAGCGTTCATCTGGAGCATATCCATCCTGAGACGGCTGAGCGCGATGCTCAAGCTGCTGCTTCGCAAGCATTTGCGAGGGCTAGGGAACGCTCTACTACAGACACAACTTTATGGCCACCACCGCGGAACAGCGATCCGATCAGGGTCGCTGGCTCTAGCAATATATACGATAGACGCAATAGTGACTCTCCCATCAAGCGCCAACAAAGCGTTCGGTTTGTACGAGAGAATACCACACGCGGTACACGAAGCAATACCGTAGTCGAAAGTATGACACCAACCTTCACAACCAATACATCCCAAGGTAAGACTGATGGAAACAATATTGAGCCTCGACTAGCAGGTAGTGCCTCGGCGGCAGGAATGGTCTCTGCAGCCAAAGGCGCAGCAGGTGACTATATTAATGCACTCTTTATAGGCGAGGAGTATTATACGCCTGAAGACGACATTGCCTCCGTCCCTTCATCCTATCGGAAACTTCGAAAATCCAGGTCGATGTTCACCTGCTCTGAAGCCAGTATAGCTTCACGAGGCGACGACCAAAGCCCATCATCCATAACAATAAATCAGCTCCCAACGATGTCCATGGGTTCCTTGAATAGGGGTATTGGCGAAAATATGCCTAGGACAAAACTCAAAGCACCCAAGTCCATGTCTTTCTTAAGGGGTCGCTATGACCAGTCGATGTTGTTCTCTAAGCGCCGTGGAAGTGTTCCTTTGGGGCTATCTAGTAACGGAAGCATTAAAACTCGGACTAATATAGAGATTCCCACGAAGTTACAACCATCAGTCTTCTCTCGTTCAAAGTCTATCAACGCCGAAAAGGTTCTCAGGAAGAGCATGAGAGATGGGAGTAATGATACCTTACCAATAGATGGGAAAATTCCCAAAGATGGTAGTCTAAGAAATCGCGCGCGGAAGGTCTCGAACAGCTTTAAGCATAAATTAAAAAGCTTCTTTAATTTGGTCAAAGGAGATACCGATGAAGCCGAGTTTCCCCCTCAGCAAATTGAAGCTTCAAAATCCCATATCATGGACCCTAACTCTATGGGTTATACAGGATATGACGAATTTCAGTTTGAGCCGACAAGTGACGAAGCGGCTATATCACGCGTTCCTTCAGGGGTTCCGTCATTACATGCCGTCCCATCATACCAGCAACTTCGTTCACGGCAAGGCAGTGTCGAGAGCCTAAGAAGCGAAAGAGGAGCCTCGGATGAAAGGTCTCGAGTAACAAGTTGGTCGAACTCAGACACCAACACACTTAACACGTTAACCAGTCAGAAAAATGAATGGGACCGACAGCGTCTATCAGTTATAAAAGAAAATGGGATGCATGTCTCTTCATCATCAGCAAGAACTCATGCCAATACCTACGGCGTCAGTCCAGACGCTAGCGTTCGTTCTGCTCGACCACCACTGCCACCGCAGCCGGTAAGCATTGACAGTCAAAGAATCTACTCTGCGCTTATGAAAAGGCTGAACGATACGAATAAACATTCGCGAAGAAGCGAACCTCAAAGGCAAGAAAATGTCGGTGGTTTCATTGATACAGATGCTGTACCTTTGAGAGGTAGCTCTCGGGATCATGACAAACAATTGTCTATCTCGCGAGCAACCATTCGCCACGTCCTTTCCGACGAATTCTCCGACATGTCTTCGGCGAGAACAACTAGAGAGAACCCGATTTCAAGTGGTCTGGAGCTTGACGCGAAACTAGACGAATCCCCTTTCCATTCTCCTAGTAAATTAAACACCAAGAGACAGGAGCTTTCATCCTTTACATCAATAACCAGAGGAGATGAAACCAGCGAGCTCACCAATGGAGATCTTTCACCACCCTCTGTACCACACGTCGATAAACTCTCACCTCAGGCGAGAACATTGTCGACTCGTAGCTCGGCTTTCTTTGCTAGTCCCACGTGTCATCTATTCCGCACTCGAAGCCCATACAGACGTGCACTCCAAGATTATATGAAAGCCGAGCCCCAGAACACACGTACCAGGTCCCCAGAGTTTAATCCTTGGATGCGTTCACTGACGAGCATACCCATCAGATGCCCGAGCACATGCGAGTCTGAAGTGGATAAGAAAATGTATTACGCGGAAAGTGTATACTCTTGTACAACAGAGGAGCCATCGACTGGGCCCTTGAACAACAATCTATCTCATACTGTAGATAATTTGCCAAGACATTCAATCACACATGGAGACGCCACAATATTTGTCAGTCCTCCTGTCTACCGGCCTACTCCGCCGCCGCCACCTAAACAGAGAGTCACATCTTCAGCAAGTTCCGTGGAATGGAAAACGTGGCTATCTGCTAATGTTTCAAAACTCGAGGGCACGTCTGGCCGTGCGGACACAAATGTCATGGAATATGCCGTACCATCGACTCATCCATCAGGTCATATTCGCGAAGAAGCCCAGATAAACGACGAGGACGAACATCTTCCATTAGAAGTATATAAGCCTACAAGACCGGACAGTGCTCTCGCAGCAATTGAGAACAATGCGAGAGCCTCTCCACAGACCCCACGACATGTTCCCAAGGGTTCATCGCCAGTTTATGACTGCGGAAAAGAAAATGAGGTTCCGGAACGACCTGCGGTCCTTTCTAAAAGTATATTACGTACTACACCATCATTAGCAAGTATGAAATCGGGTACCCAAGAAGTAAATACATCTACAAAGAAAGGCGTGTTCGATCCTAACCGCCGGAAGTCTCTCGCGCACGCGCCCTCGCTCAACGCGTTTACGGGCAATTCTACCCCAACTTCAACTAGGAAATTGGTAAGAAGACAGCTAGGACATAAGATTCATGCTACGCCCACAACAAGCTCAGGGCATGGATTAATAGTGGATAAAAGCTCGGGAAAGAACAGTAGCTCGACTAATTCGATGCGCGTATTTGGCACCACGGTATTGAAGAAAACGGAAAACGTTAGCCCAAAAAGCACTGTCGATGTTGATGTTGACCCATATGGTGTTCAAGGGTCCGGTATCCTTGGCCCAGGGGCTGATCTGAATCCAGAGTCGATAGGAAGCAAGAAGATAGTTGATCTCTTCCTTAGTAGCAGGCGTAAGCGCATAGCGAGCGGCGAAGATGGTGGTGTATTCTCATAATAGACGTATACAAGAGATATTGGTTGGGTAACCTTGAGTTGGTTGAAAGGAGAACGGGATACTTGCCTGAAGCACAGCACTTACGTGGCTGCGACTTTTCGAGCATCTTAGGTATCAGGAAAATTAACTCACAGCATTGTACGGTACGACTATAAAGACAGACGTATCGATAGAAGGAGTGTATAAAAACACTATACGACCATCGTTTAGTATGAATGAGGAAATGGCCACTTACGTCAAGACTTCCCGCTAGAGTAGCTATACAATTGTAATAGAAGCAAATTAATTCTGAACACTATTCTGGGCAAGTTTACTTTTGTTGAATTATCTGAAAATGGAAATATTTATATATTCGTATGAGGGTGTTTCCACGTCCTCGTAATCCCTCGGGATCCCTCGGGTAGAGATATTATCTCAGCAGCCCCTAACTATTCGACTTGGACACAACTAATATGTACATATTTTCAAACATCAAAACCATGGCAACTTCTTAGCCACTAGTAAAACCTCTAGACTGTACAATAACTGCCAGGAGTAGTGGGATCTTCTTCGAGCGAAGACTGTTCCAGCGTCATATTCTACATCGATCGTTATTGACTTGGCGAAACCGCTCCTCTGGCTTAATGTCAGAAGAATAATACCTGAACCTAATGGCTAGGTACCTACCTAAGTTGGTGTGGCCATATATTATGCTGGGTACGTATCACGTCGAAGGAGCGTGTGCGTCGATACGTCGTATTGCGGCTCCTTTGCGTAGCACCGCTAGCCAATCACAGATGACCCCGGGTTCTGACGTGCGTTCCGTAGTTTCAGAAGCTGGTAGTGGATGATAATGTGGTTGTGTATCACGGGAGGGGCTGTGATCCTCCGATGTAAAGCTTGGTGGTATGTTATGGCTTGTGGCGTCGCTTGGGAAAGCTTGTTATGGTTGCATTGGTAGCGAGCTTATTCCTGTCTGAAGAAAGGGAGGCGGATCGCCGAGATCTTTTGGTTTGGATCAAGATTTCGTGATGAAACGAAAGTTATACCCTGCCATGGCAGGTATATATATATATATATATATATATGGAACTAGGCATCCAATTGATGCATATCGCTCTGAATATTATTTATCACATAGATATGGACGTATGCATATAGTATACCCTAGGGCTTGCTTACTCTGTAAGCAAGCTAGTAGATACATATCTGCATGGTTTTGGTTGCGGCTTGTCAACGTCGTAATATCGTTTTCCGTGGCGGCTTACCAGACAGGACCAAATAGGAGCTATGATGGCTATTTTCAGCCACCTGTCTCAAACTAGAATAATATATTGAATCAAGAAACAAGTAGCGGCTGTATAAGCCAAGGATACTTTCTGGGACGGGGGATACCGTGTCTCTCTTTTATAAAAAAGGTGTAACGTAGATGCATAACAGGTAAGCATATAATAAGTATACAGTCTGCCCATAGTACTCTGCGTGATGAATTTTTAAGAGTTTACTTGAATTTTGGCTGTTTTCCCACGTGGGACCATGGATGTTGTCGACATAATTCTAATATCATATGATTACGAAGTACCCTAGTCGTGAGTCTCCATGGAGGACAATCATCGTTACCGCGTCGACTATAGCGAGAATGTCGCGCCGAAGTACCCGGCAGGGAACCACGATGGAATTGAGGTAGTTCCTAGCGATTCTCCTTTCTACCCTCATCCTATATATACTGCTCCTCCGGCAAAAGGAGGCGAAGAGTGGCCCTCGGTACCGAAGAGTTGGGCTGATGCACCGGTGTCAGCAATAGCGTCACCGGAGGAACATAATAAAGAAGAAAGACGACGGGTGTTAGGACTCACTATCCCGCTATTCTGGACAGTTGTCGTCATTATAGTTATTGTTCTTGCAGCAGCTATTGGAGGGGGGATAGGCGGAGGTTTAACAGCGCAACAGAGATCCAACACCAGTGCATTAAGGTTTGTAATACACGAATTATATCATATTCTATATTCCCTCGCTAAAACGAGTTTAAAAGTGATACGGAAAACGCGCCCCAAGCATCCTCGACGTCGGCCTCGCCGGCTTCTGCAACTACTACAACACCGGCCAACGGCCCTCTTCCCTCAGACGGCGGGTGCCCCCTAATCAACGGACAAAGGTATACGCCGTATGCTGTAGATGGTAAACCCATCCCACTCGCGCAAGGCCTTGAGGGACAACAGTTCCGACAGCAATGTTACACGAACTATGTCTCGTCGGGAACATCACAGACGCACGATATCCTGCGCATATTTATGCCGACTCTTGAGAACTGTATGATGGCTTGTGCCGAGGCAAGTTGTCTTTTTACTCTCTCCTGACTCCTCTGGCGATCGACGTGGGCGTGTCTCGGGGTTCAACAAGCAAAATTGTCTAGTTAGGTCTTACTAGAATATTACCCGAGACATTCCGCGCCCCTTCGGTTTTCTCAAATTCTGGTGCTGACTGATCATCGTATGCAGTACAACTCGGCATACTACGCCAACTTGGGGAACGGGACCGGTGTCGGAGGCGGCTTCTGTGTAGCTGTGACGATAGTTAAAGTCGATGCTGGATTTTGCTATTTGAAGAACGGTACCAATACGAATGATACTCTGGGCCATCCGGATATTTATTCGAGTGCTGTGTTGCTTACTAAGATCGATATACCGGATTCTTAAGGGATATCGCGACGACTGTCTTATGAAGTGATATCAATTATAGAGAAAGGCGGATTATAATACAGCTCCGTATTGCAATAGCTAAGTAAATATAATGTACTTATGAGATATGGAGGAGTACACTGTCAGGTTGTAATTAGATAGTGACATTTTGCCGCGAATTGGCCCATAAGCTGTCTAGGGGCTCATTAAAGGGGGGGAAGGGAGGGGGGCATTGTGTAAAATAGACATTTAATGCGGTATATTAAAATTTTTGTTTCTATTGTACAGCAGAAGACATGCCGTGAAGCTGTTTATACAGGTCATAAGTTCATAGCGCGTACTTTTCGACCTGTCCTTTTCCAAGCAAGTCGTCCAAATACTCAGAATCCGTAAATTCCGACCACACACCATCCTACATCCAGCAAGCCGTAACAGGCTAACTGCTGGACTACCAGATCATATCGTACACATGTCCGAGCTTAAGATCGACTTTTACCTAGTTCGCTCTGCGCCGTAGCAGTAGGGCCGCCTTTAACTCGCTGGCCCTCAGTAACCCGCTTTTCTCCCTCGGTAATGTCGTGGAGGTTCTGGCTGTTGATGGGCTCATTGGCGTGACTCTGGGCCTGTGCCGTAGGACCCCCCTCCACGGGCTGGTCTTGGCCCGTCAACTCTTTCTCCGCGTTGTGGATTGCGGATATGGTGTGTGAATCTAGCTTTCCGGTGTGTTGCGGGGCGGGATTGGCTGCCTATAATAAGGGAAGTTAGTTACGGGAGAGTTGTAGTTATCCGGTTTGAGGTTTGGGCAAGGACTTACAGAGGCGATGCTCTGAGCGAGAGCTGCGGGACCGCCTGATACGGGAACATCACGACCTGTTATTTTCTTCTCTCCCTGCGTGACATCGGAAACCACGTCGGAGGAGACGGGTTGGTTGGCGTGTTTTTGCGCTTGAGCTGTTGGGCCACCGGCTACGGGACGGTCTTGACCTGTGAGCTCCTTCTCCTTGGCTGTGATTTCGGAGATAGATTGCGAATTGAGAGTTCTGTTACTGGCCACGATGAATGTCTTCGGGACAGCTGGTCTAGGGGTCACGATGTGTGAGCTGATATTGGGTAGTCTAAAGAGGTTGGTGATTATGAATCGAGACATGATTTCAAGATGAGTTTGTATAAGTGATTGTTGTGAAAGCGGGGGGGAAGTTTCCTGGTAAAGGTTTAATATGTCCCTTTAACAATTAGACCGCTGGGAGAATGCTGAATTCGAGCTATATCTATATATTTAGATCTATGATGATTTGAACGTCATATAAGACCAAACAACCCCATATCTGACCTCATGGGTTGATCCCATCCGTTTGTACCTGCAGTAGCGCCATCGGGCAAGCCAGACACACCGGTTCTGCTTTGATGGATGCTTTATGGATTCGTAGTTTATTATTGTAGATAATTAATGTTAAATAAAATCTACTAATTTTCAAAGAATCTAACTCATGTATTTACAGGCCAGTTAGTTGTATATTTAGGTACCTAGGTAGTCTTCTCAATAGGGAGCAGAGATGGTAGCTTTAATAGATGACGTCAAGAACCGGTCTGGGACTTATCGCCGAAACTTTCTGGTGTAATGATTGACGGGGGGCAATGTCAGGCAGAGTTATCTTTAGGCTACTTGTCCGCAAAACCTTTCTTTTGTAATTATAACATACCATTTAGAAAATAGGCTCATATTGGAAGGTTTCCACGACACGATACTGAGTCGTGTATTACTCTCTACTGCATATCAAGTAGTTAAATACTATAAGGCTCAGCTGTTTTCATATAAAATATGAGGGATTAAGTACTTAAACTATAGTTAAAGGAAGTACAGTTATCGCTGTTTGAAATGGTTATAGAAGCGTTCGGTCAAGTCCTATGTTATAAGAGATAACCCTGATCTTAGTTAACCTTAAGTAAAGAGAATACGTGCGAATTATCTAGAACTTTACGACTTATTATATATTGTAGCGCTTTATTGGACTCTTACAGGTTTATAATATTACTATTTCAAGAGTATATGCACAATCTTAGTCTTCGATCGTAATGGGTTCGACCGCATCCTTCTACCTCGGTAGTGGCACCAAACAAGTCTCCGTATCAGTTCTAAGAGACTCTTCAGGCTAAAACTACGCAGGCTGGATTCGTTGGTTCCCCTATTTACCCCAATGTCTTCGACGATAGAAATAGCTACTCCCCGCAATATTCATCTCGTCCGCATATTGGGGTTGCATTGGCGATTTCCCATCTTAACCGCGATGATCTAGATTCCTCAGACAGTTATACTGGTACACCATATATAGCCACATGAGGACGACCCTGAACTGGTAGTCAGTGTTTAAATGGTCACAGAAGCAATTCTCCTTTGAGCAACAATGGCTTCTAGGGTGGTAGCGAGCGTTATCGCGCTCTTGACTATGAAAAGTGTAGTCGCTAGGGACTTTCCTAACTGCCAATCCGGTCCTGTAAGTGGATGAGAAACTCTTAACATTGTCATCGTGAAACGCTAATAGTTGTATAGCTTACTTCTAACCAAGTATGCAATACTACTCTTGACCCATGGTCAAGAGCGGCTGCTGTAAGAACATCAATCTTATTCGAATAACTAATTATGCCTTAACTCATCTCTCTATCTAGCTTGTAGCTCAGTTCAGTCACGATGAGAAGATATCTAACTCCTGGGACAATTCGCCAGGAGTCTCGCGTCTTGGTGTACCTTCCTACGAATGGTGGAACGAGGCACTCCACGGTGTCGCCCGCTCTCGTGGCGTACAGTTCGCCAACTCGGGGAATTTTAGTTACGCAACATCGTTCCCTCAGCCTATAACTATGGGCGCAGCTTTCGATATGCCATTGATACGGTCCGTGGCCGAGACCACGAGTACCGAGGCCCGCGCGTTCAGCAACGCTGGCCGGTGCGGTCTGAACTTCTGGACCCCAAATATTAACCCGTTCCGTGACCCCCGTTGGGGTCGAGGGCAGGAAGTACCTTCTGAAGATCCATATCATATGAGCCAGTATGTGATGCAACTCATACCGGGGCTCCAAGGGGGTCTGCATGGAGACCCATACTACAAGCTTGCGGCCACATGTAAGGTAATAAAAGAGCTTGTATCCCTCTACTAATAGCTAACGGTACGAAATTTAGGCAAACATTATGCTGGGTACGATATGGAGAATTGGAAGGGAAATCGGCGATATGCTTTCGACGCTAAGATCACCAGTCAGGACTTGCAGGACTACTATCTTGCTCCATTCCGCGCGTGTATACGTGATGCGAACGCCCAGTCGGCTATGTGTAGTTACAACGCTGTCAACGGTGTACCGACCTGTGCAGACCCCTGGCTACTCGAGGATGTATTGCGCGGCTTATACGGATTCAGCAGCGAGGACCGCTGGGTCACAGCCGATTGCGACGCTTTACAAAACGTCTGGACGGATCACCGCTACGGCTCCTCAGCTGCAGGTGCCGCCGCAGCCAGTTTGAATGCTGGCACGGATCTTGACTGTGGTCAATTTTGGCCTCAGAATTTGCCCCCAGCTTACAACTCTCGGCTCTTTAACGACACTGTTCTTGACCGCTCATTAATCCGACGCTACGCGTCTATGGTACGACTAGGTTGGTTCGACCCGCCAGCACAACAACCATACCGGCAACTCGCATGGGACTCCGTAGCGAAGCCGGAGGCTAAGGCACTTGCTCTACTAGCCGCACAGGAAGGTATTGTGTTATTGAAGAATAATGGTAGCGCACTACCACTAGCTAAGTCCATAAAGCGCGTGGCTGTTGTTGGACCCCTCGGAACCGCAACGACGCAAATGCAGGGAAACTATTACGGCATTGCGCAGAGCATTTCGACAGTAGTTTCAGCGTTTAAGGCTGCGGGATATGATACCTCTAATACGCAGGGATGTGCTATCACAGGGACTTCGACATCTGGGTTCTCCGCAGCGCTGAATGCAGCCAATGTCGCAGACGCGGTTGTATTCGTCGGTGGCATCGATACTAGTATCGAGGCTGAGGACCGCGATCGCGAGCAGATCACATGGCCAGGGCAGCAAATAAATCTGATCAAACAGTTGGCAGCAGCCAATACCAACAAGCCGTTTGTAGTTGTACAGATGGGTACTATGCTCGATAGTTCAGAGGTAAAGGCACAGACGGGCGTTGACTCGCTTTTGTGGGCTGGGTACCCGGGACAAGACGGCGGCGCGGCGGTGGTTAGTATTCTAACTGGTGAAAAGGCACCTGCGGGAAGGCTGCCGGTGACACAGTATCCGGGAGACTATGTAAACCAGGTTCCAATGACAAACATGAACTTGCAGTCCAGTACTGGAAGCCCTGGGTAAGTAGCCCCTTTATCCAATCATCTATCCGTGATGTTCAGTGAGAAATTTCAATTAACGAATATTACAGACGTACTTACAAATGGTACACTAAGGAACCTGTATTCCCCTTTGGCCACGGGCTGCACTACACCAACTTCAACGTATCACTACCAGCTGGCCTTCCCACTACATTCTCAACCGCGGATCTCATATCGAACATCTCCTTCACAGAGACCGGCCCCGTTGCTTCCGGCAACTACCCCGACCTGGCGCCATTCCTCTCGATCCCTATATCAGTAACTAACACGGGTAACATTACATCCGACTACGTCGCCCTCTCATTCCTCAAGGGCGAGTACGGCCCCGAGCCCTACCCACTTAAAAGCTTAGTAGGCTTTACCCGGATCCATGACATCAAGCCCGGCGAGACGGGGACAGCGACGCTTGACCTTAAACTTGGTGCTATATCGCGCAGCGATAAAGACGGTAGCTTGACGCTCTGGCCAGCGAAGTATAAGCTAGTGCTTGATATTGACGACCGTGCAGCGTGGGACTTTGAGATCACGGGAGATCAGGTGGTGTTGGAGAAATTACCGCCGAAGAGGTCGTAAAAAAAGATATGAAATAAAAAAGAGACGGGGAAGGGGGTCGCCACTTGTGAAATATGTAGTAAATAAAATCACAATCTAGGTAAATATTTACGAAAAAGTTGCACATGTGTTTAACATACCTATGTATTAATATTAGTGATACAACAGGGCTAGGCACCTATACAATCTGCGAAGCGAATAAGTCTACCTATTTCCCGAGTTAATCAACACGGCACAGTTGGTACCCAACCTCCTTCCAGCGATCGTTGCCTACACAAGGGTGGCACCAGAAGACATCATCTGGGTCTACAGCGCGCTTGATCTGGAGTAGGCGGTCATAGTTGTCTCCCCAAAAACTTTGTTGCCAGTTTGGCTCTCCGGGGTTGTTCTATATCTCTTGTTAGCTACTATGTTACTCATAAGGAGGTAAGTTAAGTACCTCGTTTAAGTATGATCCCATTTCAGGTGCTAAATTTCTGAGCGGTTCTATTTTAGCATTAATTTCGACAAGGGCCTCCTCCCTGGCGGTCTGATTTAATGGTTGAAAGCTCAACCCGGTGACTTGAGGTGAGATAGAGTGTTAGTCTTTGGCCAAGAAGGACTGGAATATGAGTTTAGCTCACCAGCGTGGATGATGGTCTTCCTCCACGACGGATTTACAGAGTCGCTGCCTCCCCTCGGCTTGGCATTCTTGGTACCCTGACCGGCTACAAGGAAGACTTCGCCGTTAAAGGTCTTAAAAGCCTCGCCTACAGCGGTTGCGTTCTTCGTCAAAGCTTCAGCGTCTAAGAGGTGAGAACCAAGCCAGAGATCGGTACCCGCACTGCCTTGATCATAATGGGTGCTGAACCAGTCCTGTAGTTGAGAATAGGTCTGAGGTATCACTGCTGGGGTTATTTCTGGCCAGGTCTTGTTCACATGCTCTATGATCGGTTTCCATATATCAAGCATGTCATTTACATCTTGCGTATCCAATAATAGGAAGAAGCCGCCCATACCGGCTCCAGTTGTTGGAACGCCGGGGTACGAGAAGTTGCCCGAAACAATGCTGTAACCCGATATACCTTTAGAGTCTAGGTAAGGGTATTGCGAGAGCAAATACCCCGCCACCTCCGCAAAGTACGGCGCATCGACCTCGGGACTCAATATGCTCACTGTGGCTGCTACAACTTTTGGCGAGGGATATGTGATAAGTGTAACCGAAGTCATAACTCCGAAGGTTGAACCACCTCCCTAAATTAGGCGATATCAATTAGTAGGCTTCATATGATCGGTAGGGGTGGACATACACCTCGCATAGCCCAGAACAAGTCCTCGTTCTGGCACTCGTTTGCCACAACGATGTCTCCTGCGGATGTCACGACTTCCATTTCCAAGATTTGGTCCGCACCAAGTCCATATCGGGGAGCGAGGATAGAGTGTCCACCGCCGGTCAGATATCCACCAACACTGACCGATCTAGCGTTACCACCAACTATGATCTGGCCTATCTTGCCGAGCTCCTCATAAATGTTTGCAAGTTGAGACCCGGGTCCTACGGTTGCAGCCGTGCTGTTGAGAGTGAAGTCGCACCCTTGTGGTTGGAATGACGTGTGCGTCTCCAGGGCTTGCATATGGTGCGTCCATATCGAGAGAGCTCCCGGAGCTTGTGATCTGCCCTGGTAATCATGGCCAGTGCTTTTCACTACTATTCTAATGTTATATGTGCGTGCTGCAATGCGCCATTAGACGGTCAAGTTCGTAACTGTGGCTCGCTTGGCCTGCGGAGAACGTACCAAAATCTAGACTCAACTTGACGTCTTGAGCGGTTGTCGCGTTCACGACATATGCAGGGTATCCGTCAGGACTACATGGGGCATTTGGGTCAGGAAGGCATGTGTCATTGTTGTACTGATTCCACATGCTTGAGATTGGATCATTCTGGGAGAAGTCGTAGGTAAGCCATTCTTGAGCGATAGCTGTGCACTGTTCGGTGTTGTAGGTGGGCTGTTTAGGATGGCAGACAGCTCCAGGAGGAACCGCTTGAAGAAGCTTTCCCCCGGTAGATTGGTTGAATTGGGTCCAGGTATCGGCGGACGGCCACTCGGCAGAACCGGGGGCGGCCTTGCAAGCTACTGCCGGGTGTTGTCCGCCGGCTGTTCTTGGCTGCCTTGAGAAGGCATCGCTATAAGCGAAGACGGACGTGAGAGCAAAAAGTCTCAGCGAAGCTACCATAACGATGTTAGTGAAACATACGACTAATTAAGAGGTGATAGTAAACTCACCCAGCAGTTAATATGAATGGATGTGACGAGCTTCATATATCAATTTGCAACTTCATTTTCAGCTCACCCATTCCGGCTTCAGCTTACGTATGTTGTGGATAGGTGACCAACAGCTACGCTGCGCCGCATACCCGATGTTCACTAATAGATGATAATAATGCATCGTTAAATAATCCTACCTATTCCGAATGAGGGTTGTTATTGGAGCTATGATATTTTTATGAGTTGTGGCTATGTAGACTCCTTGTATGTTGTATTGGCAGAAGCCGAGGCGCTGACCCCTTTTATAGGTATTAAGTACCTAAACCGAGGACAGTAAGTTAGACTGTGCTAATACACGGTACTATGAGCACATAATTCTTAAATTTTCGTTTGTTATTAGGTTCAAATTATATTCCCCAAAAGGATTAAGAAGACCCTGGCCTCGGATGGAACATGCAGCCAACCTTTAAATCCGGACTTTTCAGCCGTAAATTACGCATGAGCAAACAGCAACGGATAGTACGTACCGAAGGTTTATACCTTAGGTCCGAAATACTTAAACCCCCTATTCAACTATAAGACTAACTATAGATTATTATTAGGTAGGTAGTTATAGGGTTATGAGTGCCAAGTAACTATAAACCACCATGATATAATCGCAATAATATGGCACTTGGCCAAAGATAACCGTTAGTAATAAAAATGAGCTCATAAAAATATTGGAATTTTAACTCTACGTCTACAGGTACAAGAGCTATTTATCTAGGTACCTAACGTAGGTACCCGTAGACAAGTTGTATTGTAGGGTGGGTATATTGGATACCTGTTTAATTCATAGCGTGGTTGAGCAGTAAGACGGACGAAATAGCATTGACTCTCCCGTTCTCGCTCTCGTTAAGCATAGAAAGCTACGGAGTATCTCTGCGGGGTATTAGACTCCTATATTATACTAATTAACTACACTATATTATCTCCATCATAATTAAACCCAGCCAACTATGCGTCATAAACATATCTCAATTTCTAGGTAGTTAAGTAAACAGTTTGGAAGATACCTCCGCGCCGATTTCCCGTTTCAATTTCGGAGTTAGCAATTCTCTATAATGGGTCGCTATTGTTACGCAGGCTGATTCACGTCAGTAGTATCAGAACTACCTTCTAAGCCGTTGCACTTTTTCTTTTCCTCCAGGCCGAATTCTGTTTCTAGGTGTGTCCGTAACAATATCTCTTTCTCAAGAAAGCAGAGCAGGAATCCCAGTAGCGCGAAAGCTAGAGAGACCTGCCATATCAACTGCAAACTACGCGTGTAAACATCAATGACACGACCTTTCTGGGGTTATGGGAAGCTTCGTATGAAATCAACATTAGCATATTCGTATGCACTCCCACCAGATAGCCGGGTCTCTATCTGCGAGTCGTCAATGCGCCAGGACTCGGCTACGAACTTGGCATTGAAAATAGCCGCGGGGATTGAAACACCCCAAATCGAACCATAAGCGCGCACGAACGCAAACGCAGCAGTAGCGGCAGCTGTATCGGACTCTGGAAGATCAGCTTGAACAGCCGGGAGGTTGGTAGACATCATAATGCCAAGGCCGAAAGCCGCAATGATTTGAATAATAACCCATTCGGCGGTAGAGGTGTTTCGATCGAACCGTGAGAAGAGGCCAAAGCCTAAGGTTATCAGCGCAAAGGCGATGATATGCAGTGGTCGATATCTCCCAGTTTTCGTTAAGACAACACCAGCGATAGCCCCGGTGACTACCGATAGAAGAGCGGTAGGCAGCAACGCAAGACCGGATATAGTAGGCGACATCCCAAGAACGGCTTAAAAGTAGATGGGTAAAAAGTACAAGACCCAAAACAAATATACGAAGTTAATGAAGGCGATTATCAAAGCCGCAGCGGGTGTGCGACGCTTGAAGACTCTTTCAGGTAGTGTTGGATAATCCCTAACCCGCGGCGCCCCTTCGTATATGTGGAAAAGAACTAAGCCGAAGACACCTAGGAAAAGAGGGGCGAGGATTTGATATGATTTCCATTCATAGCGTGTTCCTCCCCAAGAAAGAGCGATAAGAACAGAGACGACACTGCCAATGAGAATAGCATTTCCGGCGTAGTCGATTTTCTTGAGCCTCTCGACGATGGATGTCTCTCTATCGTAATTTACTCGGAGGAAGAGTAGGTGCAATATCAAGGCCGTTCCGGAGACTGGGAGATTAATATAAAACACGTGAGTATTAAAGATCAATTAGTGATGCTGACTGGACTACCAAAGAGACTCGAGATAAACACTTACCCATCGCCACGTAGTGCTATCAACAATAGCACCACCCACCAAAGGCCCAACGGCGGTCCCCAGAGAGAAGACGCCAAACACGATACCCATATACGCACCGCGCTGACGCAGAGGAATAAGGTCGGACACAATCAATTCTATGAGGAGATTAGCACCGCCGCCCCCTATTCCCTGTACTGCGCGCCCAGCTATCATCATCGCAGCATTATTTGCTCCACCAGCGATGCCGCTACCTAGGGCAAAGAGACTAACGACTGCTATCATCATCCACCGGCGCCCGAAGAGGTCGCACATTTGGCCGATAAGGGGCAGAAACGCGGTACTATAGAATAAAGAAGGTCTAAGTTAGTAAAGGGCCGTATGATTCAAGAGGATATGAATATGGGTGACTTACCTTGTCAAGAAGTACGCATTAACAAACCAAACGTATAAGTCTCCAGCATTGAGTTCGCGGGCGATAAATAGGAGAGCTGTTGAGACTACGGTGGATTCGACGGCTGCTAGTAAAGTTGTGAAGCAGATAGCTGAGAACACTGCCCAGAACCGCCAACCTTTCGGAAGAGTAGTCAATGGGGTACCATCATCATGGTTAACCGAAAGTTGACCTTCAGGTGAAGAGCCCGGTTGGGCTTGCAAGGGCCTGCCTCCTAGACCTTCGCTTCCCATATCTTGAAATAACTCGATACAAGGTACACAATTCTATATATGAAATTTGTAGATAGGGTTGGTGAGAGTAGGAGATTCAAAGTAGACTTTATATAACACAATTAACATCAGCTAAAGGCAGTTTTGAAGTCCCACAAGAATATTTCTAAGACTTCTAACTTTCCCATGGCAATATTTACCAATATTTTCCCTGAAATAGGGGAAATAAGTTCTCAAAGATATTACGAAGGTTAGTAATACAGCCGTTCTGAGGCCTAATAGGGATTTCCTAATAAGGCAAGTCGCCGGCCGCGATCCACATTTACTTCTTATCGAATCTTTAATATACCTAGGTAAGGGACAAATTTACCTATAAGAACCTTAGAACTTTAGGTACCTACATTGGGAGGCCAGCTGAACCCCAAGGATGTACACCGCTTTCCTGGCAGTAAATATTAGACTCATCTCATGGTAAGGATTCATATCAACCCAACTAACCATCATAACCACCATGTCTTATTTAACAGAACTCTGTCCTGCATGCCGCAGTGTCTTATGTAGCGGAAACGAAATATGTGATGAGTGGTATGAAATAGTTGAACAAAATCCTGAAGCGTTTCGATCAGCCGTCAAACAAGACTGCGCTATCTGCTCTATTATATGGAATCTAATCAAACAACAGGTAAAAACCTGGTCCCAGACTTTACCTGAGGCTTGCATTGAACTTCGATTCAGTTGTTACTCTATCGAACCAAAGGGAATCCATCTTGATATCAATTATACTTATTCCATATCAAATTTATACGGTTTTCTGTCCTTTAACATTATTCCAGCTTGTGGTGCGCCTAAGATTGAACCAAACACCTCATCAACCAGCTCATTGACAGCCGCATACAATTGGTTTCAGGATTGCTGTTCCACCCACACGACATGTAATTTGAAATTATTTTCAAAGACCGGGTGGTACCCGACTCGTCTCATTGATATCGGCCAAAAGGAAAGTTTTCATTGGAGGCTTCTGGTTGTCTCCGAAGACGGGATCTCTCCGCAGTCAGCTCCGTATATGACACTGAGCTATCGATGGGCACCAAACCCTAAGCCGATCCTCTTGGCTTCTAATATCGACGAATTCCGTCATGGTAAACCAATTAAAGATCTTCCTCAAACATTTAGGGATTTTATTGTCGTCGCACGAAGATTCTCAATTCGGTATATCTGGATCGACGCACTTTGCATTATCCAAGACTCCAGGGGAGACTGGGAGATAGAAGCACCGACTATGAGATTTGTATATACTAATTCTATATGCAATGTTGCGGCATCAGTATCAAAATCTCCCAGTGAAGGACTTTTCCGCTCACGGGATACGGACAAACTAAAAATGAGAATAGTGCCCTGTTCACTATATTCCGGCAAAGAAGAACCGTCTTATATCTATGAGGACTTCTGGGACAAAGATATTCTTAAAGCACCGCTCCATAAGCGAGGATGGGTCCTCCAAGAACGTATACTTGCCCCCCGTGTCCTATATTTTGGAAAGGATCAAATCTTCTGGGAGTGTCTAACTCGACGGAAATGCGAGCTTCTCCCAAATGGTCTTCCTTTAGAAATACCATCCAGGAGAGATCTTCTGGACCAATTACATTGGGCGGGTGCCTCTAACTCGCGGAAGATGAGCGATACCCTATATAACCTTTGGATCAAGTATATTGAAGAATATTCTCAATGTATGTTAACGAACCCATCGGATAAATTGGCTGCAATAGCAGGCATTGCCCAATTATTCCAGGATTTCACAGGTGACGAATATATTGCTGGCTTATGGAAGTCAAGACTCGTTGAAATGCTGGGTTGGAACGTTTCTGCGCCGCGAAAACTTAAATCCCTAGACTATCGAGCGCCATCATGGTCCTGGGCTTCAACGGATGGAGATTTCACTCTTCGTCTCGACTATGAAGTTCACTTACCTAGTCTAGTTAATGTCTACCCGCATGAACTATCTGATGTGCGTTTGCCTAAACTACTTGATGCGCGCTTCCCTCAACTACTTGACCTCTATATCCGAGCGCGGGGTCCACACAATATGACAGGCATATTGGAAGCCTCTATTACGTTAAGAGCTAATATCCTTGTGGTCACATCTCGTGGTAAACAAGAGCATAATGGAAATTACTCTGCATCTGACGAAACTGGTCAAATTCTTTATATCTGTTTTCTCCCGGACAGACCGAATACCGACCTAGGAAAGGGAGATAAATTGACTTTAATGCTTCTTCGTCCTAAATTTAGGGAATTCTTGGGTTACCTTGTTTTAGTGGAAAATTTTGTTCCAGCTAGCTCAAAGGCTCAATATCAGCGTGTGGGATATGCTTTATTCGATAATAAGAATTATGGAGAGGAATATGAGGATGAGTATGATTATTTCAAGAGCCGCAGTTCAGTTGAAAACATTACTATTGTGTAGGTAAGTTTAAAAGGTAATAACTAGTTATTCCAGTTAACTACAATAGAATATACTTACTTTGAGATAGATAACTACAATTTAAGGATGACAGTCCCTTCCACTATGGATTCGAACTATGTCGACATATTGCAGGTAGCAAAACATACGAATTCCGAGAGTATTAGAATATCATTTTACCAGCTGCGTTACCCGTTTGTGCAAGTTCGTACGTATGTGGGAGCCCTTTTTTTATACCTCCGTAGCTGGGAGATGTTGCAGCTATTAAATGGTGGCTGAATATCGGAATAAAGTGTTTGATTGAAAATTATCGTAACATACATATCATAAGTTACGCTGCAGAATAGATTTCTTGAGATCTTCGAGCATGCCGATCAACGCATTCTCCCGAGTCCGAATCACATTTCGCGCTAGATCCGGCACAATAACCAATGACGTGCCACCAAATGACTGGAAATCGCCCCTGTACCCAGACGTCTGCTTAGGGAACGTTACTTCTGCGACTAGTTCCTTCGCCCGCGCCATCATCGCGTCCATAGAATTGACGAAGAAAATGGATTGGGTCTCCGGCTTTGAGGGCAAGGAGAACGAGCCCACGGTGAAGTTAGGCATTTTAAACGGATACAGGGTAGCAGAGTTAGGAGCTCTGTTCGTGATAAAAGTCTTTATAAGTCGAAGGATCCTGTCGTAAGTTTCGATCAAGCGTAGGTAGCATGAGTACATGAGTAGTTCCGAGGCGGCGTCTAAAGAAAATGGTTGGAGTTTATCTTCGAGCGTATTCTTAGCGGCGTTATTCTGAGGGGGTGGTAATCTCGAGCATATCTGATTTATAGTTTCTATAAATAGTTGCATTATGTGGAAAACGTCCTCTATATCGAACTGTTTGTCCCCTAATTGTGTCTGGGTATCAGGAGTGTTGACTTTGGGGTTCGTATTCAAGTAGCGCATTAAGCGAATATTAAGGCCCGATAACCTTTCAAGTAAAGATATGAGATCTAAATAAGGCTCCTCTATATTTGATGGGCCCTCTATCAAGCCTAATCGGCTGGCATCCAATCTCACTGCCACCAACGATGGCGATTCAGGGGTATGATATGGCAAGGTTGGGGGGCTTGGGATAAAATGCTGCTTATTAAACACGCCATTCGAATCAAACACATCTACATCCATCTGAGATGGCTCAGTATCAATTGATGGTGTTTGATCGCTGGCCTGAGGAGGCGAAATCCGAGTCCGACGTCGTGATGTTGCCGGAGGACCAGAAATGCATGTGGCGTTAGCGCGGATACAGCGCTGACACGGTTCATCGTCGTTATCCCTTTTGCATTTTGATTTAGATCGGTGGCATCGGTCACAAGCCCGTCGCAGCTGGTTCTGGCGTATAGGTTGAAAATGAATCATAATGCCGCCTGCTAGGTATTAATTAATGTCTTTAAAGTAGTGAGTTGATCATTGATGCATCCTTCATATTTTGGCGTTGGTCTGGATTTATTTAAGGGTATAGTGTTATGCACATATCAGTCATAATTATTTATTATTTATAACAACAATGTCAGGGGTCTTCTTCAGAGTGTCGTATACCAATTCTCAATTGGATATTCAACGGTTAGAAGATTGCTATGAGGTAGTTAATTAATATTTCATAAGATATAATCCGTGAATTTCCATGATAGCCAACACATTATTCAGAGTCTTGATGGTTAGTGTTTCTTCAACCCCTATTCGTTACTCCAACGCAATATTCGCATTCCCAACAACCATTAGACACTAAACTAACGTCAGGTAGAGTTGAATGCATGTCCAAGTCACTTTTATCTTTAAACTCTTTCTCTTTCCCATCTTGCCTCAGCTTTGTCAATGCGACAGCGAGTCTGCATATTTGTTCCGGGTCCTCGGACGCTTGTGTCCACAAGGTGTACACGTCATCCCCAATTCCAATCGCCTCCGCCGTCTTCAAGCTCCGCGGATCTATAAAAGGCGCCAAGCAGGCTCAGATATATTGTGCCGTATCGAAGAATATATTGATACCGACATCGCGTAATAGCATGAGAACCCTACCTGTAGTGTTTATAACCGCCTTTAGTCAGGACCTCAATTATCTCATCCCAACTACTTTTCAAGACATCAAGCTTGTGATATCCAATTGGCACACTCTCGCCGCCTTCATTTCCGTTTGCCTCAGTGCTGTTATGAGGCTCGGTTTTCTTCTACTTTGTCTCTAGCTCTTGTGCTTGCGTAGTTATTGTAGCCTCGCTCTGGGACCGCTTTTCGCCAGAGTTTAGCTCGTGGGTCTTGTTCTGCGAGCAAGTTATCACCATTGTCACTTGGGTTTTATCTAATTATAAGGCTATTCTACTATACAAAATGATAGATTCTAAAATATATAAGTTCGTTCTCAACTTCGATAGCGATGTCATAAATCATTACATACATTAAGCACGTAGAGAGATTCAAGGATTGGTGATTTATATCACATCACTATGATGGTATCAAATCCAAAGAAGACAAGTGAGGCAGAAGCTATCCCTATTACATTATATAATTATTTACAATATTTCCATCTTCTCCAATAGTGGCAGCATAAGACAGCTTTAGGGACTGGCTATCATCTTATTCGGGATTACTATAAAAGTGCCTCATAAATAAGGTCTTATACTTAAAGCTCAACATCCTGTAGAATCTATTAATCGGTTTAATGAACCTTTCCGCATTCGGGGTAATAGTCGATTGTCGTAGAACATCCGTCACCCCAGTACTTTTTTCCGCAGTGGTGGCAGCCGCTCTTCCGAATATCCTGGTAATCCCACCACATATCATTGCCAGACCTAGAACAACCCGGGTTTCCTGTGATGAGGATTCCGCAACCGAAGTCGGACCCTATACCGTGACAAACTCCTAGATGTGGCCTTCCGCTTCTGCAGGAACAGGTTAGCTAACGTTTTTTTCGAATGCTAGCAAACCTGATCAAGAGTAAAAGGTAACTTACCCAACAGCTCCATAGTTGATATCATCATTCCTGATAAGTATGGAATTGACGGCTTCATCGCAGGCTTGTACCTTCAGAGTAGCGCACATGATACTTCCCCAGCAATCGCATTTCGGCTTATCCGACCCCTCAAGAGTCCGGTTCTCATACTCATAAGCGAAGCTAAGGCCGTTGGGGATTGCAGAGGCATTGAGCGCGGCTACAAAGGCCGTTGAAACTAAGATGCTCAAACGCATATTTGTGATGATAAGACTTGATCTCTTTTTATGTGTTTTCTGGTTTGAAAATATTAGTCGGGATTGAATATGCCGTTGAAAAGATGTAGTAATTAGAGGATGGGAGCTTCGAGGCCTATTTATATGTCATTTCCTTCATGAGGCTTGCGGTGGCCTTCATTAGTAGGTACCTATAGGGTTAAAGTTATGACACGCCCTCACTAGATATATCCACCTAGGTACCTACCTAAGCCATCTATAAGGTTCGTAGAGACACTATCCTTACCCAAGTTTGATATTAGATCATAAAGTAGATAGGTATGCAGGTGTTATCTAAGATTCGCGGGCTCCTGATGGCTTGGTCCCTTTCTACTGCCGAGGAACTCAGAAGGGGGCTGGCTGGCACTGACTTCAATATAATATTCAAGCTAAAAATTAGCTCACGAGGAACTCTTCCTAAATCTTAAACGAGGAGGTAGCATTTATACGCATAGACCTCGACATGTTGGTGATCTTTGTCAATGTAGGCTTCTACAAGGTACTTCGAATTAGGATAAACTCGAACGACTTTTAAATCTTTTAACAGGTACGATCACTTCCTTGGCCCCAAACCCCAGTAACATAAGATAAGTATCTGATGGGACTTTTAATTTCAATTTTAGGAGGGTGGTTTTATGTTCTTCTATAGGTAATCAAAGTCGATTTTCGACCAAAACACCCCATATATATCAGTTAGTTATACAGGTCGCAGCTAGGTTACGAAGCTTCTTCAAGTTTATTAACCCACTCCTTCCAGACCGCGCCGATATCGTTTTTATAAATCCATGACATGTCTTTCCCACCATCCGTAATAATCTTGTTCTTAACGCGCTCATCAAACGTCGGATTCCCTAGCACCTTCAATTTTGTAGCACGTTTGTCGGCCTCGGAAGAAAGGTGCGTATACATCCGTGAGTAGTATGGTAATCTAATGGCGTCAAAGAGCGGTAGGGCTTTGGTAGTATCGTTCTTCCAGTGTGCCAGGGCCTGTGCTAAAACCCAACCATCCTCTATCGCAAACCCTGCTCCAGATCCGAACGCGCCGGACAAAGCGTGTGACGAGTCTCCAACAAGTACAACTTTGTTGTCCCACGCTGTGAGTCGAGCAAGCTCGGGACCAGCGAAAGCAGCAAACTCTCGCCAGCCGCCAGAAGGAACGCGCGCGAGCGCTTCTCTTATTTCGGGGAGATACTCCTGCATTGTGTTAGCGAGATTAGGCATAGTTAGAGGACGGACAATACCGTAAAATGCGACTCAACATGAGCATTCTCAACTGGAACACCCCAGCTTTTCTTATTTGCGCTATGGATTGCTGGATCTTGCCATGCCCTAGCAGCTATCTCCCATAGGCCTTCACCAACAGGAGAAAAATAGACATGCGTAGTCGGCGTATGCCACCACCCGGTAATCTCGAAGCGAGGATCTAAGTCTTTCACGTCGTCCCAGGATAGAAGAGTCCTCCATATTGTCGTTCCTGTGAACTTAATTTCGTAATTCGGCCAAGCCGTATCTCGGACCACCTATTTGTCTCCTATAAGAGACTCTCTTTTAGACTGGATAGTGAAGAGTGTCTTACAGATCTAATACCATCGGCACCAACTACTAGATCGGCTGTTACAACACTACCGTCTTCGAAATGTAGCTCAACACCCTCCTGACCTTTATCAATTATACGTATCAATCTCTTCGAGAGATGTATTACGCCAGGTTTCACGTGCGCCAAGAGAGCTGATTGAAGCTTCGTCCGCTGAGTTCGAACCGGAGGTCTCTGATCAAAATTCCTCGGCTTCTCACGGCGGTCAAGTTCTTCCCCAGAGCGTCCATTCCTTCCAAGGGTTTAGTAATGAGGTTTAACGAGTACACCGGTACTTACATATTCAAAACTACCCATGTCGGGTGGCCGCTGGTTAATGTATCGGCGACATCAAGGAGCTCCAGCACGTTCCACGTATTCGAACCAATACTTATACCAGCACCTACTTCCCGCAATACTGTAGCCTGCTCATAGATATTTACCGAGACATTTGGAAGCTTAGAGAGGGCGATAGCAGTTGCGAGGCCGCCGGGACCGCCACCGATAATGGCCACACGTAAGTGACGATTGGAAGAGTTCACAGTCATCTTAAAAATAAACAACTATCTAGGTGAACGAACACCTAGGTATAACCAGAGTCTTGGATATTTGTATAGTCCTTTTACTATACAACTCGGCCTCTATAAGTGACTTATAGAGAATAATTACAAACTTTTACAAAGCAGTATAACGTCAATTATCACGTGAATGACGTGCGAACGACTTACTCCTCTCCTGGAAGTTACTGATAAGACCGAGTTCATCAAGTGGCCTTATGGACGTACGACTTAGTGTATAGCTGGTTGAGTAAAGAGCGAATGCTATACTGAGGTCTATCAAGGACATTCGGTTTTCGCCGGTTTGTGTGATAAATCGTAATTACCCCTGTCTCGATATAAGCAACTCAGGCCGACCTTCAAATCCAACCCTAGATGTACAGAGGCTGAGATGATTGGCCACGGAAAATATTGAAGTTTTCTTGGCTTATGTTAAACAATTTTTTTTTGATCTTGGCAAACCTCTATAATAGTTTTGTCAACCACTGATAAATACCAAGTTCATCACATCGAATATCATCTTAGTATAAAATCCTAGGAATACGCCTTGACTTATCTAATGTGCGCAACGCTGCGCTAAATTTACTGGACTGGAAATATGCTTGGCACTTAACCTCTTACCTTTAGGTAGGTAATTAACCTTAAAAAACAAACCTAAGTCAATGAACAGGTATGTTGATGTTTTGTGTAGGTACCTACATTATAAACTATAATAAAAGTTGATGAATAAGAAGGAAGAGTAAAAATAGAACCTTGGTGGTCATCATGGCTATCGCATGTACAAACAGTTAGTAGCGAAAATTAAAGGCCCAGTTTTGACATCCCCCCTAAAATTAATAATAGTCTTTTTTTTGATTATCCTTTTTTAAATAATTACAATTATACGATTAAAATAATAATAAATTAATTAATTTTTATATTAATTTAATTGTAAAAGGTTATTGTATTTATTTATTATTTTTTAAATTTAATTATTGTAATAATGCGTTTAAAAAATAGTTTTAAATACGATATTTTTTAATGCGTTAAAATACGTGGTATAATTAAATTCTTTGAATTTTATTAATTTTTAAGTTACGGGATTATTTAAAAAATATTTAAAGAATTAATTTACGATTATTTTAAGGTTTTTTAACGATTGGTTTATTATATTTATATTTTTAAATTAAATTATATAAACGAATTTAAATTTATTTTTAATTATGAAAATTTATTTAAATATAAAATTTATAGCGACTTTAATTTTTAATAATTAGTTTACGATTTTTAATTTAATATAAATTGTGGCTGTAATTTTTTATTTACGTATAAAAATGTTAAAGTAATAAATAATTATATAAAAGATTTTATTAAACGAAATAATTTTTTTATATATGATATTATACAAATAAATTGGTATTTAATAGCTTTTAACGTTAAAATTGTTATTAAAACTTTAATAAAAATTATATTTAATTATATGGTTTAATGGTTTGGTTAATATAATTGTTTTAACGTTATAAAGTTTGGAAATAATGAATTTATTAAAAAATAACGTTAAAATAAAGTTTAAAAAAAAGTTGATTTAAGGTTATGGTGGTTATTTAATTGGTAATAAAAAATATTTTCGATTAACAAATGGTATTTTAACTTTTAATTTAAAATAAAAAGTTATTATTTACGTAAATTAAAGTATTATAAAATTTGGTAAATGGTATTTAAATTAAGTCAAAAGTGTTGTTTTATTATAAATAAACAAATAAATAAAAATATATATTATAATTTATTTATAATTAAATTTAACGGGATTTATAAATTACGTTATTTAAATAAAAATGGTATATTTTATAAAAAATAATTTTAGGAATAAATATTAATTTATTATGTAATTGTTATAAATATTAATTATAAATTAAAATTATATTAATATAAAATGTTTTTAAATAATAATAATAAAATAAATTTTTATATTTATAAAATTATAATAAAATTCGTTATATAAAATATTAAAGTTTTTTATAATTATAATAATATTATATTATAGGAAAATAATAACGGTGTTTATACGTTTATAAAAACTATAAATTAAAAATATAATATTAAAGTTATAAAACTATTAAATATTTATTATTATTTTAAAATAATTTTTATTAAAAACCGAATTATTGTTAAAATGGTAAAAGATTATATAAAAAAATAACCTTATTTAAATATTCGAAAATTATAAATAACCGTTAAAAAAAAGTGGTTTTATATAAAACAAAAAAATATTAATAAAATATATATAAATATACCTAACCGTTAAATTTAATTAAAAACTAATAGAAATAAAAGAATTAATAAATAAAAATTTCTTATTTTTTTTATATTTTTACAAATTTTTACGAATTTTTTAAATTGAATATATTGAATATATTATATAATGTTAAATTTGGGGGGAATGCCAAGATTGGGCCTTTAATTTTCGCTGGGGGCTGACAAACCAGCTGATATCTCCGAATTGTGGATACATTATCAAATTCTTGTAATTTGATTGGTCCGATCTAATTACCGGACCAAATCGATAGTGACTTGATCCCCTGTAACGGCTGTAAGTTGCTGAAGTTGGCTGCTGCAACCTCAGATTCTATATTCTGTAACCATCCTTAGAATAATTCGGCATCTTCGCAACAACTTGTCCACTGGCCATGAACGCGTTGAAACAGTTTTTTATGCGCGCAAGTATTCGCACAAAATGACTCTCAAACCTTTGAACGTCACAGACGTTGAGAGGGATGGATCTTTCCTTTCCCCCAGCCGTTACGACGATGATGCCTCATCGCTACACAGTCGAAGTGACCAGGATACTGATAGCGAGGATGACGAAATACTAGCTGCCGCACGAAATAGCAAGGAGTTACGCGCACGCGATCGCATGGTATTGATGGAGGAGGAAGAATTGGATAAGCTAATAATCGATTCGAGGGCCCGAAAGGAACGAGAAAGGAGAGGGAGCAGTCTTCAGAGACGGGGGAGCAATATTGCGCTACCGAACCCGATACGCTTACTGAGAAGTTATAATAATACTCGATCGACGAGTGCGATAGATGATAACGAGAGTTCGGTTGAAGATTTACACCATGAGAAAAGGAAGAACAGACGGACACGAAGGAAGGAAAAGAAGCATCGCTTACTCAAGGAAGCGCGCGACGGCGAGGATGGACAACTCATGTATGAGATGGAGCAAGGGGGACTTAAGGACGGGAGCTCTACCGGCGATAGTAGTGAGCGAGAGGATAGCGACGAACTAGATCGCAAGCGCTTAATAGGAGTATCTGACGCCAAGGCTGCAAGGACGAAAAAGTGGAAGAAATGGCTACTCATACATGCTACTATCATAGTTGGTGTCGCGTTTCTGACCCTCGTTATTTGGAAGCTTTCTATGGGCAAGAAAGCAGCTACTCTTCCTCCTCAGTTGGTTAGCAATGGTACAGCTTTGTTCTTACCGACTACCCTCATTATCAGTTTGGATGGGTTCAGGGCAGATTTTCTAACTCGGGGTCTGACGCCAAGGTTGAATGCTTTCATCAAAGAAGGCGTGTCGCCACTCTATATGACCCCGTCGTTCCCGTCTGTGACATTCCCTGTAAGTCGCCCTAGCCAAGGCTTGGCTATTGACTAATTGACTAATATACTTATAGAATCATTATACCCTTGCGACTGGCTTATACCCAGAATCCCATGGTGTAGTTGGCAACACGTTCTGGGATCCGGCCTTAGAGTCCGAGTTCTATTATACAGACCCTGATAGGAGTCTTGACGCCAAATGGTGGGGCGGTGAACCCTTTTGGGTGACTGCCGAGGAACAGGGTGTTCGCACCGCTGTGCATATGTGGCCAGGAAGTGAAGCTCACGTCCTAGGCAAGGATCCGAGCTTTTTGGACAAGTACAATGGTAAGGAGAAACTACCTAAAAAGGTCGACCGAATCCTCGAGTTTCTCGATAAGCCGGGCGTGGAGAACCCAGATGCGGATCCCACGGACATAAGGCCGCAAATCATAGCCGCGTATGTTCCTAATGTTGATGCCGATGGTCATCGCTTTGGCCCGAACAGTACTGAGATACGATCGACTATCAACGAAGTTGATACAATGCTTGATCAGCTCTTCCATGGGTTGGAGGCAAGAAATCTTACTGACATTGTAAATGTCATTATCGTGTCCGACCATGGCATGGCTACCACGGATATTAGCCGGATGATACAAATCGAGGACCTAGTGGACCTAGATAAAGTCGAGCACCTCGACGGATGGCCCCTAGTTGGCATTAGGCCTAAGAATCTAGACGACCTGCAGCTGCTGTACGAACAAGCTGCCGAAAAGGCCAAATCCAACCCCAACTTCGATGTGTACCTGAGAGATAAGAACATGCCGGAGCGGTATCACTTCAGCAATAATGACCGCATTGCGCCGCTGTGGATCGTTCCAAAGACCGGGTGGGCGATTGTTAAGCGGGAGGAATTTGACATTACGGACGCAAAAGCGAAGAATCTTGTTTACCACCCCAGAGGTCTACACGGTTACGACCATGAGCATCCTCTGATGAGAGCCATTTTCGTCGCCCGTGGGCCTGCTTTCCCACATCAACCCCACAGCAAAGTGGAGGTGTTCCGTACGTCACCCCTTTCCTTATTTTAGTTTGATTGGATACTAATTACGTGCAGAAAATATCAACGTGTACAATATCCTCTGCGACTCCATCGGTATGCAGGCCATGCCGAATAACGGGACACTACATCTACCCCTGAAAATCGTCGGCCTTCATGACCCGGAGACGGTCCTCGAGGAACCAGCTGATCCTGTTAAGCTCGAGACAGCTTCTACTACCGAGGCAACTTCTACCGTAGATGTTGCAACGGAAGCAACGTCTATTCTCCCGGCAGAAACTAGCTCTGAGGTTGGTCAGCCTTCTGCAACGGTCGGTGTAGATCCTATACCCGAACCCGTTGGTGATAAGCCACAGGAGGAAACTCCTCCGTCGAGTGAAGATAACAAGGACGAAGCCGACGACTCCGCCTGGTGGGAGAATGCCTGGGACTGGGTGAAGGATAAATTCGACGGACTGGTTGATGCGGTTAACAGAATCGGCGAATAGTTTTGATCGTTCTTAAAGCTACCTATATACCAGTTTCGGGCCTTGTTAGTCTTTTATTTGAGCGTGTCTGCTATTTAGCGATGGGCACATCCTATGCGTATGGGAGGTATTCATTTGGAAGGGCACTGGCGCTGGAGGCGTTTTATACCTGGTTTAACCCAGCGCGGGAGGATCTCCTCGGCTCGGATTTTTGTTGGTTTTCTTTATAGAAGCATTGTCTAGAACTGTATTCACACAGAAATACTGATATTAGCTTTCAATTCGAAATAGAAAAATGTGTGAGGTGATGTAATATGTAGTAATATTGTCTGTAGTTGACTAATAGGGGCTATATATCAATTCCGGTTATTTGACCATTAAGATCAAGCTATGCTTTATTTAATCTTAATGTTCTATATTTTAAGGCTGACTAGTTATACTTAAAATGTTGGTCTAGTTATCAGATTCTGACTGAAATAAAGGCAGCTAGCTAACATCTATATTTTTCAGCCTAATGACAATTATTAGCCCTATTAGGGATTCAGGAGTAATTAATGTAAATCATAAAGTGTCACTATCAATCCTCTTCAAGCCCCTCTAAATTCTCAACAAATACACAGAAGCTACACACGGTAAGAGGCTTCTTCTGTCTAGTTACGGTTAATGTCTGATAGATTTCCTGACCATCGGCATGCAACCGTGTGTAGAAGTAGCAATCCGTAGGTGGTCTAGTAGACTAGAAGGGCTGACTCGTAGTCTTGAAGAACAGAGATTCTTATAGGATTCGGTATTATAGACCGAGGATTGACAACAGCAATCCAAGCTATGTATATATTAAAGTGTCTTTTTATTGGTTGACAGGCGACATATCTTTGTCATATATAGGAAAAGTAGTTGCTTAGGGAAAAGAATATGGAAATCGTTCTATGTAATATACCTATTGCTTTTAAAATATGATGTGTATTAAATCTATTATATAGGTATATATCCCTATTTGCTCGTTTCTGGTCTCGTAACCGCAGAGTTTCAAAGGCTCTTGGATGATATAAAATTAGTATTAAATATATCTCGAGGAGTGAGTTCGTAAGAGCTAATAATCACCTAGGTATTTAGTAGAACGAGTCCATCGAGCGTAAAATAGGTATATTTTCTCGTTCCAACAATCATTGGAGTTTCCATTCTTACATTAGGTAAGGTATCAAATGTTAAAGTGTTGTTGCGGTCAGGAGATGATGCACTTATGCAACCCATGATGCAGATCAAGTGGACCTTCAGCCGCAAAGCGCCACAGCTCTGCACCATTGGCTGTCTCCACCTCCTCCAAGGACCCTCAATTCAACTTTATTTACGTCATGGCCCCTCCGGTCCCTGGACTTGGGAGCCCCACGTCGTACGAGGCTGATAGAGTTTTCCCCATATCATATCGCGATAAAACTTTAATCAGCTTAATTCAATCTCTAAACCCAAATTTCTCCAATACCTATTCAACCGTCGCCAACGGCAAACTCAATGGCGCGCAACTACTCCACATAATCCTGGCACACGCCGATAGGCGCGATCGCACGATGAAAATTGGGTTTGGGGTACATTTATTTCTTAAGCCGCCGTAAATCAGGTATATAAATACCTCCACAATGGCAGCGCCTCTGAAAGCCATCGGTGGATTTGTCCCTCGCGCCGTCTTTGAGGTCTCGCCCTCTATTACGCGCTCATATTTCTTGGGCCATCACGCCGGCGCGCTCACCTCCATGCGCAAGGTTCTCTCCAACATTAACCTGATCCTCGAGTGCCGCGACAGCCGCGTGCCCCTCACCTCGACGAATCCGCTCCTCGAGTCCGCGCTCGCCGGCCGCAACCGCATCGTCGTGTACACCAAAGCAGACCTGTGTGCGCCTGCCTCCGCGAACCGTTGGATTGACAAGCAGAAAGAATTGCTGACGAAATTCCACTCCGGCTCGCTTGGGATCGTCGCGGAAGAGGGAGAGAGTGGATATGGGGGGACAGAGGTAGTGTTCACAGACGCGGGCAGCCCACGATCGATTAAAAAGCTTATAGACACGGTTAAAGAGCGCGCCATAGCGTCAGATTCACTGACAGGCTTGCGCGCGCTCGTCGTCGGCATGCCGAACGCGGGTAAATCATCGCTACTCAACGCGCTACGCGCCGAGGGCGTGCAGCTCCCGAAAGCGGCGCGAACAGGCGCGCAACCCGGCATCACGCGCAAGCTTAGCACGCCCGTCCGCGTGATTGCTGAGGACACCGCTGCAGGGCTGGAAGGTGGTGTCTTCGTGGTCGATACCCCGGGTGTCTTCATCCCCTACGTCACCGACGTCGAGGCCATGCTCAAGCTATCGTTAGTCGGCTGCGTCAAGGACGGCCTAGTCCCCGCCGAGACCGTCGCCGATTACCTACTGTTCCGGCTGAACCTGCGGGACCCGGAAATGTACGGCGAGCTTAGTTCGCCGACGAACGATATCCGCGAGTTTCTTGATAATATCGCTGTGCGCACGGGCAAACTGCTGAAGGGCGGCGTGCCGAGTCAAGAACAGGCTGCGGACTGGATTGTACAGCAGTGGCGCAAGGGCAACCTGGGTCGCTTTGGGCTCGATGATGTTAGCGAGGAGACCTTAACTGCTTTGAGGGCGAAGGCGCTGGCTGGCGGCGAGCAACATTTGAGTATGAACCAAGCAAGGAAGAGGGAAAAGGAGGCTCGGAAGGTGAGAAATACCGCTAAGAGGCAGGCTGCTGAGGGAAGTTGATGATTCAGATGAAACATGAACTATAAATATATATTTAAAGTCAAATTATAAAATACATGTATTTGTCAAAGACGACATATGGAACCTAGGCGTCTACGCTACTATATTGATAATCCGTATCGTCATTGTACATAATGTACCTAAAGTTCTACAGCAAGGAAACGCTATTGAGATATAGCAAGGTATCAGAGGGGGTATATTGTAGATACAACACCGCGCCTGTAAAATAGCAAAAAAAGTCCCACACCCTCTCCTCGTACAGGTGCTCCGTGTCCTGAGACCTTGTCCCAAGTTCCTCAGAGCCCCCGACTCTCCCGATCAATCCATTTGAAAATTTGTTAGTACAGCTAGAAAAGTAGAAGCAGAACACCAGTGATAACCCTCCTTTTAATCCTCTGAAAATAACGCCTTGGTTTCCCATTTGCGCAAAACAACGCCGAGCAATGCAGATATAAAGCCTACCTAATGTACCTAGAAGCTAACCTTAGAACGCCAAGTTGACTGTTAAATGAAGCCGTCAATAACTTCAGGGCACAAACTCTTGCTGCCACTTGACCAAATCCCGTGTCAATATGTCCATCATCTCGATACAAGACATATCCTTAAATTCCTTTAGCGAGGAGAGACTGTGGCTGACTCCGTTGGTTACCGATCCGTTCGTAGTTATACCGATATTTTCGTGTTTTGTGCTGTCGCCGTTTACCTTAATTGAAGGTATTGTGGTGACGGATCCATTGCTGGCGCTGTTCTGTTGTGTACCAGCTCCTGAGTCTGATAACGGCTCGCTTGCGAGCTCGACCTGCGTTCTTGTGATGTATTCTAAAATGTTATTGGCGCGCCTCTTCATATCTGTCATAGTAATCCTCGAATTCATGCCGCCCTTTGATTTGCTCTGCTTCCCGGTAGGCTCGTGATTCGATTTTGTATGTGATATGCCGTTCTCGTCGGCGTTTCTTGTAATATCGCGCGACACCGACCTCGCTGGTGATTCGTCATGATCACGATTATCGCGGTCTTTAGTATATTGATTCCTGCCTTTCTTTTTCTGGTTGGTTGGCTTTTTCTTATGGGAATTTGTGGGAACCGGGACTGTAGGAGGCGTATCAGGAGGGGGCTGTGATGAAATCGGAGGATCTGGAGGTTGCGCGGATTCTGTTGCCCTATTTGCTGCTGCGCGAACTGCTAGAGGCATTTCTTCCGAGGGGTCGGAGTCTAGGTTTGGGTTAGCTAGTCACGTCTTTGATTCTGCCGTTGGGATGTTACCATCAGCTCGCCGACGTTCAGCCCGGCCTTTTCGCTTATTGGCAGCCTCGACCCGTCTCCGCTCTTGCTCTTCACGGCGTTCATCTCTTTCGGCCTTTTCGCGCTGATTCCTTGCTGCATTCCGAGACTTTTTTGACGATCCGTTTCGGATCGTTAGTTCATCCTCGGACTCTTCAGGGGCGGCGGATTGAAGCCTCTCAATTTTTGGGGAAGGAGATTTGGAAGTTGTTCGCTGTCGTTTAATACCCTCGACCTTCCTACGTACTTGTTAGCCAAAGCACTAAGCCTTGTTAATGTGTCAGGGACGTACTCTTCACTATCATCTCTACTTCGCTTGGGACGTCTTGATGGTGGTTCTGTGGTTTCGGGGATTGCATCTTCTTTGCTTGCTTCAATTGCTCGGCGTAGTTGCTCTTCTTCATCGTAAGCGGCATCTCGACTGTTCATAGTAGAACGCCGCTTCGATGTATGCGCAGCTGCTGAGGAGTGTGAGTTTTTAGTTGGATTGCTTTTAGGGGAAAGCGCACCATCTTTAGCTGTGGAGGTGGCTCGTGAAACAGCTCGTGAGGGTCGATGGATGGGAAGAAATATCGAGTATTTTTGCCTGGGTGCCATAATGTTAATGTGACGATTGTAATGGATTGGTGACAGGGAAGTCAATTTTGGAAGGGGGAAAGGGAGTTGGAGACCAAGATCGGCAGAGGCGCGACCGTCAGCACTCCGCCGCAGCTGAAGGGTCGCCCAATGCGACTGTCCTCAATTTGATTTTAGGATTTGGTGATGAGACTCACCCATTGCTTGCTGTAAATATCTTATGTAAATCTTTTCGGCATCTTTCACAAAAGTACTGGACATCTTCGAGATTGGACTCTTCGGCAAAACCGACACAAGCACCATGCTGCCATGTGTTGCAGAACTCGCATTGTACATAAAAGCCAGCCATATCATCCGTAACTTCGATAGCAAAAATTCGGTCATGGTCAATTGTATCTCTTGGATCATGCTTCAAGTTCTCGTCAAAGGGCGGTGGCCCTGGGTATTCATCATGACCGCAGATGCAACGTACGGCCTCGTCGTCCTCTTGAATCTCGTCACCAGCAGACGCCATATCGAGTAATTCTATCTTGGATTGCTTTTCTCGGTCGTCTTCTTTCCCGCGCGTACTCCGCCGACGGAGGATGGGGTCGTCGTTCGTTATAATTGTTGAATCCTCGGGGGGCTCTGAAGATAAAGATCCACTACCGGTCGACTTTTGAGGCGAACCGGTTTTAGTGAAGGCTCTTGTGCTCCGCTCGACACGGCCAGATGCACTAGACGCACTCGAGCTATTATGTGATTGTGATTGGGTTGTTCGCGCACGAGAAGAGCGTCTAGTCGGAGAAGTACCGGCCATAGCTTGTGGGCGTGGAGTATGGGCGACTGAGCGACAGGTCGGATTGAGATCGGGGGGGCTTAATGTAGAAAATAGGTTAAACGCGACGGCGATCTAAGCAGAGAATAGAATTGGGAAGTATTCTCTTTAGGTCTGAGCAAGGAATATGTGAGATTATAGGTGATTGGGTCGCGACAAAGACCGGATGTGGTTGGAAGAAGGTGAGGAGACAAGAGTTGCTCCAGGGCGACCGCGAAGGAGCTCTTGAAGGAATTCTGGCTACGCGAAGTCAGAGGAAACAGGATAAGGACCTTGCAAATATACCGTCAGGTCTATCATGACTGAATTCGATATTCGTATAAAAAAAACTGCGTCAGTTTGTAAAGGTAAAGAGTAATAGAGGGGGAGGGAATGTGTGTTGGTTAAGGCGAACAAGAGGGTCACTTTTTTGGAGGAGGTAGGTAGTAGGTAGAGCAACATTGTATTAGGTATTGTTCCTAGCTGGCCCTCGCTCGGGCGCGGGCAGACTCGCGCGACCAAGCGACTTAGCGACTTAGCGACCATCCAGCAGGGGACCCGGCAGCTCCTCAGGTGCTATGGATGGTAAGGTTTTTTTTTTCTTTTTCTTTTTCGGGTTAAGTTCTTAGCTTGGATCCCCAATTGATCCGGGCCCTCTTTCTCATCGGCCTTCCATCGGTCCGTCCAATCCATTGGTGGTGACTGTACAGGTGAGCGCGGGGCACCGTACTCATATGTTGCTGTTCACACCGTATTTTGCCCGATTAGCATTAGATATGCATGCATGTGTCGATACTCCCATACGCATATGTATGTACACGAAGGTGGGAGATTTACCTCATCTCATATGCCGGAGGAAGAAGAGTTATGCTAGGTACGCTTTGGTTGTGGCGATGCATTGTTCACATTGGTGCGCTCTGTTGTCTATTGGCATATGAGATAGATTGTAAGATACGTATGCATGTATCTAATATTGGTATTGGAAGATACTTCGATAAGTTTATGTTGGATGCATTTTGGCTTTTGGGTTTCGATGCTAGAAGAATGCGATTAGGTAGCGTTGATTGGAGATGGGGAAATTGATAGGAGGGGGATAATGGACGTCACTTTACCTGATGTTCCTGGTGTGGCGGGCAAGATGGAGGTGGGATTACCTGTCTTGCCTGTGTCGGGACGAAGTGGAACACAGTATTTAGGTAGGTAACAATTACTTTAATGTACCATTTATTATGTACCTTAGGTACTTGTGTTCCGACCAATCTGACTTCCAATACCAACCGCACTTCAGTTCGAACTCATTTACATAAAGTTCACTAAGATTACTAATGGGGTAATTTCAGGGTTGATTGGCCCTTGTACCTACGTATTTCGTGTATTTCGTACAGTACATCGATCCCTAAACCCTTTCGTGTGACAGTGTGGGCAGCCATCGCTCAGTCAATTACATATCGCCAGCACAACTGATCTCCTTACCTTGTAGGTACCTGCCACCTTACTCAACGTTGCCGAAACTTATTAGGAACTCCCACCTGATTCTTCCTCATACCAAAATCCCAACAACGAACAAACATATTTTTGCTCTTGCTTTTGCAACGTCTTTGCATACCATTGTCACGGCATCAAGATTTCTACTTGGCTTGTACGAATCGGTCGTTATCGTAAATCCATTCTATCAATCTTCCCCGCCAAAAGGGGGACCTTCTTGAATACGGAACACTACGGAGACTCGTCTTAGGTTGTATTGGTCATCTAAGCCCACCACCTCGACCAGCTTCCGTGGACTGTCATTTCTGTATGTACAAAAAAAAGCCTATTCGGGATCTTCTGCCTGCAAAAAGTAGCGGCATGCTTGCCAGAGGCTCAGTGGCACTTGCTGGCTAGGGTCTAGCAGCTGGCTCCGATAGAATCGTCTACCATTTACTTAGAGGTCCGGTATTAATTTTACCATAAATATATAGAAAAGGAGAAGGTCGCTGCAACGAACGCAACTACGAAATTGTGTATCCGCCGTCTTTAAACCTGTATCGATCGCTGTACGATAGCTTACCGCGCAAACCCTTTTCCCTTGCTCCAAGTAGAGGAGTTGAGCAAAGTAGGAATACATTGGAGGAGACAGCTGGGCTGTCGGTGCTACAATTGTAATAGCGGGATGTAATGGGTACGTCGTTTCCCCGGTGAGGGATATCCGCCATAGAAAAGAGATGATTGCTAGAGCCGACACGCTTGTCAGCCTGAAAACTGACTGGGCATGTTGATATGGTCTCGAAAGCTGCCACCTGCCCTTCCGCGTCACACTCCCGCGTCGCTGTTGGAGGAATGGCTAGAGACCCATATCTCAGCGAACCGAGCCTCTAACAAACCCCGCGTCGCATTCGACATATGACCGTCAAGGACGCCTCTAAATTTCTTTTACTACCATGTGTTTCTGCGTTGTATCTCCGTTGAAGGCCGTTTGGCTAACACTCTCGCGATTTGCTCGCGGAGCAGGGCCTTCAGAGAATATGTCTCCCGAGTCTTCCTCACTATTTCCTGACCGGCCTATTCGACCTCTTCCGAAACGTCGACTACGTGAAAGGCTTTCTCCAGATGTCGCCGACAGCATTCAATACCCTCCCGCACCTCAAACTTCAGCGCCCTTGTTTGTCTACCCATACAATGCCAAGGAAGATTTGGTGTCGTTAGGAGCTGAGCCTCCAGGTGTAGCACATCGAGAGAACGCAGCTGAATTAGGGCAAGAAACCGGTCTCCGTAGAAACGGCCTAGGTAATGAAAACGACGGTAATTCACTAATTGGACAAGCTCGGAGAGCTTTCGTATCACGACCCCTCCACGATTCGTCGGGACATGCGACTCGTGCCCCTCTACGACAGGGTCAATCTCGACAACCAAATCCGCAGCCACCACCTTCTACTGCATCCTCCGCAGACGGTTACGATTCCTTTGAGAACAGTAATAATAAGAAGAAGCGGAAGATTCCAACAGCTGGTGAGACAATTTTGAATGGGACGCACGTGTTGAATGATCTTGGAGCGCTAGGAGTATCGTCGCCCGTAGCAACAGGTGATGAGGGATCTTTAGATATCTCAGGATCAGCTTCTACAGCTTATTATCAATCCGGTGGTCTTGCAGCGGGCGGGCAAGGAATTTCCGGTCCTGGCAGAGGTAGGTACGGCCGGGTACGCAATGGTAGGAGCCCTTTAAGAACCCTGTCAGACCCGAATAGCAATTGGGGAAACCGGACCCCTAATAAACTCAGACCAGGTGGTGTACAATATTCATCGCCGCCTGCAGGTAAGCCTTGTTCCGTTGAATTTCTTCACTTTTGATCATCTTCGTCCAGCGAAAAGTCTACTTTTTTTTTGGGCAGCAATCTCTAGACAATAACATGATATTATTCAAAAACAATTAATCGCTAACATATCTTGTTTCGTTATAGGCGAGAATTCCGGAATTATCTCCAGTGCTATCGCCAGCGCAGAGAAGCTTCAGGTACCTCAAGGCCAAGAAAATATCAGTCTTTTACACCAAGAAACATCTACGAAGTCTAGTCCAACGTCATCAGCACAGTTTACTTTCACGTTTGATTCCCAAAACCCTGTTTCCTGGCCTGGCTCTGATCCAGCGCCGTCAAATATGGGACCCACAAATCATATGAACCAGTCTCATCCGGGCTCTCGAGACTCGTACAATGGTCATGGTGCTAGATCTCAAAATGGATCAGGTCCTCCGCCGAACAGGCCAGGAAGTATGCAGGGAGGAATCAACACAGCAACCAACGAAGCAGGCAAAGGAGCAGCCCAGGGTAATGTTCCACCGAAGAAATCGAAGCGTCGCGGTAACTCCCTCTTGCAGGCAGCTAAACAACGCCGTAAAGAAACAGAATTCCAGAATTTCCACCACCCACCAGCACCAGAGGATATTTGGATATGCGAATTCTGCGAGTACGAACGGATCTTTGGCCGTCCACCTGAAGCCTTGATTCGGCAGTACGAGATCAAAGACCGTCGGCGACGCCGGGAAGAAGCAGAGCGGCGTAGGTTATTGGAGAAGGCGAAAATGAAGTCGCGCAAAGGCAAGAAGGCAGGCAAAATGGCAGCGAAGAGTAACTCCAATGCTCCTGATCGCAATCTCACGTCTACGGCTGGACACGCTCCTCCTCCTCGACCTCATGATGAAGATCAAAGTCTGCATCAAGGTCAAATCCATGAAGAAGATCAAGAAAACGGTTATGATTTTGAGGATCACTACGAGGAAGAGGGGCTGGAAGTAGATATGCCTAGTCATCCACGAGCACGCGGTAGTAAGGGTGGTGGAGGAGTGGATAGTAATTGTTTCCAAGGCATCTACGTGAGCCAGTGACAAGCGTCCGACTCTTGTCTTCGATTGGTTGGACTATTCGGTATCTATCGTGTGCCACGGTCGCCTTCTCAACTCCTATTGCATTTTCGAAACACTTCTTTCGCATCAGTTCTCCAGGACCGCCAGCCTAGATACGTCACCTGCCTGGAGTTCAAATCCCAAGTGTCGTTTCTCACCTTACTATCGTTCGACTCGTATGTTTCTCGCAACTCAGGGCCATCTATCAACCGTAAAGTCTCGCTGTAGCGCTTCAATTCACCTTTTCCAAACTCGGAAGAATAGTAGTCACGCAGCGGAGGGTAAATTATTCTCATGAGCTAAACCAAGCAAGCATTCACGAGGTTGATGTCTACGGACGAGAATCGTTGTCAATATCTGTAGATCATCAAAAATGCACGTGTCGTGCTATGATCAGTACCCCTTTTAAGCGCTGTCATTAGAAATGCCTCAGGGCGTATAGACCAGATAGATCATAAGAGACTATCGATCACATGCATTGGCTTATTTTTGGCTCACTCTGTGCTCTTGCTCCTTGGGCATATGTAATATGTTTGGCTTCTGTAGTTCCAATGCCACAGATCTTTTGTCTAGGTACCTAGGTAAATACAATACCCATTAATATTGGTCAAACTCGGGTAATAGTCTATCCAAAGGGCAAGTAAGATGAATTAAAGGGCCAAACGTAGTGGAGCACGTGTGCGATGCTTCCATTTCACATCCATTGGGCTAGGTATATCACTACTATAATCTGTCTGACGCTTGGTAACGTCACCTGTGTGACATGGCTCTGGACCTACATAAATATACGTGTAGTCCGAATTTTGACGTCTATTCCTACCTAACTGTGGCATCTTTTAGTAGTAAATAGATTCAATGAATGTTTAAATATAAAGAATATAGCCCGGCTCTCCATTGAAAAGACAGCGCTAAACGATAGCTAATAAAGCATTTCTAAAATGCTTATATTATTATTCCGTATGGGTATTAGTAGTATATATATGTACCTAGGGTACATCTGCGTTAGTTAGTCAAATGACGTAATTTACCTAAAGTCAAATTAAAAGATGAGGACCCGCTATCCACCTTGCGGCAATGCGCATTGAAAAAGTAGTTCACTATAGTACCTCGGAATAATAACTTTAGGTACCTTAAACATTGAGGAATAAGGTGAGTATCTAGGTACCTATAGGTATTGATTTAGAAGCCTAAAAGGCACTTAGGTATACAAGTATATCGTGTACCTGCAGAGTTTTCAATTGGACTTTTGCATACCAATTAATATAAAAGTTACCCAGGTATATAATTTGAGAATGGTTCACGTAGAACCAGTAGTGTCAAAAAGACGTGGCCCCATGCTTAGAAATTAAGTATTGATTCGTTGGCTGTTGAGGCCAATGGTAAGATGGGTACCTATTAGGCTGAGTCTTTTTTTAGGGGTCTTGAGGGCTCCAGTATTAGCCACGAGTATCTAGATCCTCAATAGATAAAATTGTTATTGCAGCAATATAACTAACTACCTACATGTAGGTTAAGGGAATCTGGCAGTCTAAGTACATGTATGTAAGTGCCAGAGTGGAGTTTGATGCGTGGGAAGCAGCAGTAACCCCACGTAGATATTAGAATGACGGCACTGTACCTATTCCGTCTTAAGTTGAACAGCTAAAGAGGATAGCGCATAGTATCCACTACTTAGTGTGGCTTAAGGTGCCCTTTCCCTTTGTGTCATCATCATACCTCGACTTCCCAGGATTCCCGTTCCTGAGAGCTTCCCAAAGTCTCTTTTTTTTTGTTCCAACGCGCCGGGAAAATCCATTTCAGGTTTCGCTTACTTCCCGCGTTTCTTCCAACACAAAGCTGTTTTAAAAATTTTGGATTTATGATCGCGGCTTCATACAGATCAGATCTATCTACGCATTAGTTAATAATTGTATTCCCATGCAGCCTTTATTATAGTCGATTCAGACCAGGCCTTGAGCCTGCGGGTCGCTCAGTCAAGATGTTCGGCTCGTCGCGAAGGCATCGGCCGCCAAACCCTGTAAGTACCTCATCGACCTGTCTCTAGTTCATCTCGAGTCGTCGCATTCCATTGTCTTAGAGCGCCAAATATCAATTACAATATTGCACGACTCGTGCTTCTTTATCCTCTGAGGGCGCTAGCGTAGATGTCTCTCAGGTCGTTTCGTGGTTGGTTGATATGAAGGGGGTTTCCCCATTGGGTTGGATGGGACGATTCACTCATCATGACGACGTTCATAACTCATGCCATCGTTTTTTTATTTCCACTTGATTACATCGCAGATGCTAATATCCATTCCGAATTACATAGCCTCTGAATTCTAGAACCGCGGACCCAAACGCAGCATCGGCCGCCGCATCCGCCTTCATGTCTGCTTCAAACCACAAACCCAGCAGGTCACTCTCGTCGGCTGCTGCGGCCGCGGCGCTTCGAGCACGTCCTCATACGCCTACAAACGTAGGTGAAGTTCAAACAAAAAGGACGATACGTCGAAGTACCTCAATATCTTCAGCAGGAAGTGCCGCTGCAGCTGCCAATAGTTCGCGCCCAGCGGAGCTTAAAAGAACGAGCAGCTCAAGCAGTATGGCAGAGCGTACATTTCGAAGTCCTTCGCCGCATCGAGCTGGCTCGATACCAGCGACCGACGAACGCCCACCGGTGCCTCAAATACCTCTGGATCATAAAAAGGTTTTACGCCAAGCTTCCACAGGCGTGGGAATGCAGAATTTTAAGACTGCATCGCAAAAAATAAAGCCAGGACAATCTTCATGGTATACCGAACCATCGGGCGACCCAAGTAATGTAAGGACATCTGATCTGCCGATGAAAACACGCAAACCCGAACCGTTAAAACCTCAAAATATCCCTACTTCGTCTCAGAGGCCAGATAGTAGGAGTTCTTCAGTAAACTTTTCATATCCGACTGTTTTTCGAGCCCAGTCACCACCTGCATCTCCTACTTACACCCAGGCGCCGCAGTTTGCAAATTCATTGCCTCGCGGGCCCGCTTCGCCACCTAGGTCAAATAGAGCTTCTATATCCTCGATTACAAGCGGGAAGTCCGATCTGCCGATGGTATATGACCCAAATTCTAGGAGAATGATTCCAAGGTCCATGCTAGACAATGACTCCTACGTCAAGGAAACGGGAGAGAAACAGTCCAAAAAGAAAAAATATAACGGGACTCAGAGAGAAAGCAACTACCTCGAGAAAGCGGCAGGCGTAAAGACAAGAGGAACCATCATTGACGTAGACGCAAGTGAACGCGATCCGCTAAAGCGAGAAGCACCAATCGTCGAGACACCGCCAAAAGCAGAGGAGTCGCGGACATTGGAGGGTTCCACAGTCAAAGCTACAACACCAGGACCGGTACAGCATCAGGAGGAGTTAGATAACAAGAACCAGTCATCAAGATTACAAGGCGCATACATGGCGAGGATCGAGAGCCCGTCTCTCCCCCAGTCAACATCCAACTATTCGGGTCGAAGCTCACCAAATTTAGGGTCAAAATCAGACGTTCTAAGCGAACCTGAGGATGTCTCTGATGAAGACAGCGCTATAAATCAGCCATCTCGAAAGGTACTGGAGGCGTTAGACGCAGTACCGACGAGACAATCGATTTTTGAAAGACCTCAAGATGCACCGCTTGCGGGTGAATCAGCTAAGTTAGCTGTTGGACAAAGTCAAATTAACAGATTTAAGGAACAAGCCAACTCCCCCATCGAATATGCGCCGGGAAATAAGTCCATATCCGCGAAAAACAAACCAGTTATAGAGCTTTCCAGTAAAGAAAGTTATGCACGACGATCAAACTCAAACAGCCCAGCTCGACAAGCTCATTTCTCAACAACTCCATCAGATAATCTCGCAGTACGGCACATCCCTTTGCCAAGATCGGCGTCGCCTATTAAGTCAGCTCTCAAACGTACTAGTTCAACGTCAAGAGAAGTGTCTCCCTCGGAAAAAGGCTCAGATATTTCAAGATCTCGCGACGTGTCTCCACTACAAGAGGAGAATACAACGCCTCGCAAAAAGTCGGTCCGCGTTAGTTTCGATGACCGTACTATGGCCACAGTGGTTGGTGAATCTGCAGGAGATATAGACGAGTCATGCCCGCCAAGTCCACAGCAAACCAAGCGGCCTTGGTACAGTAATATCGGACGAAGCAAGAGGAAAGACTTTGCTCTCGAGGACGACGAAATTATGAAACCTCGGCCTGCGTTGCCAAGCTTCGGAAGTATTAGGGAAAAAAAGCCAAGGGAACCCGAAGAACGACCTCTTGTACGCCCACAAGAATTAGCTCATTCATCTGATTTGCGCTCATCCGCCCCAAACGCGCCTAGCAACTCTGGAACCCCTGATGAGCTGCTGTTAGGGCAGTCAAGCGATCAGGTTGTAGGGTCGATTTTTGTTCGAGAACAAACCCCGCGAAACGCCCCAAATATCTCAAGGTTTAGGGAACCATTGCCACCCGTTGTGACCTCGGTGGAAGGAAGTGGTTATATCTCAGACAGCATCAAGAGCTCCGATTCCGACGATGAACTCCTTAATAGCATCGGAGGTGCGAGTGATGCAGAAGATTTTCCTAGCACACAGATTACCCAACCAGATACCCAAGATAATTCTCAAAGCAACTCAACCATTCTTGAGAAAAGGCTTGTCAAATCGGAGGCAAGTGTACCAAATGCAATTCAACTTCCGCCGCATGATATTCCCGAAATTGCTGTAATACAACCCAGTCCAAAAGGTCCGGAGCAAGGCACGTCCGCTGCAAGCGTACTAGAAGAACCCTTCTTCGACGTCCCAGGTGGGTTCCCAGATGATGGATCAGACAAAACACGTGATATTCAGCCTTCGCCGCAGAGTATCAATAGCAAAGCTAATGGCGATGCTTCCCCCTCACCTATTTTCGAGCCAAAAGCAACGGTACACCCTATCCAACCTGATGTACTCCCTCAAACTACACTCACTACAACAGCTCTATTAGACGCAGTGGATAATGAGTCTACAGACGACTCTGCAAGTATTTACAGTGATGCGTACGAAGATCCCTGGAATGCCGAGGGAGATGGCTTCTTGTCTTTGAATGCCGTTGTCGAGAAGCCTATTGACAAAACCGCACCATCCCAACTGTCAGAATTACCTGGCGATGCCCCACAAGGACCTCATGAGAAATATCAACTCCCAGCTGATAAGCAGTTTGGAGCCGCCGCCAACATCTTGGAACCGGTACGTCACCAAGATGATTGGGAGCAGGCAAAAGCCTTTTGGCGTAGTTTAACAGCCGAGAAGAGGCTTCAGCTTGAGCGGGAGGCTATGGAAGAGGCCGGAGCTGAAGGGGACGAGGACGAGATTGAACGTCCTATTCGAAAGAATAGTGTTAAAAAGACAACTGCTCAACAACGAACAGCAACTGAAGCACAGCCTAGATCGTCGACACAGCCTGAAGATGTCTTTTCTGCCAACTCCACAAAACATTCTGCAGTCAAGTCTAAATCTAAATCTACCCAAGAACCTCCTCATCAACCAGCGATATCATCGCGGATGCGCATGTCCCTGCGTGGAGAAAAGCCCGGACAGGCCTTAGATGGTATGCGAAAAACAATGAGGTCTCACACCGGAGGACCAGCCAAGCAATCTCATCGCCAGACCACGCAGAATGAGAAATCCACGCCCGTCTATACAAAGCCAATTCGACAACAGGCACAACAACCTCCTCAAAAATTACCTACTAAAAGAACAAACAGCTCTTTCCCTAGTGATAAACCTCCTTTACAACGCCATGGGTCTGATGCTAGCGATAGTAGCTTTAAGCGTAGCCGCGCCGCCCGTAACAGCGGATTCAGCCTCCGCAGTTCTATGCGTCCATCATCTGCTAATCCAACTCAAGACATAGCTAGAAGTTCCGGACGGTTCAGTCTACGATCACTCTCGCCAACAGGCTCTTCATTCCGGCAAAATTCAGCTACTAATGCTACGGATGGAGCACCAACCCCTACGATGCGGCGCACCCTACGATCTAGTAGTGTGTCAAGTCAAGAAAGGATCCTCCCATCTATCCATTTTCCCTCGTTTGGTCGGTCGAATAAGAACCCTACAACAAAGCGTTTCAAGAGATCCAGTCGCTTCGGCGACTCGAGTGACGAAGACGAAGGTGAAATTGCCGGCTTCCGCAGCCGCTTTGACGATTCCAGTGACGAAGAAAGTGTTCGTCCCAGTACTTCAGCACAGGCAGGGCCTCTATCAAGAGGTACTCTTAGAGGATCTGCTACTGGCGCAGCTAGCTTTCGAAAATCTACGCCTGTGCCAGAAGTAGACGAGGATTCACCAACGCTACCCGACAGCGATAATGAGATGCCCAGTCCTATGCAGAGCCTGCGAAGTAAAGCCCCTATCGGCGGTGCAGGTTTAACTCGTTCAAATTCCGAAGCTCTGGGGACTGCGACACTAACACGATCACGATCCGGTCGTGGCGGGTTTGATACTTCCGTATCAGCCCCTACTACACCCAATCGGGAAAGGCGAAGCTCCCTGATGGGGATATTAAGACGCAACAAGCGAGCCGATCCGGCAGGTAAAATTCAACGTTCCGGGCTTGTGGAAAGCGCAGCTAGGCGCGATACTAGATTAGAGCGAAGTAGTGAGCAATTAAGAGACCTTCGAAACGACAACTCTTCCAGCCTAAGGCTCCAGAAACGATCTTCCGTTAAAAGGAACGACAGCTGGCCCTTGGGCGAGCCATCTGGGAACGAGACTATAAAACGATCAAGCTCGGCCGGCAATCTACTTGCTGGAAGCGGCACGGGGGGAGCCGCTCAGAGGCCCGAGCTGAACGATAGACGAAGCACAAGCCTAGGACTTCCCACAGTATACCAGAACGAACGAGATGAGGTGATTGTTGACGGTGTAGAACATAAGAAAAAAAAGAAGTTCGGTGCACTGCGCCGGATATTCGGTCTAAACGACTAGAAAGCGTTTACTACCGAGAAGAAGCAACGTAGGGTATTGGTGAAAGGAGGACGTCGAACCGCGTCGTTATGGTGCGCCGGCTATCATTACGAATCGCGACTTTCTATTTGTTCACCAAGACCGCGGGAGTTTAGGAAAAGGGCAAAGGGCTCGGGAGCACATTGAGACGGCATAAATAATTTCCAAGTTGATACCCGTTACCCGTGCGATTAGCATAAGCTTGCAGATAGACTTGCCCGGCCCACGATACTAATAGGGCGAATGATTTTGTTTCTTTTGTATAGGATAGGAGGAGTACACGCATATGCAGAGTCTCTTCGGAAATCACACGCTTCTAGTGGGGTCGATACTCTTCGCGGGATTTTTTATCATTTTTCAAAGTCGAGTGTGTGATACCAGCATCCACTGGGAGCTACTTGCAGAAATGCGCAATCAGGCTAGAGAACGCGAAACGCGCAATGAAAACGAAGGGGGGGTGGGAATCAATATATGTCTTATCAGATAATGTAATACAAGACTCGCTTAACATACATGGTTAACCCTCTAGCCTGCGGGGGAATAAAGAGAAAAGAAACGTAATAATTTATTTGGCGCAATCTGTTTGCGGGCACTGGGGAAATTTGGAAGCTATCGTGAGACCAAGCTTACCTTAGGCTCGTGTGACGAAAGGCTCAAGGCCGGGGTAGGGCTCAACCCCCCGCGCTGGATTTGTATGTGTGGGTGGTACATAACGTACTAACAATAAAAGAATAAAAGAATAAAACCCCCTTGCTGGGCGTGGGACTATGGGAACAATATTTGCAACCATCGTGACCTCGGAACATCGGAGGCGGAGGAGTGCGGCTCTACTATGAACCGAAAATATACCACTGCGATGGGCTGAGTAATATAATCCGAGTCAGGGTGACATTACTCAACAAAGAACAAATTCAAAATGACACGCGACGAATGAATCAGTAAGGTCAAAGAAAATGGTGTTATCATTGTGCATTTTGGATGCGCTGTTAGAAGTCTGGGAGGCTCAGAAACTAAACTCGAACAAGACTTTGATCTACAATCGACAAGGGCAAAAAAGCCTGTTGCGGTGACAATGGCAAGACTAATAAGACGGAGACTTCCCACAATCATAAGGTTTAAAAAAGAGAGAGAAAGAAAGGAGAGGTCATAGGGTAAGGTAAGTGTAAATAGGGTAAGGTAACGAAAGTAACGAGTAGCAAGTTAACGACAGCAAATCCCACGAACATGGACATGGCTCCGGCTTCCGATGGGAAGGATGGGATGGGATGGGATGAGACGTCGTACAATAGCGTACAATTAGAAAAAGCGGCTGCAGGTTACATTTCGATATCGCTCACCGGAAGTCGGTACTCGAATTATCCTCTTTTAGTACCATGTCTTCTTTTTTTTTTTTTTTTTTAGTCGCTACGTGTACGGCGTAGGCGGATATTCCTGTTGGCTACCCATTCCCGGGGGCGTCCTCCCACTGATGTGGGTTGCAATTTAGTGTAACTACTGCTAACTACTGCTTTAGCTTTCCTCGCTTGCTTCGAGTTCTGGGTATTTGCGGGGCCGCACTTCTGCGGTGTCCTAGTAAGAGCTTAAGTACTCGACTCGGGACGCAGAATGATCTGGGCAACTGCCATATGTCACATTGCATTGGCTGTTGAGTTGTTTCCGATTGTTTGAGGTTTTCTTTGGTGCTTCGGTGTACGTAGTACTTGTCTACATACATGGGTGTATGGATTAGGTATGCTTGGATGTATCTATTATGTACATAACGTTAGGTACATTACATTGCCATTTTACGTACATACATACAGTACACATGATGCGGGGTGTACGTAGCCCTCTGCATAATACGAATGAGCAGACAATATTTCAGCAGCTCATATCACCAGATAGAGCTCTGAAGGAACGAAGAAGGACTTGGTCTGGGTTCTAGCCAGACTAACTCGTCAGTCTTGACAAGTCTAGAATGGGCCTTATAGAGGCTAGTCTCCACCTAAACCACCTAAAAGTCACCTAAGCTTAATCGTACTACCCCTCCAACCCTCCACTAGGGGAAAACCGAAGGGGGGGATAGAGAGGGGTGTTAGGGGTGAGCTTGGACCTACATACATAACTGCTACATACCTGTTGCATTTGGTAGTACTTATAGCATGTACCTACCCTATAGAATACCTAGGTATAGAAGGTACGTAGTACTACGCTATAAGATAGGTACCGCATATGCTAATAGCCAGTGGGGTATAGATCGTCAAAGGCTGGAGAAGGCGAAGAAGTCCAAGAAAAAAAAATAAAAAATTGTTAGTGAGCATCCAAGGAAGATCGTGAGTTTTCTGGTCCCCTGACCTCCTGGGCGGTGGTTTAGTTTTTCCCACTCTCGTGTGTTCCCAGGCCCTTTACCAATATTTTTCCTGTCGGTCTGAACTTCTTCCTCCTTTTATCTCTCACATTCTCCTCTTAAAAACCCAAGGCGATCCCCAATTGCAAGTGAATTGTTACTTCTAAAACATTGATTCTCCTTAGACCCAAAAGCGGTATAGAGCTCTATTTGAAGGTAGAAACCCGCATACGTCATTTTCCTGACACAGTCTAATCCATTCGTCAACCCGTGCAAACTGAAGCTCAGTTTTATTCCCTAGGCAACTCAATTCACATCCACGCCTAATAACATAGACACATAAACAATATTCTCTTATTCTCTCTCATTCTTCTCCCCCTATTTCGTATCCAACACATCCTACTATCATATCGACAAGCTTATTTTTTGTCGACCCCCACAAATATTTCTTTATCCTTTCATCTAAACATCTCACGTCTCACATCATACACACAATGTTGTCACGAAACCTTCTCCGCGCGTCGGCACGAGCTGTCGGTGCTTCTGCCAGAGCTGCTACTCCTCGATCAACCCTTCCTGCTGGCGCAGCTTACATCCACAACAACAACAATCCTCTCAACAACGCAGACAACAAGGACAAGAAGGGTTCTACGCCTACTCCCGGTGCATTCGCCCGTACAGACGACAGCATCACCGTCGAGTACCCAGAAGAAGATGCTCTTCCTTCTTCTACCCCCGTCCAAGGCCGTGGCGGTTTCCACATGAAGCGAACCCTCGCTTCCTTCTCGCTCGAGGGTAAGGTCGGTGTAGTTACTGGTGGCGCTCGTGGCCTCGGACTTGTCATGGGTCAAGGCATGGTTATTAGCGGTGCTAACTTGGCAATCGTCGATATGAACAGTGAGTTTGTTCCCTCTGCTATTCTTTCATGTTCTTCAACCATTACAAACCCTCCCAATTCATCTTTCTGCTTCGACTCTGTTTTGCTTTGCCTTCCCATTGCCCCCTGACTCACGCTCTGCGTTCTGCACTCCACTTCCTTTTCCAATTCCCACGTACCTCTGCAGATCTGCGGTGAGCTGTAACGGAGCGAAATTGCTGACAATTCATTCTTAACCAAACAGAGGAAGAAGCCGAACGCCAAGCTATTGAGCTAGTTGACGTGTTCCGCAAAGAAAACCCTGGCGCCACTAGAGTGCCCAAGGTCACCGCTCATTACGCCGATGTGTCGGATGCAGACTCGGTTCAGAAGTGCATTGACGAGGTTATCAAAGAGCACGGAAAGATAGACCACCTCGTCACCAGCGCCGGTTTCACCGAGAACTACAACGCTGTCGACTACCCTATTGACCGCATGCGCAAGTTGTGGAGCGTCAACGTAGATGGCACATATCTCTTCGCTATCACCGTTGCCAAGCACCTAATGGAGCGCAAGAGCCCGGGAAGTATGGTTTTCATCGGAAGCATGTCCGGTGCCATCGTGAACGTGCCGCAGCCTCAAGCGTAAGTTGCTCCGCTATCCAATCGTCGCCGTTGGCTCAACGGTCGAGACTAACCAAGTTTGATTTTTTAGTCCGTACAACAGTGCCAAGGCCGCCGTCCGGCATTTGGCCGCTTCCCTTGCCGTCGAGTGGGCCCATGCCGGCATTCGTGTAAACTGTATTTCCCCCGGTTATATGTTGACTGCTCTGTAAGCAACGCCGTCCATCATTTGATTATTGCGAATCGCGTATAACAGCGGCTAACAAAAATCCGCAAATAGTACCGAGAAGATCCTTGACGACAAACCAGACCTCAAGAAGCAGTGGACCTCTCTTATCCCTCAGGGTAAGATGGGTCAACCAGTCGATCTTATGGGCCCCGTCGCATTCCTGCTGTCGGATGCCAGCGCATACGTGACCGGCGCCGACGTCCGCGTCGACGGCGGTTACACTCTTACTTAAAAGGTAAAACCACGCTCAAAATTCATCTTCCAGCGGGGTTTAGAGGGTATATTCGGGACAAAAGGATATAGATAGTGATTTTTTTTTCCGGGGAGTTGGGCGGGGATTTTGTTCTTCCAATAATAGAGGCACCCTTTCAATTCCACGAAGATAAAAATCGGAACAGAGGGGGAACTCGTCCCACAGAAGAAGCCATAGTTGGTTTGTCCTCGCAGGATAGGGTTGATGATGATGATGATGATTTGCGTGTCAAATGTATCAAGTAAAGGTAGATAAAGGCACGGAATCGGGCGCGACTATTGTTATTTTCGCGCTTCGTCGGTCAAGTCAGTACATGAAAATATATTGTGTGATGATCAATCTTCTTTTTACCCTGCACGTTCGGTTTTGTTCAATGCTGATGTATTTGACGTACGAGAAGCGTAACGATTCGGTCCATTCTGTGTAAATGATAATGGTGAAAAAAGAAAAGGAGAAAGATTTGACAAATGAATCAAGTCAAGAGGAACAATTGAAAAGGGGAGATGGAGTTGTTGTTGTCGTTGGGCTCCTCTTTCCGACCAGTGAAAAGCGTTCCGGCGCATTTTCGTGCGGCTCAAGTTCCTCACCGTTTTCGAGGCTCCCTTTAGCGATTGTCCGGGTTTCCCTTCGCGGTAGGTATTATACCTATCCTCTGTTGTTTATTTTAAGGTATTTCCCGCCCGTCGAAACAGAATTGGAATTGGAACATACCCGCTCCCGTACGCTTAATATATGTCATGCCGGCACTTGTGAATAGATGGAATAGTTACCCACACATATGTGCAATGGGGGGTGGTGTGGTGGTGGTGGATGGGGTTGGATTCGGTTACGTGGGGGTGAGGAAATAGATACGTTGGTAGAGACTATGGATTCGGGGAGGTAAGGGCCCACTATCGCGGGGTGTTGTACCGAGGGAAGCTGTTTGTAGGTGAAGATGCGAATGTTTTAGGTAGGCATTGGAGGTAATTAATTGAGAATTCTTGGTGAGAATGTTAGTGGTGGTACCTGGTAGTCTTTTAGGTATCTATTTTTATTAAATGTACCTACCTAAGGTATGCAGGTATTATTTTATACATACACAGGTACTAATGGAACACAAGAGAGGTGCATCAGGTACCTTGTATTGAGATATAAGTCGAAGGTATAAGTACATGTATCTCATCTACTCAAAAGACACAGTATTAGCAAGTTGACTGAATATTTGAAGCTCTTTCACTTACAATAGGTAGTTAATCTAAATATGACTATTGCTATTTGAGATGTGTATGCTTATAAAAGGTGAGATCATAGCGAACCATTGTCAAACGAGTAATCTTGAGTTTCTAGGAATAATCAACGTCTCCCGAATAGATAATCGAAATCATTTTACCAAAGAGGTTACACGATCGAGATGGCTGTGCCACAGGTAGGTACCTAGGTAGTTCAGCTGTTCGACTACCTAATACGCCGTATTTGCGTCCGTTTAATTATAGTACCCCACTAATTGATTATGCATATCAGAGATATGAAACCATTGAATGTGAATATTAAAAATGAAAAGTAGTTGTTCATAACGGGGGTTCTCTCTCAAGAGGTTCGACTTTGTGTTTTTTTTTTTTTAGCAAGTATTAGGCACGTTGTTTTATACATACCGGCCCTAGTCTTAAAGGCAGCTTGATAGAAACTCAAGAGGTAGGTAGTTAAAACATATAATAATCATTTATCTTTAAAGCTAACATACTTGATCGTACAATAAAAATATCAATTGATTAATATCAAAAAGCTATCACCCTTTCCCTGTCTAACTTTTCCTAAAATTAACGCATAAGGCCCCAAATAATTAGTCGTACACAGAATTCGGTCAAGCCGCGGCGGCATTAGTAGCAGTAGTCTGCAAGAATTCGAGGTACCAGATCTTCAAGCCGCTAATGAGCGCGGTGAGCGCGAACGTGTCGCCTAGCACCCCCGTGGCCCCGCTCTCTAGGAACTGGAATTTGCAGAACTTATTCATGCTCATTTTGCCGTTGAGCGTCCACACCGCGACGATCTCCTTGCCATCGCTTGTTAAAGCCCGCCCAGGCGCCGTCCCGCTTAGCCGCACTAGTTTCCATCCGTTCCCCCACCTATCCAGCTCCTTGACCTCTTCTCCGCGCGTGCGCCGCCACTCGAAGTTTTCTAGTCGCAGGTCTTTTCCTATACCCACTTCGATAGATAGTTCCTGCCATAAGCGAGTCCAGGAGTGCTTTTGTACCATGTTGATGGTTTTCGCCGTCACCGCGGAGCCGGGCCCGGAGCTCGATTCGCCCGCCGATGTTGAGGGGCCGGCGGAGTCGGTAGCGGGGTCGGGGAATATCTGAATTATAGTACGCTTCCCGCTACTCCAGCGGCTCTCATGGCCCGCTGTTGCGATGATTGGGTCCGATTCATTCGGCCCCGAGTGCATTTCTAATAGCGGCTTCGATGTCCAACCGCTGTGCATGGTTACCGCGTAGAGCGGGGTGTCGGCATGCTCCCCTAGGTGAAACGCACTTGATGTGAACTTCTTCTCGAAGTACGCATTAATACACTGCGGGAATCTATTGCTTACGCCTGCGATGGCGCTCGCACCTGAGTTGCTACCCCCAGGTACGGCTACGTAGGACGGCGCTTGACCATCATGCGACGGGGGGTGCGCGACAGTGTCGACTGCAGTGTAAGGCGGTGGCGCCACATCTTCTTCCCTAGCTTCTTTTGGGTTACCCATATTGGCGGTGATCTTATTTTTTCTATGTGTAATAGAGTGTTTATAATGACAAAAAATTGTAAAGTTCGCAAGAACATACCTAACAAAAAGGGTTTCAGAGGAAGGATTATAAGCTGATCGTCTATCTGCTTAACTGCATACAAGATAATCAACTTAGACGCGGAATAATAACTTTAATGAAGCTGAATTCAGCTGAAACTATAAAAGCATGGCGCAATGAGTGGCTGCGTAAAACTAAGTGTTACACAGCCATTCTATTCTTGGTTGATCTTATCATTTTATTTACTCCGGTCAAGTACCTAACCTTTATTATATAATACATTTCGTTCGTGGCATATGCTCAAGACCCAAACCGTCGCGTAAAAGCTAAGTTCTTAAGACAACTGCCAGTTATACAAATCATACATTCTCCTCAACATCTAGCCTAATGAAGTAACAGAGTATTATTATACAGGGTATCTTCTCACTTAAAAGTTGTACTCGGCATTTCCGCAGACATTTTGGCTTTGGGCGTTCTCGCTCCAGTTGTCACCCGACTCGGGAATAATGTCAAAGTTGATTCTCCATTGCGATCCGAATTGCGCCGCGGCAATGTAGTTAGCCCAATCTTTATGGTCGGTCATCCTACTGGCCCAGTCCTTGCCGATGGCGTCTGCAATTGCCTTGATGCCATTCTCGTCTGGCTGGGTACTCATGTCATACTTGTACACCTTGTACGAGACCAAGAAATCGTAACCAGACCCTCGTCGCTCCAGTGTGCCATCCGCCGACCGGGAAGGGACTGAAAGCCGAGCTACACCTGTCATGTCAGAGCGCATATGCAATTCGTGATCGGCTACGTCCCCGTTTTCATGGCGTAAACCGAGGACTTGGAGCTTAGTCGCCGACGGCTTGCTGGTTTCGTCTCGGGAAGCTATGGGCATAACTTTCACGGTTTCGAAGTCCCGTCTATGTAAGAGGAGTCTATCTTCAACTACAACAACGTTAGCAACGACCGTTCGGGAAAGACTTCGGGGTACTCAAACTCTATACAGTTTCGTTGGAATAGACGACGGCTTTTAAGCTCATCCTTAGCTTTTTCGTTTCCATAAAGGGGTAAGTCCTTGCGATGTGCAACCCCTTCTGCAATTACAGTAACGACGTCGGCAACAAGGTAGGCGAAACGCGAGCAGTCGTTGTTACCGGGAAGATGCGTGCAGACGTCGTACGCCGTGAGGCCGCTGAGACCATACGCTGCGCCGGCGAACAAGATCTCGGCCTTGTACTCTGGAGCAGCTTGCATCACGGTTAGCCCGGTGCTCAACATGATGCACCATCTCGGGGTGTCCAACCGCTTGTCTAGCGGAAGGTAAAACTTCACATCTCCGGTAGCACGCCGTGACAGTTCTGTCGTTTGATGTGGTCGCGCCACTGCTTTCCCTCCTATGAGAGCAAGGACAGGCAACAGGCTTGATGACTTCATGGTGGTGATTTTGAATTAGAAGAAAAGGGGCGATCTGAGAACTGGTATGAGATGGATCTTGAGTGAAACGATAGTCTTGATATTTGATATTGTCACCCAGAAACACGCAGAGGCATCAGCTATATAATCGCAACACCGAAGAGATCTTCGGAATCACTATTAGTAACCAACAGCTCATCTTTACCAGTTCAGTAAAAACATAAGGCTGTTGGAAGTGTTATAGTCAGCTACGCTATGTAAATAGCCTAGGTAATCAATTAAATTTTCTATTCTTAAACTGCGTTAACCATAGTAATTAGATTATCGCAGATCTCTTAAACTAAAGTTTTCCGTGTGCCAAGACTTTGAAGATCAGGACTCCAGATATATAAGCGATTTACAAAGAATTTGCCGGTATAGGATGCATTAAATCCTATTATATCGTTAAGACTAATATTTTTATAACCAACACCAACACCTCTCCAAACACGTACACTATCCACTATTCTTAGTTATCTTCTAATATCGTCGTTAGTATATATTAATCTAACAAAGAGTCAAACGGACTAGAACAGCGATCTTCTAGTTCGTGGCATAAAATATTCATGTAACGCTGTTGGGTGGGCATGCATAATTCAGGAACATCCTATATCAGGTAGAGAACGCAAGCTCCTTGTAATATCTCCGTCTAACCAGGCCTGCGGGTTTATGATGACGTAGTCAGTAGAAACCCCTGGCTTTTTGCGGCTGAATCTGAATAACCCTGGTCAGATATTTGGTAGGAGTTGCCTGCAGACTCTGTGCCGTTAACCAACATAAGCAGCACGCCAGTCGGTCAGCCATACCACCACATACTCCTATTTTTACATATGTATTATCAACTTACCTATACATCAGGTACTTAGTCGCATAGTTGTAGCCATGTGACTCAATAACCCCTAAAGAATAAACCATGCGGAAGCGAAAGCGAAAGTATACCAAAATCAACTAGGTTACTTCCTATGACTTTAAAAATCTATCGTTCTCAACTACACTACACTACAACTATACTATACTACACTAAGCTGCGTATCGCTCTATTCCTAAATTTTGGTCTCTCATAATTCCACGAATACAATCACCACCCCATTTTGACTACGTTTCGGCACGGCTCAACTTACACTCCCCCATCAAACTACATAATGTCGGTAACCGGGAAAGACCTCCTATTCGAATCAGTCGTAGCGGGCGTGTCTGCATCCTTACTCCTAACGACCTTCATGGCATACCTTATATTGGTTCGCTTTATGAACCGGATACCTTATGATTGGTCTAACCTCGGTCGCGCGGCATTTAGTCTGTTCTGCGGTACCTGCGTCCTGTATGGACTTATATTTAGGTATGAAGAATGGGGGATACTCCTCGGCCGACTTGAAGTAATGCTAGAAGAAGTTCTCTGAGCAGACAATGGTTTCTATGGCCTTGCCTGTTAGATGATCAATAAAATACTCTCTTCTCTAAGATATCTTGGAAAACATGTAAACTCTCTTAGTAGACGTGAGAAATATATAATAGTGATTCAACCACAGTAGGTATTTGTAAGAGGATATAATCTGATAAGAAACCGATAGCTAGTTGACTTCATTTGTGTCAAGATTGATGGATTTTTTTTTTTTTTCACAGCTCTCTCTACCAGTTCAAGTCTCAAAAACACTCACCGTATTCTAGTTTTTAACAGACACTACTATCTCGTATTTCGATTTAATAATCCATTCCTCTATCTAGTTTTATCTACAAATTAGTTTTCGACTTTTTAATGTGTCTTTTGCATAAAAACTAGAACTTCGAAATTGAGTTTTCAAGGATGGTTACTATTTATGTGATACCTACCTCCTCACGTATTTTAGATATATTCAAAACAGCAGAGAACCTAAGCGAATAGCAGGTACGTAAAAGTAAAGCATAAGAGGCAGGTATGTTCCAAAGGTAAAGATATTTGTTGTTGTAGGAAATTACAATTTAAAGAGTGATAGCCCCTATTCGCCAGATATCCAACCAACCACCCTACCGCTATGACTCTAGTTATATAGAATCCTTTATACAAGACTAGCTCCTAGAAAAACTGAAAACTCAAAATATTCACCCACCCAATCACCCTTCATGAGAGGCCATGACCCCAGCAGACCTGGTTGGCAATGTTGTCCCGTCCGTAGTTCTTCCCCCAAGGCTCCATGCCACAAGCGCCAGCTTGAAGGGTATGGCAGTCAGTATCAATCTTGCCCATCGCCTCGTCGATCTCACCCGAGGCAATCGGGTTGTCGCCTCTCCAGCTGCAAGCATAAACGATGACGCTGCCGTACTTGGACGCGATACCCTTCCCGCCGGGGATCTTGTCGCCCGCGCCGGCTCGCGTCTTGAATAGAGATGTGGCTTGCTGGTAGTTGACGCCGTCTAGCTTCGTGTTGGCTAGGCACGAGGTCTGAGGCGAGTCTAGGGAGCGCTTCTCTTCCGACGGCTTCTCGAATTCTTCGAGAAGGGTGTATCCGCTCCGCTTGTGCTCGGTTGCCGTTTTGTTGAACTCTTCAATCAAGGTGTAGCTGCCGCCGCGGCGTGCGACGGGGCCTTCGCCTAGGTCGAGCATGTAGATTCCATCGGGCTCGTTTTCGGGGATACGTACTGCGTTGGCAGTAGCGGCGAGGAGAGCGGCGACGATGGTGAAACGCATTTTGTAACTTGTTTTGTTGTTGAGCAGAAGTCTTTAGATAGGTATGTGAGTTGGGTATAAATTAAATGAGTCTTGAGACTTGTAAGAGTCGTTTATGTGTTTTATGATATTAGAATGAGATTGGATCATTACCGGCGAGACTAGGACCCCTTTATACCCTTCTCGCCGTCCAAATCCAGAGATATGACTTCTAATTTTTGACAAATTAGATAGGTAGTTGGTAATCTTGTCCTCGTGAAGATATTTCGAATCATGATACGTCATCAGCCAAGGCTCAGCTTCGGTTGTTATCATCGATTAGTATGCGTCAAGGAGTGTAATCGAGTCCCGTGTGCATAGACGCTGTCATTATAATTCCTTCAGGCTGTGAGAATAATAAAGATTGACATAACAATTTGAATCCGCTTACTAGCGACTAACAGAAATATCCCTGTGATTTAGTATCATGTATGCAAATACTCGCGGCGCAGCTTAGTGGAACTAGGGGCGACGGCTCCTATAATCGTAGATCTCCTAATTTAGTATCTATACTTACTACTCCCAACACCATGTTTATCATGGGCTATTCTGAGTCTCTAATAACATAAAAAAATTCTTTAATCGCCATACATGAGAATCCTTAAAAAGAAAAGGTGTTTAGATGGATAGGTAGGTACCTAGGGTACCTATGTCCTACGACTTCTCGTCATATCCTATTCTTAGCGTAGGTATGGTCATGAGATGATGTTAGTTTAAATACTTAGAGTCCTCACCTGGCTTGGGACGACTCTTAGGATATCGTGTAAATACACTTTCAAATACAGAGAATTCATTTTTAAGGAGCTGTTTTTAAGCGGACTTCTTGATTCTAAAATAAACTACCGTTACGCTTTATCAAAGACTACTACCATCACCTTTGCCCGCCATGAAAACTCATTCTATTATATTATTAGGTCTCCTAAGTTGCTTTCAAGGCACTATGGCATCTACCATAGGAATTTATCCAAGAGATGTGGTTGAAGGAGTGAGTATCATAATAGCCTCTATGGCTAAAGACTACATAATGCATGCAACTGACTCATCTCTTCCACATAGACTTGCTCAAGAATCGACGGGAGCCCTGGACAGTGCCAACCACGAGGCAATGGGTTTGACATCGATTATCCACCACAGCAATGCGATATAGACTACATAGTAAGGCAATATTCGCAAATTTATATTTACCACAAAGCTTACAGAATTAATAGTGTACAATGAGTGGGGACCCTTGCTACTGGGACAAAAACGCCCCGAAAAATCATCAAGTTATTTGTACTTAAACACCCCAGGGAAGTCTAGTGAGTGATGGGAAAATAGAGAAGTAATTGGGGGTGGGACAGGAAGGTTATTGGTGCTGTCATGTATAAGTACTACTATAGTTTATACACTGTCTTGCATTAATTTCGATATAACCATGTCTTTATTAGTATTCCAGTAAGAGCTAAAAGTTCTACCTATGTTGATTTCAGAGGTATCTGTGAAACTACCAGTCTTTATTTCTTTAAAGGTTAGATTTGGTGTTATAACCTAAATGCGCTCAAAAATAGTTAGGACCAAGAAAATACTCCTACAAATATCTAAAAATGAATTCCATTATTAGAGTCTAACTAACTCTTTGATATTGAGGGAAGCTAGCTTACTATGACGTCACATGTATTAGTGTATTTATGTTTATTTTATATCTACCTGTTATGGGTTAGCGAAAGTGTCTGTTGGTGGGGGATTTCGGAATCCCTCAAGTGCCTCAAGGCTGCATAAAAGCAGCTTGAAGAATTACAAGGGAGGAACCAACAAAACATTTCAACCAGTGAGGTTCAAGAGAACTTTTGTAGCCTCGTAGGAGTGTATTTCGAAGTCACGGACTGACCCGCCGATCTGAAAAATGGTAAAAGCACTACCGGTCCCCACACGTCCCATTTTCGCTGCTGATCATCTTGAGAGATCTTGTAACAAGTCAGCCACGTGGATACCTAGGTATCTACCTACATATGTATATATATACATGGATATAACCCCCTGTTCTCGATTAGAATCCATGTAGGCCCAGGCTGTTGGTGAGCATGCTGAAGAAACATGAAGTCATTCGTGCGGTATAAACACGCTTATCATAAGTTATTATAAGATATTTATTTGCGCTTGTTGTTAAGACATATCTAGGTTACTTCCTACACAATCTAAGTAATTTAACTAACAGTGACTTATGCAAAGGGGCAAGACTATTTACAATCTCTAATACGGTAAATTATCGACCTGTCTATAAATATCGATATATATCGATCAGTGGCCAAGCATGTGGGTTAACTATCATACGTGCCTATCTACTTCCTTGAGGATAGTATGCTGATCCCGCTATTACCATAGTGACTAGATAGATGGCGATCATTGAAACTTAATAGGACAACATGGCAAAGCTGAATAGTTGGATTTGGGAATATCTTCTAACAAGCAACATGGTCGAAACCAACACTGCAACGTCGCGTGTATTACTGATTCGAGGTGGGAAGCCCTTTCATTGACATACCCGAGATATGAGGTAAACTGCGTGCTTATAGTAAACATCTGATAGATCCTATTTTAAGGCTTACTCCTCATAACCAACAGTGACGTACGCAAGGGTTTGGCTAATTTCAAGCTCCGAATTTATATATTTAACCAAGCCCTCTGGAACCCATTCTCATAGCATATTACTTGAAGTCATCATACATTACCGCCTTGAATAACTCCAGAAATAAAGTGTTTTCTAATTTATTACATATTTGACAAGCCCACTATCAAAAACATCACGTTGTACACCATGCAGTTCGGTTCGCTTACTACCCTTCTCGCAGTCTTCGTAGCTGCTACTAACGCGATACCCAGCGTCCCTCATAACGCCGAAGTAAGTTATAAAAGTATTCTCTTGTCTTATAACGATGGACTAATATTTCGATAGCGAGGGACGCAGATGGTACGCGACATGCCGACTGCACCTGATGGCTATTTTGATGTTCGCGGCAATGTTCTTCAGAGTATTGGTGGTAACGGCCAGGTTCTTGCCGAGAGAGAGATCGACGTTAGAGACGCGGAAGACTTGGTCAAAACCGCAGAAGCAAAGAAAGTAAAACGTGAGCTGGGGATGTCTCCTGCCATCGCTTCATTAAAGCGTGAGGCATGCTCCCTTAATGAATGTTCTGATAATGCCGACTGCTATCAATGGACCGATGATTCCTTCCTACGGTGCAGTAGGTGCATCCGACAGCAGTATTGTATTTCGGGGTACGGGGAGAAATGATGTGTGATAAACTGCTCGTGGAGGTGAGCGGTATGATTCGGGTATAGGGGATACGAAGGGTTGCTCAGACGGCGAGCGATAAGAACTGTCACGAATCTGATACGTACTATTAGAGTGTTGAGATGAAGCAATATTGATATTAATTGTGTTGAGATCGTGAGAACGCGCTATGCACGAGTAGTTATTCCGTATAGGAAAATGGAAAATAAGGGTTTTAGGTCATCTGACAGTAATGATTAATTTGACATATAACTTCTTCTCTTAATTCAAACCACTCAAACCATTTAAACTATTCAAATAGTAGTTAAACAACTCAACCACCACTTACAGATCCCAAACCTATTACCCCGGTATAAATAGGTACCTAAGGGCTTCCGAATTTGAAGCCACATTTAGTCTCGTATTCCCGCATGAATTCTGTCTGGCTCGAACCAGACAAACCCGCCAGCAAGCCCGCAGTCTGTAAGCCACAAAGCCCGTTCTTCCCCGAGATTATACCTACAGCATATTCCTTTGTCACGGCTGGCCCTCCCGAATCACCATCGTAGCTGAGACCTTCTGCCGAGCTTGATTGATTCATTATGCAGATCGCGCCGACAAAGCTTCTCCAACTTTTACACTGATCCCAATAATCGATGGCCCTGTTCTTGTTGACTGCGGATCGAAGTTCAGCCGGATACGTAGCTGGCGATGTTGAACTAGAAATTCTGCCCCAGTCATACATGGTGACATCTTGGTAATTGCCCCTCGTCAGTGAGACTTTCTAGGGACTGGTATCCATTGTTGACTCTAATTCGACCACCGCAAAGTCGTAAGGAGAGGGGGGCTTCTTCAGGGTCGGAAGTTCCCGTGTACTTAGGATTAATATGAATGCTGGAGCCTTTGACCGAAGTGTCTGTCTGAGTTATCTTGTGTTGAGGAATAGTTCTAGGCCAATAATATGAATACAAACTGTATTTATTGCCACGAGACTTTATCGTCAAGATCAACAGAACTCACTCATACTTGGTTTTGGAGTATATAAAAAATTGATAACTAGCGAAATTGACCACGGAATACCTAACTTCCCATTACTACATCACATCACGTTAAGATCAACTACGAGATTAGGTTCGATCGGCGTCACCGGCCATTTCCCTTCTCCCTCTTTGAGGAATATCAATATTCGATTCCTCAAAAGTCTGCAGCGGAGCAGATCAACTCTGGGAAAGCTTCATTTCCGGGCAGCGTCTCTCCATACTCCTTCAGGCGAGTTTCGAGGCCAGGCCAGTAGAAACTACCTAAATTGGCCTATATTTTCAGCCAGCCAAATTATCGCCATCCAGCTCCCCTCTAAACAGGTTTGGTGCTGTGGAGCTATAGCTTCTAGAAAACATGCTTGGTCTCGGTCTATTTCGAATATGAAGCATTCTGACTTGGAATGAGACCTCGTATCACGAAATAAGCCTGCTGTTGGTCTCTAATATGCTCGGGGGAACGGAATTGGGCCACAGCGTACTGTATGAACCCATGCTCCTTCATTTGGCGAGTTCTTGTTGACTCATTATGCCTTGCCGTTGCCTGGCTTCCTCGTGGATTGCTACACTTCACTGACCGTGCCTGGCTTCACAGAAACTCTGGGTAGCATGTCGTGGCTCAAACTCGCAATATTTGCCCTCTGATAGCGGAGTGATGCCTTATTAGCAGCAATATGGGTTGTCGAGCTGAATGCGCCAGGGAGGGCCCAATCGGTATCCTTCTGATGGGACGCACATCTGTGCCAATGGCAAATGGAGTCATCCGCCAAGTTGCGATAAAAACCACTTAGGAATAGTGACACCCACAGACACGGAAACCGGTAGGTTAGCAAGGAAAGTTAGGTTTGTTTATGTTCGAGATTACAGGGTTGGAGAATATAATACCGTTTCGTATATGCCTGTTGTCACGAATGCGCGCCGTAAGATGTCAGTACGGTTATCGAAAATGGGAACCCCATAGACGCGTTAGAGTTCGAAACAGTTGTTTTCTAAGCTATGGCCAGGGTCCTGCGCTATGTCTCGAGGGCTGTCCCTTTAGATGACGCTTCCTAGCAAGGAGCCGGTAAGCTGACATTTCTCATACCAGCAATATGGCAATAACAACGTCGTTGTGGATAAACACGTCAAATTGAGCTACCAGATTACCAAACGTAGCGACATGCTCGGTCGGCGAGACCTGTTCAAAAGGGTTGTTCAGCAGCAAGAGCACCATGCGTGTAATTTCGTAGGCCTACGTAATACTTAGAAATTATCTCGGGATACGGTTTCGAAGAAAAATAACAAATGATGGACTTGAGAGGTACAACGGGGGGAGGGGGGGATGGCACTTTTACAGGATCCTGTCAGATTAGTCAGCACCATCAGGTGACCTGAACCCCCTATTTTCTTGTAATTACACGTGCATAGCGCATTCTCGCGATGTTAACACAATCAATCAATCAATCAGATCATTAGGGATTTCATCAATATTGCTTCATCTTAATGTCCCAATAGTACGTATCGAATTTTGCCTCCAGTGTCGATTTGGATACTTTACTCACTGAGTCTAACCTCTTTAACTTTATATGGAAATTCAAGACCTCGTGCAAGATTAGTGATATCCTCATCCGTTAAATTCCCTCTGTCTCCCTGAAATTCCAAAGTCCCCCGATAAGCCATCCCGTTCTCAAGCACAACGATTACATCACAGAGTTGAGATTGCGGAGGTGATTGCCGTGCTCCATGTTTTATTAAGAACTCTTGGATGCTCTTAATTTCCTGCTTTCCGGCGAGATACAAAGGCGTTTTGGATAGCTGATCTTCGGCGTTGAGATCCGCACCTGCTTCAGCTAACATCTTCACGATATCAAGATGGCCATGTTCTACAGCAGTATGAAGTGGTGTCTTTCCTTCATTACACGTCACGTTTACTTCAGGACACTTCGCATTAGTGTCGAGGTCGAGCTCGAAGTGCGCAAGTAGATTGCGTACAACCGAAGATGATCCAACTTTCGCTGCGATGTGTAGCGCTGTTGTCCCGTCCTTCCCGGTACAGTGCGCGTCTACACCTTTCTGCAAAAGCCAATCTATGATGTGTTGTTGTTTCATCATAATGGCGGCTAGAAGCGGAGGGAATGGCCTTTCGCCACGCTCGTCTAAGCTCGCGCCTCTTTGGTGGAGTAAATCTATGATTTCCAAACTACCTTTTATAATACCCAGCGTAAGCGCAGTGAACCCATTTGAGTCTTTGACATTAACTTCAACGCCACAGTCGAGGAGAGCCCGGACTATCGCTGGGTCTTTTCCTTGAATAGCGACGTGTAAAAGAGGTCTCCCTTCTTTCGAAGTATGATTGGGATTCGCACCCATCTGAACTAGATACTGTATTGCTGCCAGATTCCTTTTTTGTATGGCTAGGGATAGAGCAGTGGTTCCGGAATCGTCCTCATACTCGATGTCGGCTCCGTTCCCTAAAAGAGCCTCTACTGCTTCGAGCTGCCCTTCAAAGACGGCGCCGAATAGGGCCACTCCCTTCGCTGGAACATAGCCATTGACGTTAGCACCCCTCGCTATTAATAGCTTTATAATCTCGACATAGCCTCTTATGCTTGCCACGTAGAGCGGTGTCCCGTATTCCGATTCAAAGATATCGATTTCAGCGCCCTCGTCGAGGAGATGGGTGGTAACCTCATAGCTTCCATGCGATACAGCTAAATGTAGTTCTGTCATGTCTCCGCCTTATGTGACTTCTTTCGGTACTGTTAACCTTATACGTGTTATCCTTGTTTTTTTTAGGTATGTGTTCGATATGAGAATCGGCATATGTATTGATCAAAGAACTTTTAAGTCTCGAGGATCGATGTGCGAAGACCTGTTGCACAGTCTAATTCTAGGTTCTGCTTGATAACCGCGGCCTTGTTAATAGCATAAAAGTTTTTAAAGAAACAGACAGCAGCTTTCATTGTAAAGCTAGGGAGTTGGGTATGGTTGTATTTTCGGTATTCATGCCCGACTCAATACAAGCCTGCCTCCCTGGCATACGATTCTCCAATCCTATTTTATTTCTAAAATATTATGCTATATCTAATGCGGCGGTGCAGCGCTACGCGTCACGGGAATGCTGTGTGGTATTTTCTCATAGGATACAGCTAGGGTGCTTCGCCCGATTATAGTGGGCATACCGAGCCTCGTCATCTAATGAGGAATATTAGGATGACCTTATAATATTATTCGATTCTATTTAGTCCTACAATTTTACAGCAATCCCAACTTATGTTTATAACAGTACGCTGTATATAATTTAATAGAGGAGCTTTATCCGGCTATAGTAAACACGCCAGGTTAATACACTTTATCAGGCATTATGAGGCGATTATAAATTATGAATATTTTATAAGATACTCGCTTGTTACTACTTGATTCTATTTAACCATACAGGCTCAGGTCGGCACTACTAAACAACGGAGAAATGGATTCCAGTACCATCTACACGCCTTTGAATAAAGAAAGGGAGCAGATCCGGATCCTGTTACTACTGCCCGGAGCATTTGACGACCCTCTACGGTGTGACTTATCAATCGAATCAACAAAAGCCAGATTCGAGGCTCTATCCTATGTCTGGGGAGATGCGACGAGTACATTGTCTATCGAGGTTCGAGCACAAGAGATGCAAGTCACCAAAAATTTGGAAGACACTTTAAGACATATAAGATGTCAGAATGAGATCCGTCGTTTGTGGGTTGATGCAGTATGCATCAATCAAAAGGATGATCTTGAACGAAATCATCAAGTAGGAATGATGGATGCAATCTACGGGCGAGCAGAACGTGTCGTAGTATGGCTAGGCCAAGAAGAGCAGACCGAACTACGGGCTCTTCAAGCAATCCAGCACTTCGGAACGAATCCTGATTTACACTGGGATCCGGCAAAGGGTAAGAGCACCGAAAAGAGCGTCGAAACTCCAACACTCCAGCTATTAATATGGTTACAAAAAACCTGGTACACACGCATCTGGACATTACAGGAAGCCGCTCTCGCAAAATCACTCACTTATATATGCGGATCCTTTATTTTTGAAAACGGAGAGATAGACGGCGTTGTAAAAAGCTTTCTGCGTCACTTTAGCATTGATAGTTGTTGTGACATGATGAACATCGAGGGGAAATATGGAATTGGAAATATGGATGTTGAATTGGCTATTCCTTTGCGAAGACTAGCGAACGTAACTAGGCTTCAAAATAAGAGGAGCCGATCAAAGTTCCTTGATATTGCGTCTATGTTCCGCTATCGTCAAGCTACGGACCCCCGAGACAAAGTCTTCGGGGTTTTAGGCCTAATAGATGATCTACCCAAAGATATCATCGACTACACAAAGAGTGTCCCTGAGATTTATTCGTCGGCTACTATCGAATATATCAAAAAGTCCGGGAACTTGGATGTTCTGTCCCATGTCATGCCAAAGTCACAGAATGCACCTTATCACAACCCTCCAGAATCTAGGAACGACTTACCTTCGTGGGTTCCTGACTGGAGTGACCATCGGCCGTTCGAGTCCTGGCGTTTGTATGGTTACAGCGAACGGCAATTACTTACGAAACTGTTCAATGCTTGCCACCAGAACTCGCAGGCTTCTCCTGAATGCCCATCTCCGATGTGCTTACGGCTACGGGGGTTTATCTGTGATCAAATTACCGAATTTGGTCCAGCTATGATTTTCAAATATAAAACGGTTCAGGTAGACGTGTTCCATAATTGGCGCAAAATGGTCAACATTGATAAGGAGCCAGAAAAGCCTTACATATCTGGGTCAACTATTTTCGACGCATACTGGAGAACTCTTTGTATGAATACTGATTTTATTACAAACTCTTCTGACCTGCCTAAGAAAGCGGATGGAGATACAAGAGCTCTTCATGATTCTTGGTGGTGGGAAGTCTTGTTGCATGATAAATATAAAGATGTCCCTGGGCAAACAAGGAAATATTACGAACACAACATTAGATTGTTCGGGTGTAGTGTTGGTCTCCTGACGTCGGGTCGGAAATTATTCTTCTCGAAGAAAGGTTACCTCGGATTTGCACCGGAAGATGCGCGGGAAGGTGATGAGATATGGGTACTTAATGGTGGTAGGGTACCTTTGATATTGCGCCCCTCAGACAAAAATTCAGAAAAAGATTCTCAACCTAAATATATTTTCGTTGGGGACTCCTATGTTCATGGAATCATGGATGGAGAGTTCGTTGATGCTTCGACAAAAAAGGGGGAGATGCCAAGGCCAGTTGTTCTCATTTAGTTGCATGCTTGTATTGTTAACTGGTTCCCTCTACGCTAGAACCCGACTAACTAGACCCAGAATATATATACAAGAAGCAATAGTAGTTTAGAAATGGTCTAGATGATGAGCCTTCCCTTTCTACTAACTGATATCAATATTATTGGATATAGGGGTTAAGAGAAACCCTAGAATAGGGGTACTTTAGATCGGAGACTCAACTAGCCCAACTATAAATCCTTTCGAATCCAATATCCTCTTCTCGTCGAATTATCTATTTCAACTTCACAAATCAAGCTAGTTCTATGCTGATTCTAAGCGTTAACAGGGGCTTTCGTATACATATAGTCTCATTCAGGAGACCCAGCCAATTAGAAAATGTATGTAGGTAGCCGGATAGGTGTAGTCTGTGCGCCCGACGATATAAGGAATTCAAACAGTTGAAAGTTGAAACTCAAATCGGCTTCGCCGGAGACATGCAACAACGTCATCAAGTAAGAACTGAGATAGCCCGTGATGCCAATTGCGCCGAGCCATCATCGGGCGGTTAGTAATTTACAATTATTCCCACCGGCATACCCTTAAAATACGCATGCATGTATTATGCGACGTGTGATCAATGGACCTCGAGTTACCGACCATAGCCATACTTTGCCGTCTTACATATTTCGGTAAAGGTATTTATTCTAGCGATGAACCGAGGGGAAGACACAGGGTTTACTCGACTAGGGTAGCCCGGATATTGCAATGGTTGCGTCGTCTCGACTTTAAGACTGCCCGCTGAGCAGGGCGAACGTCAATAAACCCCAATGTAGCCTTCGACGTAATAACGCGTAAAATCCTCTGGATGTCTCGGATCCTCCATTAGCCAATGATGGATCCGTCTATAACACTACTGTCGGCTTTAGCGAATCTGACGTCGTTGCCCGTCGTGTATGTTGGATCCTTTCTCTGTGTCCTTTGTTTCGAGAGAGACGGGTATGTTAATCCCGTAGCAAGACAAAGCGATGCCTCCCTACTTAGTGACCTAGTACTTCGTATGCACTTCCTAGCAGAGCTGCTACGCTAAACAGTTATAACTATTATACTCAATCAGGTATCTGCTTGCCCTGAAAGTCTATCTGCGTTTGCCAAGTAGCTAGTCGGGAACTTGACTTACATTACAGTTAGATCCGTTGAATCTTGCGGCTCTAGCTGATGGTGTGGGTGTGAAACGGTGAATAACTCGGCGCATTTTTGCTGCGGGATTTTCCTCGGCCGCTGATATACGGGATAGCCTAGTTGTCCCTGTTCCTGACTTGAGATATCTGTCAGGCACAATCCTCTAAAAAGGAGGTAGAGGATTACACGTGGTTCTCGAGAAAAGTGCTTTGATCGCGAGCTATGGATTATATGAGTCAGCAGAGGCAACCTGGCGGGCCTGCCGATGACGACGTCGAGGCTCAGGGAGCTCGTCACTCAAATGGAGCCAATTATAGCAGTGGACAACAAGGTGGGGAGCGTTCCGTTCCGGCTGCGCCTACTAGCGAGCACATCAAGTTCGGGGATGCTCGCCTGAATGTTCCGGTTAAAAGTTCGGACTTGAACGAATATGATGCGCTCGATCGGTTTATCACGAACTTCGATGTGGAGCGCCGGGCCAGCCTCGCGAGTGTGATGGGCGGGCGACGTAAGAAGCCAAAATGGTGGCAGTTCTGGAAATCTAAAAAAGGCGAACCAGAGGCAGGGCCCGAGCCTGCCGACATTGGCAAGCCACCGGATTCATGGCTCGACACAGACATCCAGACCGGTCTGACCAGCGCCCAGGTGGAGGAGCACCGGAGACGATATGGCTGGAACGAGCTGGTGTCTGAAAAGGAAAACATGTTCGCCAAGGTGCTCAGTTACTTCCAAGGACCCATCCTTTATGGTGAGCAAGCTTGTCGCCCGTGCCACCGTTCGTATGGGTATTCTGGGATATGAACTTACTAGTTGCTCTAGTTATGGAACTTGCGGCTTTACTAGCTGTGGGCCTTGGCGACTGGATTGACTTTGGTGTTATCATCGGCATCCTCTGCCTTAACGCCTTCGTTGGCTTTTATCAAGAAAAACAAGCGGCTGACGTGGTGGCGAGCTTGAAGGGTGATATTGCCATGAAAGCGATTGTTATACGTGACGGTAAGGAAGAGCAAATCTTAGCAAGAGAATTAGTTCCAGGTGATATTGTAAGTGTGTCCCTAATCCCTTAGCTGAGAGATTATAATTCCTCATAATTCACCCGTTGAATGCCGACGGTAACAATAAACGAATAACTATAAGCTTACCATGCAACTTAAAATAGATAATCATACAAGAAGGACAAACCGTCCCAGGAGATGCCCGGTTAATTTGTGACTACTCCAGGCCTCACGACTTCGAGCAGTTTAAAGAACTGAGAAACGAAGACAAGTTTAGCGAGGAGGAAGAAAGCAAGAATAACAAGAATAACAAGAACAAAGACCAAAAGGCCAAGGATCAAGAGAAGAATAACGAAGAAGACGATGAAGAGTCAATTCATTATGGCGAGCCCCTCGTCGCCTGTGACCAGTCAGCCATTACCGGTGAATCCCTCGCCGTGGACAAATACATGGGCGATATCCTGTACTATACAACCGGTTGCAAGCGAGGAAAAGCATTTGCTATCATGACCACATCTGCCAAGTACTCTTTTGTTGGACGAACCGCAGCTCTAGTCCAAGGTGCCAAAGACCAAGGTCATTTTAAAGCTGTCATGGACAGCATTGGGACGTCGCTATTGGTGCTTGTTATGTTTTGGATTCTCGTCGCCTGGATCGGGGGCTTCTTCCACCACCTACGAATTGCTACACCCGATATCCAAAATCTATTGCATTACACCTTGGTGCTGCTCATTATTGGGGTTCCCGTCGGTCTTCCAGTGGTCACGACAACAACACTTGCAGTGGGCGCAGCCTATCTAGCGAAGCAAAAAGCTATCGTCCAGAAGCTAACGGCTATCGAATCCTTAGCAGTACGTTACTCTTAGATGTCGTATCTAAGATAGACAGTTTACTAAACATGATATCAGGGCGTAAATGTGCTCTGTTCAGATAAGACTGGCACCTTGACAGCTAATAAGCTCAGCATTCGCGAGCCATTCGTCGCCGAAGGACAAGATGTAAACTGGATGATGGCCGTTGCAGCACTAGCGAGCTCGCACAACATCGCCTCGCTTGACCCCATAGACAAGGTAACAATCACAACGCTCAAACGCTATCCCAAAGCCCGCGAGATCCTGCGCGAAGGCTGGGTAACAGACAAATTCACCCCCTTCGACCCGGTCTCCAAGCGTATTACTACAGAGTGCCACCTAGGAAATGACCGGTTCATCTGCGCCAAAGGGGCGCCTCGCGCCATCGTCAACCTCGCCAACGTCAGCGACGAGGTACGCGCCATGTACAACCAGAAAGCGCGAGAATTCGCCCTGCGCGGGTTCAGATCGCTAGGCGTAGCGTACAAGAAGAACAACGAGCCCTGGGTCCTCCTGGGACTACTATCCATGTTCGACCCGCCGCGCGAAGATACGGCACAGACGATTATCGAAGCGGCGCACTTGGGCGTGCCGGTCAAGATGTTGACGGGCGATGCTATTGCGATTGCGAAGGAGACGTGCAAGATGCTGGGGCTAGGCACCAAGGTGTATAATTCCGAGAAGCTTATACATAGCGGCTTGACGGGGACTGTTCAGCATGACCTTGTGCAGCGCGCTGATGGGTTTGCGGAGGTTTTCCCGGAGCATAAGTATCAGGTTGTTGAGATGTTGCAGCAGCGTGGCTCGCTAACGGCGATGACGGGGGATGGTATGTTTTACTTTCATTACCCCTTTTCCAGGCACCAATACTAAACCTACCGTAGGTGTGAACGATGCACCTTCTTTGAAGAAGGCTGATTGTGGAATTGCCGTCGAGGGATCATCTGAGGCTGCCCAGGCAGCGGCTGATATTGTCTTCCTGGCCCCAGGTCTCAGCACTATCATACTGTCGATCAAGACTTCTCGCCAGGTATGCGTCTATTCCATGCTATATCATATAGGTACCTTTTTAACTATCTATACCGATGCTGTCAGCCATAACTGATATGGCGTAAATGGTATGGCTAAAAGCGCCGTGCTAACTTATACAGATTTTCCAAAGGATGAAAGCATATGTTCAATACCGTATCGCATTATGTCTCCACCTCGAGATATACCTAACGACGTCAATGGTAATCATCAACGAGACCATCCGTCCAGATCTCATCGTGTTCATTGCGCTATTCGCCGATCTAGCCACCGTCGCCGTCGCATATGACAACGCTCACGTGGAGCCGCGCCCCGTAGAATGGCAGCTAAAGAAGATCTGGGTGATCAGCGTGATCCTGGGAAGCCTGTTGGCCGCTGGCACTTGGATTATTCGAGGCACTATGTTCCTGACTAACGGGGGCGTAGTACAGAACTTTGGCTCAATACAGGAGGTTCTGTTCCTGGAAGTCGCACTGACTGAGAACTGGCTCATCTTCGTGACTCGCGGCGGTCAGACCTGGCCCTCATGGCAGCTAGTCGGCGCTATCCTCGGCGTCGACGCCCTCGCCACTATCTTCACCCTCTTCGGCTGGCTATCTGGTAGTGGCGGTGGCGTAATGGAGACCACGCCGCATACATCGTTTGTCAACTCTCACAACGGCTGGACTGACATCGTGACCGTTGTCGTCATCTGGGCATACTCTATCGGCGTACTTATATTCATTGCCATCGTGTACCTCGCGCTCAACAGCTTCTCATGGATCAACAACCTCGGGCGCAAGGACCGCAACAAGAAGGACACGCAGATCGAAAATATCATCGGCCATATCAACAAGCTTGCTAGTAAGTTGGAGTATGTACCCTGCTGTAGATTATGGCTAACTGAAACCCCCTAGTTGAGCATGAGCTGGACCCAAAGACTGGTCGCGATAAGTACTTCATCGTGGAGAAGGAGGCTGCTGATGAAGAAGATATATGATTGTGGTTACGCGACAATAATGGGAACGGGAAGTGTAGGATGGCATACCATTCTAGTGTGTATATTGTCATCTTCTAAATAGGAAACGAAGGGTATGCTATATGTATTTAGAGTTATATGTACCGTCGCTAACCAATACGCCTCTGTTGGGAATAATATGCAGGACCTAAAGTTATGTGCAGATAAAAAGGGAGTTGGCTCATGTCCCACCCGTCTTCCCTCATACCGGTAGATACTCTCTGCCCCATGGAAATAAAGTCTTCCGAGGTTAGGTACCCTAAGTATCTAAGTTATATTATATTTGAATAAGCAATACTATCTAGTATCTTCAAAGCGAAAGTGGTGCCGCAGAGAGTAATGCGTAGTTAAATAAAGATATAAATAAGTATGTATGTACCATAGCTATACACAAACCCCCAACCCTTCGAGACTCGTCACCTAAGTCCCCGTGTCTGCGAACCCCCTTGACAAATGCAATAGCCAAAACTTAGGTAGGTAAAATATGCTAAAATGGGTACCCTTTTTCCCTTTTATGAAAACGCCAATCTATCCGCGCGCCCAAGTCATGTACACCGAGGTCTAGTCGCATATATATAGTTTATCGACTGTCTAATCGAGAAAACCTCCGTCCTTCATCGCTGCTGCTACCTATAATGGGTTTCGCAGCTCCAATTTTTATGCCGCGCCCCTCTTTCATCGAACCCTCTAAGCTGAGATTGCTGGCAGCACTATTGCGTCGGCGATTCCGCTTGTTGTTCTGAGCTGAGGGACTAGGAGTTGCAGGGGTAGGTAGATCTCCCACACCGTCGTAACCGCCAGCCGAGCAAGGTCTATCGGGTGAAGTTAAGGGCGGCGCATTTTCATCAATCGTGGCGATAGGATTAGGATGGATGTGAAGACTAGCTGTTGCAGCGTTGATAGGTTCTGCCGCTTCTAGAGTGAAATCGGAATGATTCACGGGATCTTCACGCGCCTCGGGTTGTACACTGAATAGAGGTTCTCCATTGACTTGGTGTCCATTAGACCCAGAAGCCCCGTCAGATTCGAACGCATCGCTGCTACGATATGTGCTAACACCATTTAGCTTTCCATTTCTAGTAGTGGCAAGAGCAATGTATAAACATTAACACCACGGGAAACTCACTGCTTAAAAGAGTTGGAGGCTGTTAAGCTGACGCTGCGCGCTCGTTGATAGCTTTCAAATTCTTCTAGCGAATGTTCTGCGCCCTTGAAATTCTCCAAGGCGTCAAATACGTGCTGAAAGACTTGAACGTCAACGTCGCGAGCCCAGAGAAAGTCAAGGTGTTCATAATGAGGAATTTCAGTTGCTACAGTCCTATTAGGTAACTCTCGCATCATTACTTCGATGTCAACTAAGGAGTCGCTCCCTCCATAGACCAAGACAATGGGAGTCTTAATATTGCGGGTTGGATACTTGGCAACTTTCGTGTACTTGCTCGACGTGTTGATAGATAGAGGTGTCTGGACATCATCATCATACATTTGGAATGACTGATTGCGAATGATCTGGAACCAATGGACGACCGACTTCGTGCTGGTAAACGAATACAAGTGTGGATAAGCCGCGAGCTTCTGGCTAACCGAGATATTTTTAGTCTTCCAGCCAAATAGAAAAGACAACCCCATATCGATGAGTTTCATAAACAGAGGTGGGTACAGTATAGACTGCCACATCGTAGCAGATGAGAGAATAGAACGTCGGCCAAAGAGGAGGAAGAGGACCTGGGGTGAGGCTTTGATAAGAGCGTCGACGATGCCATTATTCAAACCAGCAGGTGACATAGCCGGTGCCAATGCTATGAATACATTGACCTGCTCATTCAATTTAGGGTGCACCGCTAAGCTAGCAAACGCTTGCGCAGTGCCCTGGGAGAAGCCAATGTAGGATAAGGACTGCTGCTTTGTGTTCTCTAGAATGTAGTTGATCGAGTCTGGGATATCGTGAAAAGCGAACTCATCGATTGAAAAGTTCCAAAACTCGGGCGTAGTAGGGGGGTAGTTGATCGACTTTTTAGAGTACTTGTTCCCACGGTTGTTACCCAGCTAATATTCTAGTTAGTATGTACAATTCTGTTGTATAGAGATATCACTGAACGTACCCAAACGTCGAAACCTCTTTCCACTAACACAAAGGGCAGAGACCTCTGAGCGTCGGTGAGGCAAACCCAAACTTCGCTATTCATGAGGAGACCATGGTGAAGATAAACGACGCGCTTCTTAAGACTGGCGGGCCCGTCGTTGACTTTCATGTCTTCCTCGCCTTTCCTCCACGCAAGACGATGTATTCCAAGTAGGTATCCATCTTTTGTTTGTAGTACATGTTCCTCAGCCGTGTAGCCATACATGGCACAGAGATCAACAAAATCGGAGGCATTTCGAACCGACGTCGAGATGGCTGAATGCAATATGTTAGTGTAGAAGAGTGGTAGGGGTAGAAGCAAGTCTTACATTTCCTTCTCTGTTCGGCTCTTTTCTGTGCCGGCGAAGTTAACCTGTTAAACAGCCGTCGCGAGGCTCGATAGAAAAGATTCAACAGAGAGGATGCTGCATTTAGGATATTAGTATAGGAGAAGTAATGGATATAATAGTATTTACGTACGTAACGCTAGCGTTAACACTCGAATAAGGGCCTCGAGCCCGACGAGAAAGAAGGAGCCCACGAGGGCGAAATATTCGGCGCTGTTACGCGTATTAATATCAACAAGGACACTCCCCTTTCTTAAATATAAAGAGATACTACTAACATGTCCAATCGACCAAGAAATGGTAAGGGCATTTTGGGTTTGATATGTTCGGTATAACAGCACTTAGCTTAAGTAGGGATAGAAGACGTTCGATGCCAGTTTAGCGCTGCGCTATCGCAATAAGCTGTTCATTTTCCTCCTGTCTAGCTAAGTTTCCATCCAGAATATTGTCTCTAAGGGTGAGGAATTACGATTCTTGAAAGAGATTGGGCGATGTTAAGGAAAGAAATAGCTGTCGCGGTGTAGGTAGGTCTTGGTGATGTCACATGCGAATATGATTGCAGCAAGCTAAGCTCAAGAAAGATAGACAATCGGTGTTTTAATACCCATGACGGTTAGTATCTAGGTAGTTATAAGAAGAAATAAATGGTAAATTGAAGTCAAGGTTAAGACTCTTGAATAAATATTAGAATTCTTTTAGACTAACAGGTAGGTAGATTTTAAACTTCGAGAAGGCATGATATTGAAATCATAGGTAATTAAGGTTCTTCATTTCATTTCAGACCGTGGCAATGGAGCTCATTCCCCTACGGTGTACTAGGTACATTGCATTAGATTCCCTCGATCTCCCTGTCTCCCCACTAATGATAACTTAAATTGGTTGGATGGTTGACCTTGATAGCGGAATGAACTCTGCCAACAACATGCCAGCAAAGCTACCCCTGCATTAAAGTTGCATGTGCTAACTCCCGACCTGTCCGCCCAGTTATCCACTTGTCCACCAATCGGTGTTATTGCATTTCTTTAAGCTCGGACCAACTAACTTTTCTCAACTTTCGCGATAGAAACCATCTGATCTGATCTGAGGTGACCTGGTGGAAATTGATTCATCTACAGCTTCACTCGCAGATCCCCCACATCTGGTCAACATGCCAAGCTCATGTAAAGAAATAAGTATGCGTGGACCTACTCATAGCGCCACTATGCCTCTCAGCCTATGTGGACTCCGTGGACTCTGCTGACGGCCCACTAACTACAGGAACCGCACTGGCGGAATGCCTGCAAGAGTCGGATTGCGTGATGGTACAGCGGCATACCGCAGCCGAATGTCTACGCTCACCGCTGTCCGAGACCCTCCCGACGAAGTGCCAACAGCTGAAGAAGGGCTTTGGCGAGTGTAGGAGGGGAATGATCGATATGCGCAAGCGGTTCCGCGGGAATCAACCCATCACCTTCAAGAGCCTCGAAACGACCGAGCAGTCAGGAGAAGGATACCAACTTTATGCCGGAAGATCCGCTTTCGCCGGCTCCGTCCGTAAAACCGATGGGAACGAGCCCGAGCCCAAAGACTGGCGAGAATTAGAGAACGAAAAGTATCGAAAAGAACAGGAGTCGCAAAAGAAATAAAATAAGATGTATCATACAAAATATTGAGTGGACATATCACAACAAGCATTGGACGGCGTTGAGGTTGGATTAGCATATCTGAGGGTGTCAAAACCGGTTGTTTATATCTGAGGGTGTGGCTTGCAATGGATCAACTCTGCTCAGACGGTAAAATTCATATGGCATGGCGCTGTCTCTCAGCCTTATTCCCTACGATCCGAATCAAACCCGAAGTCTATCTTCAGTCTCTAGGTATACTGATTCCACTGACATAGGCAAATACTCAGTTGGCGTCTTAAGCTCGGTTTATTATTATTATTTTTACGTATGACAGGTATTCACACGACTCTAATATGCTCTATATATCGTACAGATATGCCGATCCCTCTCAGGGAGGATCGAAAGCTGCTAGTCATAAGACGGAGATGACTTAGTCAGCCGTACGCTTCTAATGGTATCAAGCGACATCAAAATCGCTTAAAATCATCACATGTGTAATTACCTAAGCGTCACACCCCTTTTTGTAATGAAGACAAGGGTCTACTAGATCGGCCTTGGCAAAAATTCAAGACTCCATAACGAAATTTCATCTCTATGCTTCCGAGGTCATTTCACATTTCACCCCTTCACGCTACGTAACGTCGTACATTGTATAAGACATAGTATGACAATAGGTGTAAAAGCTTCCATGGCTCCTCAGCTATGGTCGCTATATAAATAAGTCTTCTCTATCAGTAGACTTATTTTAAAGCCGTCTATGTAGAATTGAATGTCTAACAGGTTATTTACTACGTACCCGTATTAGGCTTCTTATCCGGATGGACGTGAATTTTACATTCGTGAACCTTACTTAGGCAGTTATTCAACGACGTCATACGCGTCCCGATCTACTTACCCGATCTACTTACGTAGTACTAATCTCTCAATGGGTCGTCCAGAGCAACCACCGCCCCGGCCGCAGCGTCGACATATAACTACCGCGAGCACCATCTTTACGACATTGCTTATAACGCTATTATGCTACACGCGTTATAGCGAACAATTACTGCCCATAGTATCAACTATAATGACGCAAGACGCCCAATCCCAATCTCATGTCTCCCTCACGAAACCAACTCTCCTCGCCTCCTTACCTCCCTCCGCCCTACCTAAACCCCACGGCGGCTCTGACTCGCCTCGTTTAATCATGATCGGTGATGTACATGGGCAGCTCGACGCGCTGGACGCGTTACTCTCCAAAGTTGGGTACTCGAGCGCGCGAGGCGATACGGTTGTCTTCACGGGGGATATGGTGAACAAGGGCCCAAACAGCGGGGGTGTAGTAGACCGCGCCGTGGAGATAGGCGCATATAGCGTGCGCGGTAACCACGAAGACCGTGTGCTGCGGGCATGGGCTGAAATGCAGGCCGATGCAAATACAGATACGGATACGGACACAGAAATAGATGAAGAAGCGGAAGCGGAAGGGGACGCAGAGGCAGAAGGGAAGAAAAAGAAGAAGAAACACGGACATAAGCACAAGCATAAGGGTAAGAAAGAAGACCGCAGAACGGCAAAGAGCCTCACATCAGCCCAGCGCTCCTGGCTCGCCGCGCGGCCCGTCATCCTACGCATTGGCACTATATCTCCGTATTACGGGGACATGGTGGTTGTACACGGGGGTCTAGTCCCCGATATAGCGCTCGAAAAGCAAGACCCGCAAGTAGTCATGAACATACGAACTATCATCATGCCTTCCTCCTTCTCCCCCGAGTCCCTCCTTGATTCCCTAGATTCATCTATCGACTCCTCTTCACACCCACACCTAAAGCCGAGCGAGGGCCGCGAAGGACACCCTTGGTCCAAGGTATGGAATGATTTAGAGAAAGCGAAACGGAAGAAGGGGCGCCACGGGATGCCAACAACGACAACCGTAGTCTACGGCCACGACGCCAAGACCGGCCTCAGCATACGGCGATACGCGTTCGGACTAGATAGCAATTGTGCGCGAGGCGGGGAGTTGACAGCGCTTGTATTCGAGCCGACTTCACCTTCAACCACCGTTTCCAATCCCCCAGACAGCAGCAATAACAACAACGACAACGACACCGAAAATGCAGAAATGACAGCGTCCGAACAGCTCGAGCAGGCCAAACACGGAATAACGCATCGACTCGTCAGCGTCGCCTGTCGGGCTCGCTAACAAACTTAAAGAAATAATACATCGGGACGAGAACCAGGGCGAGGAAGAATCCCATGATAAGCAGAATGAGGAAGAGTAGGCCGACAATAGTAGAGAGGAGGGAGAATAGAGAGGCCGCGAATAGAAACCCCATTGCGTTTGTAGTTGGCTGGATCAGGATTGGATCCTTAGATCGGTAGCGTTTATTTGTCGGGACTATTTGGCCAGAAAGAAGACGATGGGTAATGGTATGGATAATGGCGTAGTGGGCAGTGGTATGATTTTGCTGGGAGATCATATCTGACCCGATGTATCTGCATATTCGTAATGCATGGCGGCGGCGTTTCTGCGGTTGTGTATCAGTAAACTACCTAATTTGCATATATTACACCTAAGGCAGGTATCCAATACCAATACAGTATCTGATAAGAAATATTTCGACAGGTCACATTTTCCGTAGTATTCCATACGACATCATAGGTTAAAAAGCATTGGTTAAATCCTCTAAGTTTTAGTTTTCGACTATGGACTTCATAGTAGAAATCTGCCGGTCCTATATTCACCAAGCAGATCCCTTACGACTGAACTTGTTTTTACCCCGGAAGCGAAAGAGGCCAAATTCATCATGCATTCTAGAAACTCCTAAACAACCGATTTCTCAATGCACAATTGCCCTATGCCCCCTTTTTGCCTATCGGCGTCATAATTTACGCCGAGATCTTCTTCTTGATGATGTCCTTGAGAGTGTCGGCGTCGGCGGCGAACTTGCTAATACCCTCACGTAGCTTCTCAACAGCCATTTGCTCCTCGTTGAAGTCGAATCGGAAGAGTGATTCATCATTAATGTAGGTCTTCTTAGTGATGTCGAGTGACGCGGCGCCAGAGGCGTCGAGCTTCTTGGGGACGGCAGCGGACGAGTTCAGGAGCTCCTCGAGTAGGTTAGGCTATAGAAGTGTTAGAGTTATCATATTAGGTAGATATATAATCAAAAGTAATCACTTACAGAGATGGTCAAGTAGTCACAGCCAGCAAGCTCGGTGATCTCGCCAGTGTTTCGGAAAGATGCACCCATAACAATGGTCTTGTAGCCAAACTTCTTGTAGTAGTTGTAGATAGCCTGGACGGACTTGACACCGGGGTCGTCTTCCTTGGCGTAGTCCTTCTTCGTCGCGGCCTTGTACCAGTCAAGGATACGGCCGACAAAGGGGGAGATGAGGAAAGCGCCAGCCTCAGCGGCAGCAATAGCCTGGACGAGCGAGAACATGAGGGTCAGGTTGCAGTTAATACCGTGGTCGCGCTGTAGGATCTCGGCAGCCTTGATACCCTCCCATGTCGACGCAACCTTGATCAGAATGCGGTCCTTGGAGATACCTTGCTCCTTGTACAGCTATATAATACGTGTTAGTACAATTGTCTAATAGCCATTGTTTATTAGCATATATTGGAGACATACGTCAATAATGTGTAGGGCCTTCTCAACCGATGCCTTGGTGTCGAAGGAGAAGCGGGCGTCGACCTCAGTCGAGACCTTGCCGGGGATGATCTTTAGGATTTCCTTGCCGAACTCGACTAAGAGTCGGTCGAGAGCAGCATCGACTTGGCTGTCGATATCACCACCCTGTCCCTTGGCATATTCTACAGCAGCGTCGATCAATTTGGCGTATTCGGCCTTCTTAGACGCGGCGAGGATGAGAGAGGGATTGGTAGTAGCATCTTGCGGCTTGTACTTTCCGATGGCTAAAGGTTGTTGTTAGTATTGTTATGAGAAGAACAATGCTATGCCGGTTTGACCTGCTCGCTATTGTCGCGAGTTGGGCTTAGGATGCGGGATATACTAACTTGCAAAGTCACCTAATACGTCAGTTAGTGCCACCGCGTCTTTATTTAAGAGTAGAATTGGTATAGCTTACCAGAGTCACAGACGACGACCTAATTGACGAAAACGTGTACAAGTTAGCCAATTGCTAGCTATGAGGCGAGAAAACACGAGGTTTATGTTTCCAAGCTCATGGAGGTAATACTGCAAATGAGCTCCTCCATCTCGAACAATGAAAACTCACGATGGAGGGGTAAAGTTGATTGAGGGGTAAACTGGACTCACCGTGCCGGTGCTCTTCAACTGGTCGAGGGAGTTAGACATTTTGTATTAGTGTTACTAGAAACTCCGAATTAAGATGTATGCGATGAAGCGATCGTATTGTGAGCAACGCAAGACTAGCTGGTTGCAAATGTGTAGTTGTAGTTGTTTGAAGATGGGACAATAAGTTCAATTATTGTTGGGGGGCAAGTCGGGATGTCCTTATTACTTTATGTACCATTATTATTATTATTTGCCCGCGATGGCGATGGTGGGGCATTTATCAATGGGACAAGCGTCATATGTCCACAGTACTATGCACTACCTACGATGTAAGCTATATCTATACTAGGTTGTATGTAGCCTTGCGTACCCAAAAATTTATCAAAGCACCTGATTTTCTATCGTGGATTTTTCTTTCCTCTTCGACAGGTTCGACCTAAGCTCTTTCTTACTTCCGTACCTAAACTCCTCCGGCCCCTCCGGCCCCTCCATTTCGGCCGATTCATCCAATAGGTCGCGTTCGCCTTACTGTCAGCCACCAACCCACTTATACCTACGTCCTAAGACAACAAGGTGGCGTCGTACATGGTCTATCCATGCTGGTATTGTAAATTATAATTAAATCTTATGTACTTTAGAGAAAGTTGATTAACCTACTATAGTAGAATTTACAGTTATTGAAATGGATTGTTAAGCAAGTATTAAATAACCGAACTTTTCCTGACAAACAACCGCTTTCAATCGCTTGCCGATGGTACTTGGTCCTTGGTCCTTCGCTGATAATAATAAGTACCGACCTACAATAAGTCCACCCGCATACGGAACGTCTAAGTTACGTAGGTATTACTATGAGCCTCAGATAGTCTCATATATTAGCAAGGGCCCTTACTCAGCCAGCTATGTGGACATATCGACGTTGTTGCCTCCTCCACGTGGGGTCTTGATCCGCTATTGGGACGTCCCGCATTATCAGCGTTTTGCTTCTCTCCGCCAAGACAGACTTCACGACAAATAGTGCTTCATATATGTTGGAGGTCTCTGACCTTTAACCCGTCTATCCTATTGGTTCTATGGTAATTCTTTTTTTTTTTTTAGCTGTCATTGCCGTTGTTGCATACCAACCCAATCAAATGTACGTTGTATATGTTCACTTACTATATAATTATGAGAGCACTTTCTTACAGTTCACCCCCTGAAATAATATTATTTAGCGGACCCCTAGAGCTACTTCGCTGAGATCCTAAATTGTATGTCTACTGCTGCCCTATAAGGTTGTTATAGTTTTTTAAAAACGTTCTTTCAGAGTATTTTATGCTATAAAGCCCTGGTATAATAGTTGAGATATTTTAAGAGGCGTTGTTCTATTCAGAATTAGAAGCCCTGTTTTATATCGTGCATGTCCGAAAAACTAACATTATTTCAGGGGTTGAACTGTAAGGCCGATGCGTTATAAATTAACGGATATACTATCAGATTCTTGGCAAGGTACGGTGGACTATTAGTCCAACTGTGCCAAAATCAAAAAAGTCAGTCGCACTATATCAAATAAGGTAATAGTAACATTAAGCTTATAGTATAAGTTCGGCTATTTCTACTATATACACAATTTATAAGGTAATACATACCTTTTATATAGGGATAACTTTACTAATATACGTTTGAATTACTTAAAATTGGTATTGGTATTTTTATTAAAAAAAGACAAAAATTTCAATCTAAGTCTTATATAACTTGACTTTGAATTCGTAAAGATATTAAATATTGAATACATTACGAGCTACTTTCCTTTTCCCCCAAACTAGAGACAGTGCTTAGCCAATTAGGTCTAACCTTCACTTTAACCTTAAATATATGCAAATAGGTAAATATACAAGATACAACTTACACACTGCAATAACTTCGCGAATATATTATTTTAAAACTTATAATTGGTATCATTTTATAGCTTCAATTAATGCGAAAATAATGATCCAAGTTGCATCTTTATGTGTTTTTTTGCTAGAATATCATATCAATATCAAATAGGTGCTATGTAGAAGGACTAACACGTGATACCCTTTAAGACCACCACCTTAAAAATGCTATAGATAGGTATTTCAACAACGGATAAACTATCCAATACGTATCTTATAAACATGCAACTTAGATTGTTATTTTCGCATTAATTGAAGCTATAAAATGATACCAATTACAATACTTAAAACGCTATATTCATGCAGTTATTTGAGTATATATCGTATTATGTATATATAATAATATAAATAATGATAAATAATATAAAAAATCTTATATCTCAGGTACTGTGCACCTAGCGTTGCTTATTAAATTACCCTTTTTGGACAGCTCCCACCCATTTTCTTGATTTTGGCACAGTTGGACTAATAGTCCACCGTACAAGGGGATTATTTTTTCCCGTTCACTTTATAAGACGACCGATGTTCGGCGCTCACTATTTTCTATATGCCTCATACATAGAGAAATAATCAAATGAGAAGTAAAAATTTCTAAGCGATAGCAAATGATTACGAAAAGTGTCGTGTAGCACAAGTGCTTAACCATAAGTTCTATTAAATGTCCAGATTGTCATAGAACCAGCTCAAACCAAGACCTAATAGTTGTAGCAGGAACAAGGTATCTAAAAGACAATTCGCATTTATTATTCCTAAGAATAGGATGTGATTTTGAAGGACCTTATATCTACACACTCGTGTGATGCTTTTACTTGGCTATAGACTATACGTGCTATTTTGCTTTCATATTCTACGATATAGCTTTTTTTTTTGTCTTCCCCATGCCATGCAAATATGCTGAAGAGACCCGATACTGACTAAAGAAAACCAGCCCAACCCAAGACAAAAAAGGGGCAAGGTAGTATTATTCAGTCCTCGGTAATATCACCATACTCCCACATACCCAAGCGGTCCGCCTTGGCCTGGGACTCAACGTCGCGTAGCTTCTTCAGCACTTCTTCAGAAGCGCGTCCGCGCTCCCATGCCTTCAACTTCTTGGGTACAAGCGCGTGACCATTTGCCACGACGTCCTTATTAATCGAGTCTGTAAAGGTGCTACTCGGCTTCTTCTCGTCGAACAGAGTGATATAACTCAAGCCTTCCTTCTGATCCACGAAGTCGAAGCTGGCCACTAATTTTCGACCATCTGTGACCTCGGCAATGTAGTTTAGTGCGTCATTGAAGTAATCGGGGGCAGTGGGCAGCTGGATGAACGAGAGTGCGGCATCGGTAGCTTGTGCCTTGAGTTTCTGCGTTGTGAACTGTGGCTGGTCCAGTGCTCGGAGGCTAGACCAGGGGATCTTTTCGCTGTTGCCATAATCTATATAGACGACTTCAGCAACTTTAGCAGTCCTGTCATTCGACCGCACCCGTGCACGGTACCATTGACCATCAGCTGTAAACTTAGCCGCCACGAATTCGCCGGTCTTGGGGGGATTAGCAAGGGGCTTGTTGTTCTTGGAGTCGATGTGGAACTTTTTGAACTCGTTCATTAGAATTTCTAGAGCGGAAGTTCCCTTTCCAACTTCCTGAATTTTGATTCTCCCGTTAGCATCAATGTTGGTGACGACTATCTCCCGGTAATCGGAAGCTTGTTTATCCGTGGGCGCAGCGTCATTTGAAGCCTCTACGTTAGTAGTCTCTTCTTCAACATCTTCGTCTTGTGACGGATCCCAGTCCTGCCAGATGCCTTTACGGCCTTCCTTTGCACGCTTTTCGGCAGCTAGAAGCTCAGTGGCATTACCGGCTTTCTCCGCTGAGTATTTATGGACAGACGCAAGGCCCTCCTCTACTAATACCTTGGCAAAACTCTCGCGGTTAAGGTAGAGGTCGCCAATGAACCCACCAACTTTGTCAATGTCGTGAATATCGATTTCGCAGTCACGCTGGTTACATCGGCGGTTGGCAAGATCTAACGCCTCCTGCCCAAAGGGCTCGCCCTTCTCTTGAGGTAAACGAGGTGCTCGAGGAGCACGAACGCCAGCAAGCACCATAGTGAGCTTGACTCCTTCTCGAGGAATGATGATGGTAAATCTTGAGCCAGCTTTGCAGAAATCGACTACCGCGGGTACCTTCTTTTGACGTTGAAGAGTTGAAAGCTGAATTTTGGCTTTCTGGACAGACTCTGAAACATCGACATACGTCTTAGCTTTTGATGTCTTTCCAGACCACATACCCTTCTTCTCTTCTTTTGCCTTTTCTTGAGCCGCAAGTAACTCGTCGTAGTTCGGGGCTCTATCGGTGTCATCCTTACGGTGCCGAATCACCGAACACCAACCATCTTGAACTAGTTGAAGATTGATATTCTTGCCTTTCTCAGTGACAGTAGCTACATCACGTGCCTCGAAATCGTCGCTAGCAGGCCGATGTCCATCGATAGATACTTTAACATGTTTACCAATTAGTTTCTTTCGAAGGTATTCCTTTGCCTCGTCTCTAAAAGGGGCTTCGGAAGGCTCGTTGGTCCTAGGACCCCGAACACTACTAAGGTTGATTCGCTTCTCAGCACCGTTCTTAGTACGAACAAATATTGCGTCCGCTCCTTGGATTTTCGAGACAATCATATCGGATGAGCTACCACCCTCAGCCTTGGCTACGTGGTCCTTATGGAGGCGTAATTTAGCCGCCTGGGCCTTCTTTTCGGCTGCTCTCAAAGCTGCCATCTTCGGACCGAGTAAGGTAGAGTGGAAGTCATTGCATCTTGCAAGTCCATCGGCAAGCAAGAATTCCGCGATACTACCACGAGGGTGTAAAACGGAGGCGATGAGTTGCCCTTGCGGACTGGTACCAACTATTTCGACCTTGACATCACGCTGAAGAAGTCTTTGTTCGACGTATTGTCGCGCTTCATTTCCGAACTCCTCCGCGGGTTGAGTCTGGCCAGTCGACTGGTTAACTCTCTCCGTAGAGGGCGCACGGATACCGGCAACAAGCGTCATAACCTGCAGGTGCTTCTTGTCGGACAACTTTAGGCGCACAAGCAGGCGATCACCGCTTAGAACGCGTTCGACAACTCCATCGATACTTTTCCCCTTCCATTCATCGATATCAAGGCTGTTGATATCATTTTGGACTTCGATGATTCCACCAATGCCTTCCCAAAGCCCCTTCCCCTCGGCCTTGGCTTCTGTTTCTAGGGAACGAAGAGTTTCGAGTCGTTGCAGAACTTCTTCAGACTCTTCTTTACGGCCTGCATCTTCTCTGACCTTAAGCCAGCCAGCCTTGACCAACTCGTCCGGCAATTTGGTCCCTTCTTTGAGCTGGGCAACACCATATTCTCTTCCAGACGTAGGGATGGTATAGAGAATGGAGCATTGAACAACCTTGCCAACGACTAGCTTCCTTAGGTAATCCCGGGACTGGAAGGCGAAGGGTTCGTCGCCATCTCTCTTGAGATGCGGGCCGGTAACGAAGGCCAATGAAAAAATACGCTCCGCATTCGGGTTACTCTGGCTAGTTAGCACTAGAGTGTCGCCGCTTAGGACCGATTTCACGTTAGCAAAGAATTGTTTTGCCATTTTGCTAGTGAGGAGACGGTTGAGTTATGCAGGATGAGGTTAGGAGGGAAAGGAATCCAGGGAATTCCTGCAATCTGTCTAAATAGTCAGCAAATAGTTAAATACTTGTACTAGTAAGTTGCCTGGTAGCGCGCGTTGTAGAGGTCTCGGAGGCAACACTAGTTGCGTGGATATAAGGGTGAAGAACGGTGATAGTGTATATAATATTACATATTTCGGTATGGCGTGACTAAGGAGTGATGAGCTCCCAGTTATAGCTTTCTATAAAGCTACGTAGTTATATTAATATTCATCATATGGAATTGCAGTTATGTAAAATATTCCGTATGGTGTAAAGGGCTAACGTCTTTTCCGGAATATTTACACATTATAGGTACTGAACTGCGAACATTCATAGTCGTTGACGACGCTAAGTGACGACCTATAAGAAAGATAGGAGTAACCCAATGTCGTGACAAGTGGCATCTCACTAAGACTTTGATGGACCACGTGTTTGAAGTTACATGTTCATGCATGCTAGCAACTGTCATAATTTGGAGTAAAACGGGAAAGGGCATAAAGATCTGAGATTGTACGCTGTTCGGCCAGGTATGATATCAAAGAGAGTGTATCGGCAAGTGACATGGACACCGCCATTCGCGCTTGGTCGATATTGGAGGCGCAATGTTAGAGTTGGGGGTAAGGATGGGGAGCTTGTGTTGATGAAGTATTCGAAAGTTGAATTCAAGAAGGGACGTCATTGGACTTACCCAAGCGTGGGAGGTAGAATATTCCTCGAAGTTTAAGTTAAGTAAAGAGAGTTAAAGCATTCAGGGTCGAGTGTGACTAGGTAAGAAGAAGCCAATACATTCAGAAAGTGTTGACTTTAAGCTCAAAAATGCATATGTCGTGTGCGCTTTGGATTTTGACAACTTTCATCAATTTGTGGGGAAGGCCAAGTCTCTTGAACCAAGTTGTGGCTTATTGGAAGCTGAAGGACCAGTCGAGGCCGAGTCCAGGGGCACATATTAGGGGGGGAATTCCCCTTAAGCGAAAAGATCGCTGAAATGATGCGGCAGCTGGCGGGGGATGGAAGATTTAGTAAACGGGGCAGACGGGGTCAGTCTTTCCCCATTTGCCCCTCCTTTGTTTAAAATACCTATGAGCGGGGTACTTAAGGTATTCAATCTCGATGCGTTTTGTTAATGAAAGAGGTAGGAAAGTATAAGATAGTACCTAAAAAAAGGATTGGAAACAGCAGGCGTAGTGTAGAGAGGTACGAATAATCGAAAGAGCTTGGATCAGGGGTTCAACTAGTTCATTATTCCCTAAATAGTATCAAGCTATCTACCTAAGTACTATGGTAGTCAAGGGTATGGAGGGGTAGTAAACGAAAACAACAGCTACTTTAGTAGCTTAGGTAGGTACACGATCTACGTTTATAGATGCATGCAATTAAGATGATCAAATATACTGTTATAAGTACAGCTAGTTGTGGGATTGTATAGACAAATCTTTATTGATGGCTTAAATTTTCATTTCCAATTGCTAAAGATTGTATTTTTCAAAACCTATGATCGACTATAAATCGTTCAAATTTATTCAACTATATTGAATTTCATCACTAGGCTTCATATCATTTGGCACATGTTTAGTTTGAGATACCAATGACACCTGACAAGGATTATGTTAGTTTAGGTACATTGTTAATCATAAAAAGTAATAATATCAGAATAACTTACCGCAAGCAGGTCGAGGACCAGCGTTACCAGTCTTAAGGGACTCCTCGTTACCTCCCTTGCCGAGGTCATCAGTACCACCGTGGAACACGACAGTTCGCTTCACCCAGAATTAGCATATGCAATAATATAACGTCGGAAACATTACGTCACTTACGCCAATAATGCTCTCGGGGCCGATCAGCTTAACAAGCGAGTCCTCAATAGAGCCCTTGGCGTTACCTTGAGCGTCAGTCACAACGTTGCCTAGGTCACCAACGTGACGAGTGTCGTCGGTTCGGTCGCCGTGAGTCTTGTTGTGGGGGTTGACTATATTGAAAATTAGTCATTTCATTTCTGCTTAAACCCTTCAATGTCTCTAAGAGGGCGGTATTACGTACAGTGAGGGCCCGCCGATGTGCAACCGTTGGTGTTGTCACCGAAGGTGTGGATGTGGAAGCCACGCTTGGCGTTGGGGTCGTGGCCGGTAACGTCCCATGAGATGGTGGTAGGGGCAGACTCGGAGGCCTGCTCGAAGGTGACGGTTCCAGTGACCTTGGAGTCACCACGGACGACAGCAACTAGAGATGTAGATTCTTGTCAGCAATGACTCGGACCGTTGTATAGGGCTGAACTAAAAAGGCATGCGGTAGGGGTTTCCGTAGGAAAATCTAGTAGATGAGAACTCGTATGATCCCAATGGTTCGGTTTGACCTAGCAGACGGCTTTCCATTGTGTCCAACAAGGTGTCCATTCATCACAGCCTTGGTGTACAGCAGGGTCTACTAGTTGACGAAATGCGCGCAATCGTGCTCATGCAGCCATCCTGAATCCGGAAATGATGGAATTGATAGTAGTTTAAATAACGGAGACTATTCCACATACCGGCTTTGACCATTTTGACTACTTTTGCTTTGGTTTTCGGTTGTTTCGGTTGTTTAAGGCTAGAATTCCAATATAAGGGATGGTGATTGTCGATTTTTTAGGAGAGGGGGAAAAGAAGAGGGGGGAGCTTCTCACGGTCTAATTTGTACTGAAGAGGAGAGGGGATCTCGGAAAGCCACTCCTAAAGCCCGGCTATCCTTACTTACATAAACAGTTTCATTACGAAAATAACCTTACCATCTTCCATTCAAGTAGCACAAAGCACGCTATCTCCAGAGCTACGAAAATTAGGTACCTCATGCTGGTCCTATACTACCTACTTGAGGTATGTACTGGTAAGGTGGGGGTTCATCATAGCGTGCTCTGCATGGAAAAGTTGCCCCGCTTCGCGTCATTGGCGTCATATTTGGATGTGTGATGCTTACAAATGATATCATTTTCTCGTATTAAATTCGGACTTTATCCAACTCGCACTAAGTCGCAACCCCGTTACCAATTATATATCTCGTACGGTTGACCAGATAGGGTACTGTGCCAAAATGAAAAAAAAGATCGCGCACTAGACTAAAGTTGGTAAAAGGTCACGGACCACAATTTAATATATACTTTGAAGCCTCATACGGTTATTTTTATAATATAAATATTCAATTAATCAAATATAACCGTATCCACACATACCCATACTTATATATACATATAAATTCAAGGATAGCTTCATAAATACTGGTCTCAAAATGACATAATATATATCATTTAATAGCCCAATTGATGCGAAAATGATCATATCAGTTTCAGTAGTATATAATACGAATCAGGTATTATATGACTTACCCAATAATATTATGTTGAAAATTGTCCCAGCAAAGGGTATCACGTGCTTGCTTGCGAGGCAACACAATTCAATTATATTTTACCTTTATAAAAGCCTAGCTAGCATGCAACTTAAGTAACTAAACAACATGCACCTTAGATTATTATTTTCGCATTAATTAAGGCTATCTATTAATAGTAATTATATTATTTGAAATTGGGTAGTGGTAAAGTTATTTAAATTTGTATATGCCTACCTAAGGTTTTTTGATAAAGTTGGAAAGATTACGTGTGGTGTGTAAAAAGTTGATCTTTCCATTAGTGTTTTGTACTTTGTATATATATTTATATGTAAAGATACTTACTAGCTATACCTAGCTAAACAGCCTAGCGCTGCGCTACGTAATCATCCCTAAGGTAGTCACGTGATACCCTTTGCTGGGACAATTTTCAACATAAGATTACTACCTAGGTAAGTCATATAATACCTGATTCGTATCATATACTACTGCAACTGATACCATCATTTTCGCATCAATTTGGGCTATCAAATGATATATATTATGTCATTTTCAGACCAGTATTCATGAAGCTATCTTTGAATTCATATAACTACCTAGGTATAAATATAAGTATAGGTATGGGATTTTTGAATATAATTATATATATTACGTATAAGGTAATAGGATATGTACTTAGGTAGCATAGGCATTCCTCCACTTTAAAGGGTAAAGTACCGAGCTAATTGGATAAATCCGTGTTTAACTACCCGTTTAGGCTTAATTTTTATATTTTTTTCATTTTGGCACAATACCCTGTCTGGTCAACCGTATCTCGGACTTATTTAGGTGATTTTTACCTTCAGAAACAATAGCCTCTTCAAACGCGTGAATCATTCTATCGTAGAGCATGTCTACAGCTTCAGGCGAGTCGTTAGTCCCCGTCCAAATTACCCTATCCCGTAGAGGAAATAGAATTTGGCGTAGACTTTCGGCGAGCGGTTTAAGGGAGTGGAATATGGGAGCGAATTCCTCCAAAATATTCTGAAAACTATCCTGATCCATGTCAATAGACTTTTGTATCGCTAGTTTCTCCCAGTCTCCATTGCTCCATTGCCGAAGCTTACTTGTCTCTGGGGGATTCTCTTCATGGTTTGTTATTATTGTCCAGAGGAAGACGTAGAGAAAAGACTCTAGGTCGTGCCGATAAGTATGACATTCGCTCTTTAGCACGCCAATAGCCATAAATGGTCTGGTACCAGTAACTCCTGGCTCTGTTTCTGACCTTTCTGAGAGCTCTATTGCGGAATCGAGGTCTACCAGGACCCCCTTCGCCTTTCCTTCATCTTGGTCATCTAGAATGATCATATTCCCTGGTGATATATCTTGATGAAGAATATTGGCGTCATAATAGAGTGATCGATGACACTTGATAGCATCACGAAACACTTGAAGCAACTCTAGTAGAGACCGAAAAGTGTGAAGGGGTCTGCCTACAGGAGAAGTAACGAGACAGGCAAAAATACGATTCTGAAAAAAGTTATCGGTTTCTTCTGTACATTCGACAAGTCCGTTGACATTACAAGTACTGTCCGTTCGTTGCTCTTCGATACTTCTATATCTCTCCACCCTAGTAAATTTTCTGTGTGTCCCCCACCGGAGGCCTTGACGCAGAGAAGCTGTACTTTCAAATTCTTGGTAATAATCAATGGAGATGGCGCCCCAGACGCATTTCTTCTGGGCCAGCTTCAGAAGCTCGTCCTCCGGACGCTCCCTAGCCCAACGCCATTTGAATTTCAAGACATAATCCCATCGATTCGAATCAAGCATTCTAGCCCGGTAGCAAGTTGTGCCAGTGCCAATAAGTCCTTTACGGAACGCGATTGGTTGGCTTTCGAGATAAAGCTTTCCTAAAGGCTCAAGGACAATGTAGTTATTGGCCTTATTCGACTCAATGATGTTGAATTTCCCCAAGTCCTGGTCCGTCATGCACTGGTAACTGAGAATAATGAAGAGAAATTGGATAAAATCTTTCCGGATATCGAATACGTCACTACAATATAGGCCAGATCGATCAAAAACCCAAAGTTCGATCAGCGAACCGCGTATATAGAAGCCATGTAAGAAGGGCCGCGTAGGCTGGCTGGCAAATACCCGGTGTGCGGACTGGCAAAGATGTAATAGACCATCCTGATAACAAACATAACCACGGTGGTAAAACTGGCCAATAACCTGAACATAGTCCCATCTCATCGGCACGTTAGAGATCGATGAGGTGGCCATGATCAGGAGAAGACGTGCACTTTCGTTAGCATCCTCTTGTCCAGATGCTATATTGCCGCTAGATACAAGCCACGAGCCTCGAGTACCATCAGGCTCTCCATCCGGCTCCCGCGATACATAGCTAGAAAACCATTGTAGAAAATTTTCGGGTGTCGGGGCAGTTGGTGGAACAGCATAACGACCAAGAATTCTTCCAGCTGTCTGAATTTCTAATACAGCATCTTGATGGACGTACTGAAACTTGCCGAAGTATTTTTTGATAAATCCACTCATGGGGCCGTGCATACGGGAGTCTATGTTGTGAAAGATTTGGTCGTCCGTTACCGTGGTCGGTGGATGATTTACCGCCAAATAATTATCCATAACTAATAAAACCTATCTAGCGCCAAGTGCCATATGACTTCAATAGGTATCAGTGGTTTGATATTACAAGATCTCTGGTGTATAGTGTAAATGGTGGTGGTTGAGGTTGAGAATATCTAGGTATGCCTGAATAGCAACCTCAAGAACTGCCTCTTGTGTCACAAAGCCGGTAAGTTATATTTATCATGTTTGTAATAATTTAATTACCTAGTTACATTAGTCTAAATTACATGTCGGTCATATGATTTGTTTGATAGAAAATAATCAACTTAGAAATATTTAAAATAACGCTAGACTGATGGTTAGAAGGTAAGTACTTCAGAAAAGTTGCTATCCGCAAATTGCGTCGCTGCGGCTTACATGTCTAAGGCTTGCGTTGCCGATACCACAGATGCAATATGATCATGGAATTTTCGACATGTAGCTGTGATACTTACCTGGTTCTAGACTCTTTATAAGAAAAATCCCGAAACTGTCCCATCTATATAGGTAAATAAGCAGCTTACGTCGCGTGCTAGCAAACGAAGGATGCGAAATCAGGGCGATTAGTGGCTTCGAGGTCATGGCGACATGTTTGATTGCTCTCTGCAGTGTGACGCCGCGGCTGTAATGCATTCCAAAGGCAAAGCTACCCGTCTATTTCTTCGTAACGTTAATATTAGGGTGTTACGGCATCACTCCACAGTAGGGTTGAAGAGTAAGAAGGTTTAAGTCAAGTCAACCTTTCTAACTGCAAGGGATTTTCTAATTCAAGAAATAAAGTGGGCTACTCGGACACCGGTTGATTCCAGTTACCGGGAGAACCTAGAATGTCAAAGGCCCGTTTGATAAATTTAAATCATTGGTTTCAGCCCTATGATTATACTATGTATAACGCGGCTCCAAAAGCTAACCGTAGAATGGAAATTATCATCTTACATACTCCACACGCTTTGGAGGTTAGTATTGTCTTCTTTCTCTTAAGGAAAATGAAAGAGGATCTTGGCGGCGGACAGATGTGCGATATGGCAAGGAAGACGTGGCAGCGTACCACTGGAAGTGCTGTCCGTTATAACTAACTGCATAATACCAAGCAAGCTCGGATGTCGCGATGATACGTTTGACCTCAATATAATTGGCGCGTAAAAGAATAATTATTTTTGGTTAGTTGACTTAGTGCTTCGAATTCGACAAACAATCTTCAAATTCGACTCAACGCAATAGCTACCACCAATAGTGATATTGTCCGTATATAGTAACTCGTGATGATTCACCTTACGGGAGACAAGTTTCACATTATTGACCGACTCTTTAAAAGTAGCTAAATACTATTATAGCTGGTAGTTGCAAGTAGTAGGGTAGTTTATTATTCTCTCAATAAACCTACCTTATAAGACTGGGTAATGTACAAAGTAAACATTCGTGACTTAGGCAGGAATTATGGATAACTATGTCCAGTGAGTTTGCAGATAGACTGAAGGGATGATCTTACCCTCAAGTCCTATTGATGTATTGATTGGTCATTTGCCGAGCTGCCAATTGTTGACACACGGACCGACACGGTGCTACGCTCGTTCCATTCCGCATAGTGTACTTACATATTATAAGTCATATATTGCACGTGGATAGATCGTGGGGTTTCTTACTAGTGTCAGCTACCTATTTCATAGCTCCTCGAGTTAGATATAACTAGATTATAGGCATTTATAAGAATGAATAATAAATAACTATATATTAGATTAATAGTAATAGACTCGATAGAAGCCATTTTCAGACTATAGAGTTAAAGTAGCTTAGGTAGTTATATGCTTTTAAAAGTGAAGTTCTGAAGGATTGAGAGTATCCGAGAAAAGGAACACACTGTGACAGGGTATGTGAAAGGTACTCGTTTGCTCTGTTTATCGGCTAATAGTTACATGCATACTCCATAAACCTTTTCGACGTAGCTTGTCGAGTCCTTCTTTCATTAGTAGATGTAGACTAAAGGTTCATAGATGATTTCAAATTTTAGAACAATGGAAATGGAAATTACATATTTTTTCGATAATGATGATAGTGTTGCACAGCCCTGTTAAAAGCCTCCATATTCAGATGTACAATTGTGGCTTGGTTTCATTGCGGCAGGCGGGTCTAAGGTATCTAAGGTTCAATGTTGTTTGTGGAGGGGGACCACTCTCCACCTCTCTACCACTAGAAGCTGGGAGGGGACCGCTTTAAGGTTGCCGTTGATTTTCACGGTTCCACCACCGGACCACGCTCTTACCGACCCTTCAAAAAAAGAAAGCGAACAGCTGGAGAATGGAGAATAGCCCCCATATACACTTCAATTCAGCCTAGCCCACCTTCAGGTAACTCAAATGTTCTTCCATCAAACATCCATTCACATTCCCTACATTGGCGCACATACAGAATGGTCAAGGTCGTTTTGACCAATTTTTGGCTTCGCAATCCCTTCCTAGTCATTACGACTCTTGCTCAGCCTATATCATTATAATTCCATTTCTTATATCCACTACGGGCTTTATCATCAACTCCGACTTCTATTACGCCTTAATCCTACGTAGTAAAGGTTTTACGATATCAACAGCTTGACGATTAAACTTTCCGACCCTTTCAATCTGCTGTCCTATAACCGGCTTTCCAGATTAATCCAGACGATTATCGCATTTTATTTAGTAAAAACATTCGTGCCGAATACTTCCCACCTGCATCGTCTAGTCTCTTTTTAAATTCCCCGAAGACGAACTTTGTCGTGAGCTTCCTCTAAAACTAGGACCTATGAGGATGCGAATTGTCAGATTTCAGACACAATAGAGTTCTAGCTTACCGATGCCTATTCATGCGACAACATCCTATCAGTCCATTCGTTAATACCCAATATCTCCACCCTGCGGTCGGCGGTTGCGCAACGACCTAGTTGACGCAACTCAATATGTCATTTCGAGACAACGACCAGCGCCGGTATGGCCATATCCCTCCTGTACAGTACCCCGTCGCAAATCAGTCTTCACAAGATCCGTTAAACTATCCGAACCGACGGTCAAGTTTCAATAACGGCGACGATTCTGGCGCGTTTACTTCTCCCCTAACTCGTCCAAGCTATCAGCCAACCTTGAATACGAATGTCGCAGGGCTCTCAGGCCGCGATGAACTGTTCCTAGCCAGCCCGTCTGATCCTAGCAGGCCTAACTATGGCAATTCAAATGTCGCTATGGCGGGATACCAACACCAATACCAGCCTCAGTCACCACCTACGCCATCAACCTATAACCCGCAAGCCTTTGCTCGATCTCATTCTAACTCACTACCGTATCTACCGCATCCATCACACAGGTGGGCTCCACCAAATGCGCCGCCCGCTCCATATAGTCCTACAAGCGCAACGCCTAATAACTTCACACCTGCTCCGTATAATCCCGCCGCGTATTCTGGAGCGCCAGTACCTCAGCGCCAACCGACCTATACTGGATATACTAATAATAATAATAGCAATAACGGTCAATCCTATGGCTCGCCGCCGCTAAACCAGTCGCCCTACTTCCAATCCCAACCTCTATATGCTGCTTCCACCCAGCCGAGACACACCTCTACTCCACCAACCACTTACACTGCAAGTTACGGTCAAACGCCTTATAGCCCGGCATATCCACCTACTACAAACACAATAGCTTCGACTCTCACGACTAGCTACGATTCTTCGCAGGGACGTTACACTACAAGCTATCCAAACGGCGGCACAAGCCCACAGGCTACGTTTTACTCATCAGACTCGTCCACATCTTCCCAGACGCCGTACCCGACCCATTCGGAAATACCTGTAGGGCCAAACTACTCTGCCAACGATCCACATTCGTTTTTGAATCGTACATCTAGGTCAAATTCAGCAGCATCGCCACGACCTTCGCCCCCTGTCCATTCGCAATTATCAACCGGTTTGGCGCGCCATCCGACCAACGCGCCATTGCCTAGCCGGCCGGTTGACGATGTTGCCGAAGAGCAATACCCATCTAATGGCTCCCATGCTCCCGATATGGCACAGGAATACGCTACACAAAACAGCATTATGCAGGACATCGAAGCTGAGCTCAGGAGGAGGAATGGTTCAATCCACGGTCGTCCTACAGCTTTTGACCAGCGCAACGGCGCCTTAGCCGATGGAGATCTACAGAATCTCCGTCGGTTAACGTCCAACGCGAGCTACCATTCAACTGCCACCACGATAACGAACCAAGAAGAACCGTCTGGGGTAAACCGATACTCCTCCAATGCGTCAACATTAAATAGGAATCACTCAACCAACCCATATGCCTATGAAGATTATGACGGAGATGAAAGCGATCCGGAAGGCGCAGCCGGGGCTTGGGCATTGCAACAGGCAGAAGAGGATGATCGTCGATTTAGTTCAGTAAGTGGGTCATTAACCTATTTCAATCCACCGGAAGCACCCACGCAACCTACTCTCCCCACTCATAAAGAAGAGCCAAGTAGCGATAGTGACTATGCTGGAATGGATTTGGGGCTCATGGGTGGAGGTTATGCCGGGAACCTAACGTATGACAACAATCTCGGATCGCCGCCTGCTTCCGAAACGACACCGGCGGAGTTACAAGCTTTGCCGACCCCTCGTAGCAACCATACATCCCAAAGGAGCCATGGGAGCAATAAATATCCGGCTTTTGAGCAGGCTGAAGTGGACTATGAAGGTACTGGTGGCCTACAGAAACCCGCTGCTCATCGTTTGAGCTTCGATGAGGGGGAAGAGCGCGTTTCCCTCCACTCAAGGCAAAGCGGTAGTGAGTCTCCTATAAAAGAGGACTATCCGGACATGTTTTACCATCCTGGCCTATCGAATCGTCCTCTCCCGGCTATTCCTGCCAGCTCGGACAGCAGTTCAATGTTATCTATTCAGTCGCCCACTAAAGCTGGATATCAACATGGATACTCCCTCAGTGTGGACTCACCTCCATATTCTGGACCAGATGCTCTATATGGGCAAAATGCGCAGCAGCTTCAAGTTGAGAGGTCTATCTCCTTATCTAGCCATAGTACTTCACCTCACGTCCAGCCACCGGGTCGGTCGAAGACGGATGCCACCGAGGAGCGTAACGCACGGTTGAGGCACGTGAGACAGCAACAACAGCTGGCGGCTCAACAAGGATTGCCGTATGAGGGTTACGAAACAGGGACAGCTTCATCGATAAATTACGACGTAATTACTCTGCCGAGCGGTCGGCGTCGAAATTTCCAACCAGAAAAATTTACAATTGTTGATGTCCGTTCTTGCACGGAGCCATGGGCTTTGAGTGGCATTGCTAAATGGGTTCGTGAGATGGCTGAAGGCGAACCCGACCTAAAGAGGAAGACTCTTGAAGACGGTCTTGTCAGACTATTCTGCCTGAAGGTCCCCACGATGAACGTCGCAGACGCCGAGACTCTGAGTACCCAAGTTACCGATTCTATGTTGGAAGCCGGTATTCTTGTCCCGGAAGAAGAATGGCTCAAGTTTGGGCCTGGCTCTATATCCGGTGTGTTATGGCAATTAACCGGTTCAGGTTGTTACGCGCCAAAACTTCACGAATATGACGATGATATAACGGGACATGAAGTACCAACACGGTGTTACTCACATCATTGTACCAGGACGCTTAAGAAGGCCAACTTAGATGATCTTATGTCAAATGGCGTTAAAACACTTGACTGGGTGACGTTTTATAACATGACGAAGGAGAGTACAGAAAGCAAGTCGAAGAAGGAGATCTCACGACAAAATGTTCTCCACGAAATCGTTACTTCAGAGGAAGTATATATGGACCGCCTTGATGTCCTCCGTGTTCTATATCGAGACCGGCTCCTCCAATTTCAGCCTAGGATTATTGCTGAAAGTAAGATCGAGAAATTCGTCAGCGACGTGTTTGGCAAGGCCGATGCGGTCCAGGAGGTCAACATGGATCATCTATTAGCACAATTGAAGTACCGACAAAAGGAGCAAGGTCCGTGGATAGTAGGCTTTAGCGACATCTTCAGGGAATGGGTTCGAAAAGCTAAGACTGCGTATGTTGATTATGCTTCCGCCTTTCCTTACGCACGGTATCGAGTGAAGAAAGAGGCGGAGAAAAACTTCCTATTCAAGCAGTTTCTCGAAGAGAACCGGGCGCACCCTCGGTCACAGCGTCTTGATTGGACCAGCTACTTAAAAGATCCAATTACACGCCTGCAAAGATACTCCCTCCTCCTAGAGACGGTATTAAAATATATGGTACAAGAGTCTGAGGAAAAGTCGAATCTTAAGAGGGCTATTGAAGAAGTTAAGTCTATGACCCTTGAATGCGACGCGAAAGTGGATGAGATGCAGAAGAAGGTGACGATGATCGAGTTAGATCAGATGCTGGTTCTTCGACCGGGTTTCCATGCCGATCTCCATTTAGATCATCTAGAACTTATCCTTCAGGGCGATCTTCAAAGGATGGGCTCGAAAGGTATGCGATGGGTCGACACGCACGCTTTGCTGTTCGACCATTACTTGATCCTCGCCAAACTAGTCATATCAAAGGATGGTAGGCAAGACAGGAAATATGATGTGTCGAAAGAAGTGAGTATTTCTCCACTTATAATAATTAGCATTCGTTAACGTTTTTAGCCCATCCCTATGCCTTTATTATTCCTCGAAAGCAGCCAAGATGACCCAGTCTCTAAGCAAAAAGGAATCACTGCTCCGTTAACCCGAGCAGCAAATTCAGCCTCTGATACCAAGCTTAATAAAGTAGCGTCAAACGGCACTGAGCGGCCCGGCCTGGACCATACAGTCACGACTTCGTCCATCGGTACTGGAACTGTCACCAGGCTAGCGCCCGGTGGCTCGGGGGATACTGAAGGAAAGATACTCTATCCTTTCCGTGTTAAGCATCTAGGGCATGAAGTATATACTCTATTCGCCCAGTCGGCTCAGACGCGGCAGGATTGGTGTGACAGGATTATTGAAGCCAAGACTCGACATGCTAAGGCACTACATGCTCAAAACGCCGAACCATTCCGGTTGCGGGTGATGGCTGATAGTGCTTTTGCCTACGACCCAATCGCAGCCATCGGCAAGTATGTTGGCGGTGTGCATATACGTGGAACTCCCCTTGATAGAGCCATTCGGGAGGTTGAAAAGACGTACGGATCCGGTCGTGGCCCTCCTCCAATCTCTCGAGCAGGAGTTAATTGCGCGGCTGGTTTCTCTGCCTTCGGTAAGAATATGGTTGCGGTTGGCACAGACGCGGGCGTGTGTGTGTCGGAAGCTAGTGATCAACGGCATTGGAATAAGGTAAAATCCATATTCGCGCGCGTCTTATACCATTTACTGACTATTTTCCTAGACGGTTACAGTCAACCGAGTCACACAAATCGCGGTCCTTGAAGAATTTTCTGTTGTCCTCGTATTGTCCGACAGGAATCTTATTTCTTACCCTCTCGATGTGATATCACCTCCGTCTAACTTTCCTGTTCTGGCGAACGATAACCACCGTCGGTCTCCCCAAAGGCTTGCAAAAGATGTATCGTTTTTTGCTACAGCCCGTATGAAAGACCGGATGCTGGTGTTCTACAAGAAGAAGGAAAGTTTACATACCACCTTCAAGGTACTCGAGCCGGTGTTCCAAAAGGCGACGGAAAAGAAATCGCGTTTCTTTGGTGGAAGCCGAAAGGCTGGCGTGGGCGTGACGGAAAGTTTCCGAGATTATGATGAGTTCTTTTTCCCTACGGAATGCTACTCGCTCAACATTTTCCATACGTACATTGCCGTCTCAACGGCCAGGGGTTTTGAGCTCTTAACTCTCGACAAGAAGATACCTACGTCGATTCCTGATGTCAAGCAACCCGCTATTGCCGACATTGCTTACCGCATTAAGGAACAACGACCTCTAGGCATGTTTCGCCTGAACGATCAGGAATTTCTGCTGGCATACGAGGACTGTGCTGTATACGTGGACAAGTATGGCGATGTTAGTCGTAGCGTCATCATGGAATATTCAGGAAAGCAAAAGAAAGCAAGGGGCGCCACGATGTATGGGCAATACCTGTTATTATTTAATGAGGATTACGTCGAGGTGCGCAATGCCGAGAATGGCCGGCTGCGCCAGATCATTGCCGGAAGGGACGTGAGGGTTCTAGACTATGGCGTTCGGGGTCCAACGGGGGGTACATCTAGCGCGAATGGGTCAAGTCCATTCCCTAGCGACGATAACGGGTCCGAATCTAACGGCACGGTCAAGATCTGCATGGCGCATCCAGAGGTTTCGGGTCAGCAGATCGTTCTAGAGATGTTACTAAACAGCGGGCATTGAGAGATATCACGAATCGCACGCTTTGGTTATGACCGGCGCCGCATGGACAAACACTTTAGGGTTCGGTTAGTATAGGGGGTTGCATATTTGTTTCTGTGGCACGGCTACCCACATGGGAATGGTTTTTTTCTTTTTTTTCGAATGGATATCCGGCTAAGCCAATGGCCAAATTTCCTTTTCTTTCCTTCTCCCAACTACTCGAAGACGGCTCAGATGATGAGCCATCATGGTGATGGCTAGAGCGAAATATCATTTGTAGAAGCTCTGAAACACAATACCATGCCGTCCACGATTATTCAGCCGTTTTCGAGTCTTGCCTTACTCTATTTTTCTATTTATGAAAGAGGTGGACTCGAAGCTATCCCTTGTAATAGGGTAATCCGTAGACATTACCGCTACAATTCTATGATATACCCCCTTTGATGGCATATTTCTATTGCAATGTATTTGCGTATTTCTCAGTCTTCAAATTTAATTTATGCCCGTTTAGGTGATTTAGATAGTTCAAGGTGCACATATATGGGTGCCTGTTAAGTAGGATTGTACTAATAGACGATTTCTTATATGACCGTCGATGATGTATGTATTGAACTCCCTCGTAGATAAAATCGGTACGCTGTAGGTTAATTTAGTCTAGGAAGCATCGTATCGTATCTAAAGCGACCAATATAACCAGCACAGCTTATTTAGTACTAAAAAGTATAGTCCATCGTATGATAACGAATTGTATAGAAGCCAGTTGAGCGCGATTAAATATGAATATAGGTATTTAACGAATGACGGTTGAAAGCTATTCCCGTGTCTATATCGAAAGCTTAGACTATCCATCCTTTTACCCTCGAGCACTCCCCCCTCCCCAGTCCCCAGTTGTCAACTAAATCTTAAACGAGCGTAGAAAATAATCACAATACATATCCCAACCCACTTAAAAGGTAGTCATACAGCTACATTCCTCGTCCTACAACTCGCAACTTACTTACCTCCAACATCAACCCACCCCCTCTCTCCCCCCTCAGCAGTAATAGCCACACCATCCCACCGTACCCGCATCGTCGTCGGCACAGGGGAATACGCGCTCTGATCAGGCGTCATATACACCCTCAGTCCAGTCCATTCGTCGCCACCGCCACGCACAGCCTTCCGCCCAGCCTGGCCCCGCCACTCCTTGAACTCGAGGCTCTTGCACTCGCCCCGCGGGCCGGGTGCACGCCGCAAACCCGGCAGTTGTACCAATACCTTAAACGTGGCCGCGAGTGCGACCCGCGTCAGTCCCTCGCCTAGGCATTTGTGCGGTCCGGCGCCCCAGGGCAGGTACGAGGATACCGGGCGGTCGAGACGCAGGGACTCGGGGTCAGGGAAAGCGGTGGCGTCGTGGGAGGCGGTTACTAGGTCAATTATAGCGCGTTGGGTTGGGAGGAGGGTGTATGTGCGGGTGGAGGAGGGGCGGGAGGTCGGGGGGTTCGGAATAGGGGATGGGCTGGTTGGGGAAGATGGATTGGGCAGGCAAGGGATGTCGTCGGTGATGGTTTGGGCGGCGCTGGTAGGTGGGATGAAGCGCGCTACTACGACAGTACCGCGGAGGCGAATGCCTTCTAGGAGGCTGGGTTTGGTTAATATTGGATATAACTTTTATATCTAAGCGAGAAGTTAGGGGAAGGAGACTTACTAATGCATCAACTTGTCGTCAGCTTCAGCCGTGTTCTCGTGGGCCAGGCGGTACAGCTCAGGGAGGTGTTGGCTCCCCGTTCCTAGGAAGTAATCTAGACATTGCGAGAGTAGACCCGACATGATCGTAGCTCCGGCAGCGCTACAACGTCTAAAGTTAGTATGATATGCCGTCCATGAACTTACTTCTGCTATAATGCTCAAATGGTCCTCAGATATAAGCAGCTCACCTAATCGGCATAACAGTCCCTGCAATACACTCCTCAATCGTTTTCCCCTTCTCCATCATACGGGAAAGCAACTGTCGGCCGTAATCCGGGAGCCCAGGCCAGTCTTCCTTACCCCCAGCATTCGACTTATCCTTTCCGGCAGATATAAAACCCAATCGTGCGGCCATTCCGGCAACCCAGTTGGTTTTTGCATCTGCTTCAGCCTCCAGGCGTACAAGTTGTTCTAGTCCCAGAGCAAGCTCACGAGACAAAGTCCGCAGTTTGAAAGAATTAGCTGGATCGCTGTCGAAGAATACGGCGGAGAACATGGCAGACAGTAGCCCGTATAGCTCATGCTCTGTGTAGATGCCGTGGGGCGAGGTCTCAGCCGTTTTAATCGGTAGCCCGAAGAACTCCGCGACGAAGCGCGTGTTAAGCGGGATAATAACATCTCTGACAATATCAACTTCAAAGTTTTTGGCCGGCCCCGGTGCTATAGTGGGACTGGGTGGTAACGTCCGGCCGGCTTTCTTAAGCAGATTTTTGGTAGTCTGGTTAAAGAAATGCTTGATCTCGTTTTCCCACTCCTTGGGCTGGTAGAGACATCTAGCTACATGATCCCGACTATGCTGGTTGGCAGTACCGTCACCAGCTAGACAAAAGTCTTTTGCGAAGGTCTTCCCTGGTGGACTGACAAGATAGGATATACCTTCGCCCCAGGGAACGTAAAAGTCCTTGTTGTTACCCAACACTTGACTAACGGCTTTGTGGGATTTGATAACTACCGGATCTAGCTGCCTCGTGGGTTTCTCCCACTATAGCAAGGAAGTTTAGTATTAGCTACATTAGGAAGCGGTATGACCGAAGAACCCCTATTTCGAGGGATGGGGAAAGGGGTTCAAAAGGGAAATTATCTTACCGAATATAATTCAGATGTGCCTAGAGCTTCATGTATGACCTTATTCTCCTTCGGTACAACAAAAGGGAAATGCGCATGGATGCTGTTGCGCGCGAAATGGAATGGGAACGCGCGGAATATCAACTTGTGCATCACTTGTCCCTGGTCAACTTTTAGGTCGAAATCGGCTTCATTGAAACTAAAAGACGCTCAGCTTCACGTCCCACTGAGAGTAATAAAGTGAGATATTATGAAATGGTATCGTACATACCCCCAGTTCGTCAAGTTCGCAGGAGTATAATCAGTAGTATAGAAGCGATCCCCGCGAACGAGCGCCACAGCATCGGAAAGGATGGCACGACTCGTGGTGACGTTTACGCAGAGTCCACTGCCGGACATAGGCGGTTTGGGCTTCTCAGCTACGACTGTGACCAGTATGTAAGTGCTTATTTATTCAAGTAGGAGGGTTAAGGGTTTATGATTATCCTAGAATAGGGACAAGGGGTTTCTCAATACACGTACGCCCTGGATATAGCTCAACCGCATCAGGTGAGTCGTAAAGGGACATTAACTTCCCCGCGACCGCAGGGTCTGGGTTGATATCTTCGAATGTATCATGCTTCTTCAGGCCAAAATGCTGTCGAAACTCATTCAGTGTGGCTACATGCCATTCTCGTGCTTGCGTAATTCCGAGGATCTCGATAACTCGCAATGCGCTCGGTACTTGGTTCGCCCCAAATGCGCCAGCGACATCTTCGATAGAGGCGGTTAGGATGTCGACAAGCTCGTCATCAGGGTAAGTTCCGTCTTCGCCCCGGTTTAGACCAGCGAAATCTCGCTCATCTGGGTTGTTAGGGATACCACGCCGGGATCTTGCTAAGGCTTGTAATACCTCGTCAACGCTCGCTTTAGCAGGATCCGCGCCGTCGAGTATTTTACGGAAGTCATCAGTCACCCACTTCTCGTCACGCGTCGAAAGGGCACTGTGCCATCTATAAATGAGATTGAACTCGACGGAAACTTGATTGCCTGTAGCCTCTGGGGCCGGCGAACTGTTGAATATGTTCTTCTTCTCTTGCGTCCGTGGGTCCAGGCCCCATGTAGTGCCAGAGCGGTTGACATTCAGTATCGTTCGGACGTAGTCCTTAAGGATAATGTTAACATAGAGCCCGCATGTAATAAGTCGTCCTGTCTGAAATAGGTCGTTGTCGTATTTTTCCCAGACTTCCCAATTGCCACCTTCGCTAGTAGCGACTGGCTTTGTGAAGCGGCCGTTCTCGTTAATCCTTATAGATATTAGCATTTCTTAATTATTATATAACTTTTAAGCTAAAACTAAATAGCTAGAGTCTTACCCCGCCAGTTGAGTTACGACATAGTTGTGAAACCGATTGAACATCTGCGGATAGTCATTAGTATCAACTTTCCAAAGTGAAGTTAAAAGTTGCGAGAGAGTTTATAGTCCCAAAATCAACTATTGGGTATATTGTTGATCCTCCATGACAATCCCTTAAGATGAATAGGTATACACTTCCTAGGAAGGTAGGTAGAGGGCAAGAAATTTAGGAGCACTAACGATCAAAAACACTCCTACTCCTGGAGGGAATCCAAGAAGGTTCCTCGACGAAAAACAGTCTGGTTTAAGTAATCCGTCTTTGAAAGTCCGCATTGCCTTTTGCTCTTCATCATTACGACCATACAAAGGCGAAAGATCGAGATACGAAGAGGTCAAATTAACGTTTGCGTCTCGTGAGTCCTTAACAATTAGATATCGGCCAAGAGCAAGGGAGACTATATGTTTGGATAACTTACTGTCTGGAAAATGTCGTGAGTAATGATTGTAGCAAGGTAGAACAGCACGCTAGATATCTTGTTTGGATGTTCGCGGAACGATGCTCTATCCCTGGCCATGATACTGTCGTAAATAAGGCCTGGGTCAGGCAAGTTAGGCCCCTGGAACACCTTAGCAGGAGTCGTTCGTGTGTAGCGTGTGTTGGCGGCCCCCATAGCAGGAGCTTCAAGGTTGTTATAGGAGCCGTTTGCTGTACGGTAACAAGCATCTCTAGCTAAAATCTGAGCAGGAGGGTGCTCAAGCGAGTTCCAGAGCGTGTTGACGAAAGCATCGGTAGCTTGTTTACCTTCCCGGGAATTAGGGGGCAGTTTAGCCAGCAAGGTGACAATACGCTCTTGTAAAAGTTCGTTGTCATCCTCTTCGCCGGAAACCGTGGCATCCAAAACATCTTTCAGCGTCTTGTAGTCTTCGACACCCAAGTGTTGTAAGTCCTGAAGAAGACCGGTCTCTTTGGGTGTGTCATCATTCCCCGGAGTGAACTGGTATTTGGGAAGAGGTCCAAGGGCTCTGGTAATAACTTGAATAGCTTGGGCAAAGGGAGAAGACATGATTTGAGCGTTAGAAGAGGCTACATTGGAGGTTACTGATACCACGGAGGGGGATATGAACTCCCTTGTCCACTTATACAGGAAGAATCTACGAGGTGCCCGTTTGGGACTTAAGTTTCTCGGCCGATTCAACTCCATCCTGATAGGCCTTGTTGATGCAACTATAATATGAAGTCGCCATTATCATGTGGAAGGCTGATAAGTTACATCCCACGTGGTAGACTGGTGGACACAGTGAAATACGGGAACAAGTAGTGAAGCATCTAAACCTAGCACAGTGTACATAAAATACTAAGATAGAAGAAATGCAACACAACCTACTACCTACCGTAGCGGCAATATGTGGTTACCTACCAACCGAATACAGATAATTAGAGCAAACAAGGCTAGTGTAACACACGATGAGTTGATGATAGGCCTGTAATATCTAAGACATAAATGCGACTTTGCCTACCTACCTACCTATAAATACCAACACCACCAACATTAAGTAAGCAATAATACGACACCAGCCTTGGGTACCTCTTAACAAATATCTCCTTTTTACCCCAGATATATTCGCTAAATTGGCACTTATACACCATCAGATACAATAGTATAAAGACTCTAAGACATTATTTTCGGAACCGATGATATTTATACTTGGGTTCGCACCAAAAGAATATTATATTACATTATGATACGACTAAGGAATAGTTTTAAGCTGCAAACGTGAGCACCGCCTTACTATTCAACACGAGGCAGCTCGACAACTAATGTGTTAGTACAAAAACATATTGATCATATCATATATGGTTTGAAGCTGCAAGCCACTAATCCTCTAACTTATTATATCAAGTATTAACAAGCAGCCATCGTAAGTGGCTTCCTCCAGTATCCTTGGCGCATGATTATTCTAAATGATATGAGATAATTACTGAGGGGCATCGACCATACCCAAAGTAGACTGTTTCCTCGAAATGCTAGGATAGCGTCATAGCTATCATGCAGCCACCCGTCAAAACCATATGTATCCCCTTTGATAAATGTACTGAGGTAGGAGGTAACTAAGGATTTCTTAGAGTTGTGTTTGCATTTGAATGTCTTGGAGGAGCCTATCAAATAACTATATGTATTAAGATATATTTTCTATGTGACTCGTGTTCCACATTTATATTGCTATGAGATTCAATATCATGGTACCTGTTATCCTCACGTAAGAGCCTACTAAGTGTGAAGACGGTTCGGACCGACGCTTAGCTTTATACACCTCCACTTACGCGCAAGGTAATTGAGAACTGCGTGCGTAAGCAGATATTTCATTCGACTTTAACTTCTACGCAAAAACAAGGTGGTGCTATAGTCTAATATAAGGTCATATCATAAAGGCTTTAATCGGACTTTACGTGTAGAATTACGATTCTCTAAGCCAGTTTTACAAGGTCAAATTGACTTAAAAAAATATGCCTGTTCAAGGCATAGAAGTCACCTTATACCTCGCACTTCAGGGTATTTTAAATAACTAGAGTACGAGTAAAGAGTCTTAATATTCAAAGTAACTACTACTTAATGGTCGATTTAGTAAGGCTTAGTTGAGTCGAATTATAACTCCAATTTTGAGTAGCTGCATTCTATGGGATCCTTCATAAGAAGATATATACCTAAGCACATAACCGACATGTCAGCATTCCTTGGGTGTCGTAAGTTTTGTCTTTTCGCCAATAATAAATGAAATTCGGCACCGAGAAACTAGGACACTTTTATCAAGGATCCTAATTCTAAATAGTATGATCTAAGCTGTTGACAAACTACTTCAATAAATAACTCAGAAATCAGCTAGTGACAGGTCAATATCATTACTAACTCAGTCATACTTGTAACTGATAATATGCATATGTACCTGTTGATTCATTTCATTTAGTTCCCTCCTTAACCTGGTGTAGTTTTATTACTTTGCGGTGTTTTCAATTTAGTCGGCTGAGGTAGCAACAATATAGACTAGCAACACCAAGACGTTTAGGCATAAAAGTATTAAAGGGGATATCTATGTATATCTATGTACGACTTGGCTGCATTACAAGTGATAAAAACAAACCTCATACCCCACCTAGACAAATCATTACCACGTATACTAGAGGAACTTAATTTTTACTATACTCATTTAAATACCCTCTCCTTCCACGAACCACGAGGCGTTAAAATATAATCGAGTTATATAAATGATCATATACCTAGGTTAGGTACTCACGTGACAATGGCGACATACTAGGTGAGTATTGCGAATGCTATAAGCGTTGGTAATCGATCCATGCGGATCCCAATGCCCCTCCTAAACGCGATTACGTATCCGGCTGAATTGAAAATGAAGCTTAGTTGTTACAATATTTATTGTAGAAGATATGAGCGAGGAACGTAGAATCAAGTCCGTGGCTGTTGTTGGCGCGGGTGCGGGAGGTGTGTATAAATGCCATCTTTAAGACTCTTATATACCTTAGGTACCTATGCATATCAATATCTGACATAAATTCATATATATAATAGGGGCTATCGCCGCGGCAGCATTAAAAGCTGAAAACTATTTTGAACGGATTCGGGTATTTGAGAGACGGGAGACACCTGGGGGAACATGGTATACTCATGTCCTCTATATACATCACCCAGTAAGCACGTTTGCTTACAAGTTACAACCTGCAGGATTTACGACTCGGACCCGACGCCCGCATTAGAGGTGCATCCGGGAAAGTTACCTCCCGATGTCGATCCGCCGCTGGAAATCCCGAAGGAGCTCCCTCAGGTCACACCACCTAACCAGCAAGAAAGGTTTTCTAAGACGCCTATCTACAATTCTTTAACGTGGGGACTCGACTCAAGTCTATATTTGAATATAGGAGTCAACATGTTAACACCGGACTAGAACCAATGTGCCCGATATCGCTATGTGCTTCTCCGATAGGAGGTTCGCCTACGGGCCCTTCCCACCGCATCATGTTCCCAAGCAGTACGTCGAGAGTTATTTCTCGCTCCACAAAACAGACTCGTTTCTGAGTCTGAGTACTACTGTCGAGGATATCACCAAACTGAAGCCCGATTCGGAAAACGGTCCTGAAAGATGGAGATTGACCCTCCGGAAGTACGACCCGTCTCGTCACGTTGACTTCTGGTGGGAAGAGACCTTTGACGCCGTGATCCTAGCAAATGGGCACTACTCTGTACCTTACGTATGTTATATAGACTCACTTATAAGCCAACCCCCAAGCACTATCTACTCTAACACACACAGATCCCTTACGTCAAAGGCCTCCAAGAATACGCCCAAAAATTCCCCGGCCGCGTGTCACACTCAAAGTACTACCGGTCACCCTTCCCATATATCGGGCAACGCGTCGTCATCATCGGAAACTCCGCATCAGGCCACGACCTAACCGCCGAACTAGCCTCAACAGCACGACAACCCGTCTTCCAATCGCGGCGCTCCAAATCCCGCTGGGACGGCCCCGAGCCGCCTCCGGGCATCGCATGGAAGCCCGTGATATCGGAGTACGATGCCGAGGACGGCAGCATCCTATTCTCGGACGGAACGCGGCTAACAGACGTCGACGCCGTGATCTACGCCACTGGATACAATGCGTCCTTCCCATTCTGGAACGCCGCCGCAAACAGCAACGGGGGCGAGCCGCTGTGGGATTACGCCCGCGGCAAGCTCGTCGGGAACTACTGGCACACATTCTTCCGCGCACACCCCACGCTCGGAATCGTCGGCGTGCCCCGCGTCCTAACCTTCCGCAGCTTCGAGTACCAGGCCATCGCTCTCGCACGGCTGTTCGCCGGGCGCAACGCAGTCCCGTTACCCCCGGCGGCCGATCAGGAGCGCTGGGAGCGGGAACGGCTGGAAAATACACGGCGGGAGGGTAGGAAGTTCCACGATATCAATTGGGACCGGGGGGAGACAGCAGAATGGCTGGAGGGATTGTTCCGGATCGCGGGGCTAGGTACGCTAAGGGGAGATGGGAGGGTACCGCCGCCGTTGACTAGGGAGATCGTCTGGGCGGTTGAGCATTTGAGGAAGTATCCGGAGCCGGGGAAAGGGAAGGATGGGGATGAGGATGGAAAGGGAAAGGGAAAGGAGAATGATTCGGTTATAGATGCTAGGAATGATCAGACGAGTACCCAAGACGATGGATGGGTATTAGTTGATAGGCGACATAAAGATTTATTAGGATTCATATGATGGAGTCTTCAAAATTGAGCAACGAATTGCATATAAGTACATAGCTCACTAAGATCCTGAGGTCATATTTGTCTACATAGCTCTTCGAGATTGAAACCATGATAGTTAGGTAGGTAATTTAGAGTATAGATCGAATAATACGCCTGAAGATAAACCCTATATTCTGTGTCCAATTTTATGCGCTCATCTTGTGATATTGCTCTTAAATGAATAAGAGAAAGTTATCATATACGTGATTTATATTGTAGGCCCTAGACTGAAATTTTGAAATAATTATCCCGTGAAGGAATGTCCTCATGTACGCTTAACCAATCATAATAACGCCGTCCTGCTATCCCTATAAAATGCCTAACCTATTGCCAAAGATAATTGAGTTCAAGTGAGATTACGCACGTGCGTATCAAATACGTCGTTCCGCCAACCGCCCGCCTCAAACTGCTCAATACGATCGCCAGCTCGAGATGCCTCCTCGTTCCATATCTTAACAACACTACCCGGGGTATAGACACCCTTAAAGACACCACGGCCCGGCTGCTCAACACCCACCCTCGTATATAGATCAGGATTTTCCTCGGGTACCAACCTAGCCGCAACAGCCCTGATGAAGGTCCATAGATCCTTCGGATCGGCGATCCGTGTCGCGCGTAGACGCTCCCGAGCAAACAACAACTCGCGATTCGCAGCATGTAACAAATCGCTAATGGCAGAAGCAAGCTGGGCTTCCATTGTCGCCTTGAGGATCGGTCGAAGCACTGGCTTAATGATCCAGCCCAGCCAGGAGAACTTGCTCTTCCGGAGCTTGTAATTTAACTTGTGTACTTTTACCCGCACGCTGCGTAGTGTTACCATCTGTTCTAAGCGCTCGCGACATATCTCGACTTCGAGGTGGATGTCAATGCCGCGCTCATCTAGCGCGAAGCTTGCGATGCCCTCATCGGCTAGACGGAATAACCCACTATGGGCGCGCAACCAGAAGCCGACCTCATCCGCACGTGCTGAAAGGCCGTCGATCTTAATGAGCATGAGGTTCTTCATACTAGTATTTGTCCGGAAACGGGCTTTACGGATCTCAACGTCATTATAATTCTCGATCTTCAGTCTGAACGGAAGGAATGATGTTTCGTTCACAGTAATTCCGGGCTCGATAATGAGGTTTTCTAGTAGAAGGTCGATTATTGGTGTGCTGACTTCGAGACGTGGGATTGGCACATGTTGAACTGTACTGATGAGAAGTGGAATAAATACATTCAGCGCGTCGTGGATTAAGTCAGTGTTTGTTGTCGAGTTGGTAGGAGAAAGGACACCAAAAATACGGAGCGTTGTTGTTGTTAGATTATGGATATCTTCGTCCTTTGCCACACTTTTGAACGTGATAGATAGCTGCTGTAGGAGATCATCGACATCCTGTTTCAAGCTACTCTCTGATCCGACATTCTTGCTCTTTTCTCTTAGCTCCCGGAGCTTTTCATCCGCATTGGAGAAGAATTCCGGGTCCATAAGGAGCTTCTGCAAGCTGTCACCGAGGTCCTGTAGTAAATTCTCAAACTCGGGATCGCTGTCTTTATGGCTCATAACCTTCTTCAAAAGCTCTTCTGACCTCTCCCATTCATTCTTGTCACCGAAGCTCCTAACAAACTCCCAAAGATTGGTGAGGGCACGATCTGTCTCCCGGTTTTCCTGAACATCATCCTGGGTGATATCCATTAGTTCCTCAGCGGCTCGCGAATAGACTATAGCATAGCGTTTTATGAGTAATGAGAGTGTCGATACGGAGTCCGAATAGTCCTTGCGCTTGCGAAGGTTAAGGACTACTTGCTGCAACCGTTTTAAAAGCGTCTGGCCCTCATCACCAGAAATCTTATCTTTAGCACTCTCGACCGTAGCGCTTGCGACCTCGGCACCGTGGCTCGCAACAACTTTGCCGGCATCTTCGAATTCATCCTCTAAATCTTGGGCTGTCGGTGGCTGGCCATCACTAGTAGTTCCTGACTCGGCTATACTTCGCTGTTCTTCGTGTGATGGCTCCAACTGCTCGCCTACTTCCTTAGCAGCACTACTCAATGCAAATGCCGAATCTCTGAAAACCTCGCGACCGACTATATTGAGATCACTAAGGAATGTTCTAAAATCGGGATTCGTGAGCAGTAGAGAGCCGACAGTGCGCACACTTTGGTACGCAGCAGCAATATCGGCCTTGGCTTTGGTTTTCTTGGCCCTTGCGCTGAGATCTTCCACATCGATTGATATTCGGCTTTTTGTTAAGAACCAGATAAGATCTTGAAGTTGATCCTTGCCATTTTTATTCTGTAGAAGAGTAATGAATTGCTGTAGCCATAGCTTGGTGAGACGTATCAAACGGCGACCACTATCGGACAGGTCTGGGTTTTCGGGATTCAATACGTCACTTGCTAGAAGAGTACGTAAGTTGATAGTGGCTTGTTCGGTAGTTGGCATGTATCCTTTGGTCAGAGCCCTTAGCATCTGGTAGCTTTGAAGCTTCCGATACAGCTCCCGCTGTAGATGAGTGTCTTGCTCATATTGAGGGAGCAGTGGTTCTCGCTCGGGGTCATTGCTCTTCTTTCGTAAACCAAAGCAAGAGGACAACATTGTCGCTAGCTAACCTTGAGCAAATTGAGCATGCCTCTATGGAGAATTGACCTTCTTCTCCTGCTTATTCCTGGTGAAAATGATAATATGTTGTAATACATTTGGTAGTAGTAAGTGGTAGTAGTAGCTTTCGAAACGTTTAGTCTTGAAGCAATTAAATCTTGACGAATGAATGACGTCTACGTGGAGAAGAAGGACGAGTTTAAGCTGCCAGCTCAGGGATTAGAATTAGGTAATTGTAAGAAGTTAAACCGGACTTTCCCCGGTTATAATGCACGCCAAGACAAATATATCCTTTTTAGGTAATATATACGTACATTGTCGAGGCTAGCTCAAAGCTTATTTTTGATCCCTTTTTTCTTATTATGGAATCTTCATTTTCTCTCGTTTATAACTCCATACCCCTAACCTAGAGTTGTATTTCGGGCCGCTTTGCTACGTTAAAACAGAAATGTTAAAATCAACGCTTCCTGCCCAATATAGGAATGGTTTACGAGATGGTTGGATGGTTCAGGACTATTATCTGACCACCCCTGACCTTGTTAGAGATTCCAGATCGGACCGTGGGTAACGCAGAGCATCGTGGCAGTGCACTACGATTCCGCCAATCAACCTAATGCCTTTCATCCACGACTTCATATAACAGGATCTAGGTACCTAGGTATATCAAAGTCTGTCAAACGAGGTTTCCAGTGCGGCTGAGATACCTAGCCCACAACGACACGTAAGCCACCCAGCCCGTAGTATCGATGGGAATATCTTCAGGGAAGCGAGATGGTAGTACGCAATCCTGGTGGTAGCCGAGGTTCTAACTCTACATACAGACATCTTTTCTGCATGTCCAAGGGGCTGTCTACATCGACTTGCCGCGAATTAGATCATGATGTTGTTTATCTCACCTCGCAGTATCTATACAGAAGTTGTGACTACGCGCTCGTAGGCCCGCGGGGTCCGCTCGGCCGCCAACGGGTGCGATTATAGTCATCAAGTCAGAAGTGTATACGCCATTTGAATGCATGTCGTTAATAATCTATTCTAGATATAGCGTGCCTATGTCGGTGGCTTTCTATTTTAGTAGTTATGATAAGGAACAAAATATGCCCCCAAAACTCTAGAAGAATACCTCGACATTTGTAATATACAGAGTTACGTAGAAGAAGACTATCCACTCTGACGATAGGCTCGATAACGAAGAACTATCTCGACTAGGCAATTCGCTGACCCACAGCCTTACCTTGCATTCGCTTCTATGGCTACCCGCGACTATGACTAGACATACCTCTAATAAACTGGACTGACCTTTTTTTCTTTTAAGGCTGAGCCGCATAGGAAGTAGGTATCTAGGCTGATATAAACATTTGCGAAGTCCACACACTCGGAGTCCGCGGTCTTACCAATCCCGTACTGTAGTCTTTAACTAGCACGCTTCCATTCCACTGTGGGAAATGTCTTCACTCTTTACTATATATAACTTGCTTTCGTCGTAGAACTCTTTATATCTGTTTATCTTAGAGTGGTTACCTTGCTTATCCTTCATCGGCTTGAATCTGATATCCCTATTCGCAATGAGTAACCAAGCTGAGTCTGGCACCAACGCCGGCAACCTCACAAACGTCGCGATTTCCTTTAAGGACTGCACACCAGAGATATGTCCTTACGATCTATCTTTTTATGCGTACCGTATCGATCTAGCACCAAACGCAGTTTTCCTAGCACTGTTCGCCCTCTCCCTCATCGGCTTCCTTACCGTCTTCGCCATTACGCGGCGTGGCGGTAACTTTACTATTGCTATGGCCCTTGGCCTCATCTCCGAGATCATAGGTTACGCTGGCCGGATCATGAGCTGGCAGAACCAGTGGTCTGAAAACGGGTTCTTGATACAGATTTGCGTATGTGATACCCAACAGTCCCCCCTTTTCTCCCTTTGCTGGTCTTGTACCAAGAGAGACTCCTGATCGAGTTGACTAGGGAGCTGTTTACTACCTAAATCACTTGGCTTTCGTAAGGAGGCAATTACTGACTCGTATTGTTTAAGTGTCTAACCATAGCTCCAGCCTTCCTCGCTGCCGGCATCTACCTGTGTATCCGGAAGATTGTGTTCGCCTTCGGACCCGAGAACTCGCGAATCCCGCCTAAATACTACACTCGCATCGTACGTATCATATATTATTTCCCATTTAGTTTAAAGAAAGAGTCAAAAGGGGTAAACTCGTATAAAGTCGAAGTCCACTAACTCCAACCCATAGTTCATCCCCTGCGACATCGTCTCCCTAATCCTTCAAGCCGCTGGCGGTGGTCTCGCCTCCTCCGCTTTCCACACGGGACACTCCACAGATACCGGCGACAACATAATGATCGCCGGTCTCGCCTTCCAAGTCTTTACGCTCTTAGTATTCATGCTTCTATCCACCGATTTCCTAATCAACACTTTGCGTCGGCGCCGAACCCTCGGCTCGGCAGCACTAGACCAGGACCCAGAGCTAATCGCGATGCGCAACTCCTGGATGTTTAAGGCCTTCCCGCCCGCGCTAGCGCTAAGCACCATCTGTATCTTCTGGCGTAGCGTGTTCCGTGTTGCGGAGCTAAGTAACGGATGGTCGGGATCATTGATGGGCCGTCAGGACTTATTCATCGGCTTTGAGGGTGTGATGATCACTGTCGCTGTCTTAGTTCTGAATGTCTTCCATCCGAGCCTGTGCTTCGGCGAGATTATGGATCGGAAGTTTGAGGCTGGCGATAATGGTACCCGTAAAGAGATCCGCCAGAGCGAGTTTGAGATGCTACCCGAAACTAAGCCCAGTACTGCGACTAGTGTTACTGATGCTCCTGGGAGTAGTTTGAATACGAATGATATTGAGCGTGGAGCTTGAGTACGACTTAATTAGGTTGATTACGGCGTTTTGGGTACAAGAGCCAGTTGGATATACCTTTTCTTTGATACATCTAGAATTTAGATTCGAAAATGCCTTGAGTTGACTTTTATTATTTATGGAGGGCGATATGGACTTGCTATAGATAGGTACCTAGGTATTTTATAAGATAAGTGGACGAAATATAAAGATCATAAGTTCCCTCAGGGCTTATAGAAGAATAAAATAGCGGGAGAACAGTCACAAGCTCCTAAATAAAGATATAAAACATTCGAGTCAAGAGAAATGATGTATGCATTACTGAGCTATTCAGCTGTTTTCCTAGCATAAGCTGCAGATACTTCCCAAACATAGTTCCGCGAGTACTCGTGGCTATCCTCTGTGAGAGTATGGACTGCATCTAGATAAAAATAGTAAATGCAAGTGCTATCTTGCTCAACAGTCAGTCGACTCCAATTATTATGCTGTGAGCAGCCGCCCTGATCTTCTGCTTAAATTCTTCTGTTTCTTTCTTTCTTTCTTCCAATAGGCCAATTGTGTGGCCAAAAGTCCATCTCCTAAAGTTACTCTATCGGCATTCTTGTCTGGTAGATCTCACATTTCCAGCATTTCAGCCCCCGATCAAAAAGATCGTGGGCGTCGTAAAGCCTGTGAACAGGCGCCCAGCCCATAACGGTTGCTGGGTCCCTTATCACAAGGATAAATACTGCCATGAAACCTCTCATGGAGGCAAATAAGTAGGCTGAAATAGTCATGGAAGATCATGATCTGCCTAGCTAATGCAACACGACGAAGCGGAGAAAGGGGGATAAAGGATAAAGGGATAAGTATAAGTACGAAGTCTACGAGGGCTGATCGATTGTGCGTTGCTGCGTAAGTAAACTACGAGGTTGCTTAACTGCTGCCAGCATCGAGTGGCAAGACTTTGGACTTGTCCTCGAGGAATTCTTGTCTGTGCTTAACGATGGCTTTCGTAATGCGATCGAAGTCCTTAACTTTATTGGCCTTCAGTTCGTTAAGAACTTTCTTCAAGCCCTCAATGAATCTGTTTCTCGTTTCACCGGTGAACATATCGGCGGAGCCGAGTTGTGTGATGATCTCGGCATCTGAAACAAAGTACCATGAAGTCAGTTATCCAAAGGGGGGGATGCTTCGCAGACGGGATCGAGTGTTTAGGAATATCGATTCAAAAACTCACCAGGAAGCACCATGTTCTCAAAGTGCTGGAACTCGCAAGCATTACCATTGAGACACTGTTCTCCCGCTAGCACACGCGGGCATATTGGCCGCATGGGGTCAATCTTGGAACTATAAGTCATTGACTTCAGCCCACCCGCTACTTCATCGAAGTACTTGGGATGGAATCTATATGCACGGAAATATCCAAGAGGACTATGATAAGAAAGCAGGTCCTCTAGTTGGGCTGGCTTTTCAGACTCATCCTGGCTAGCAGTCAGTAAGGGGTGCTCATAAGAAGAGCTGTTCTGTACTTCTCCACTCGGGTTTTCGGGTGCGGACAAAGCCGATTCCTCGCCCGGTTGAACCGGGCCAGTCTCATGAAGTACTTCACGATTGAGTTGCTCGTCAGTGTATGGGGTAATTTGTTCTTGTGGTGCGAGTGTCTTTGTGCTGGTGTCCTGAGGTCCTAAGGGGTGGTCATGGGTAGGAGATGCCGGCATAGATTGTGGCCGGTAGGATCCATCGTTGCTTGGAGAAGGCTCTCGGGACGGTCGCTCGGAAACATCTTGCTTGAACAGATCCTGTCTATCAACCTGGACTTCTGAAACATCGGCTATTATGTTAGGGATAGCCCGGCTCTCTTCGGTCGATGCATCCGTGAAGTTATTCTGCGATACTCCATCTATGCTAGCCTCAGTATGAGATTCTCCATTGACTAGAGCAAGTCCTTGAGATAATTGGACAGCAGCAAGCTCATTATCAGTCAGAGAAACAGACTGAGATGGATCCAAATCAAGTTGTGCATCATTTGATTCAACTGGCTGGTCATGCTGAGTTATGTCTCCCTCGGTCATAGAAAGATCTGTCGTATCTTCGGAGTTTGGCTGCTGCTCACTAGGAGGCTGTGATTCAACGTGACCTAGTTCCGAAGTTGTGGTTGCTGTAGTTATATACGTGTTAGTATGTAACAACACAAGGAACGGCGAAACACTAAGTATCGCGATCAAACTCACCGGAGGGGACGAGTTGATTTGGCGTACTTATTTCGATAGGTATTGGCTCTGCAGGGACCGCCAACCGCTCCACTTCATCAGCTAGTTTGCGCCGTTGTTCCATACTCGCCTGAATTTCGAGCTCAAGCTGAGCTGCTTGGGCAACGGCTTCCCGTAATCTATCCTGCTTTTCTTTTAGGGTGGCCTCCACGGTTGGCAACTCATAGCTCACGATCCTATCGCGTCTCTTCACGTCGGCGGCTCCAACTCTTTTTTGTACCGGGGAAGGTTCCGAAAATTTAAGGGGTGTGGTAGATTCTACTACTGAAGGTTGGGTCTGAGGTGATTGAGGAGCATTCGTCTTTTTGGCAGCCTTCTTAGCTTCTGCTTCAGCAATTAATCGCTTCGTCTCCTCGATGCGTTTATGCAATAAATCTAGTTTGGCTCCGTGCACAGGTGGTGTTGGAGCCGTACTTGAGCTAGGACTTGAACGTTGTTTCCGGTTTTGAGAATCAGACAGCGGCGGGAACGCCGCGAGTGGAATTTGTCGAGGATTGATTATCTCACTAAACGAATTGGGCTCATCGGTAGGCGAAGCAATGTCCATTTCAACGTCCTCATCATCACTAACATCAATAATTAACGTTTCCTGAGTGCGGGTTCGCTTGAGCGCGCCGGTGGGGGTTGAATAATTATCAAAATCCGATGCTACCGGTCGTTTTAGGTTGCGGTTGCTTGACTGCGCTGGTTGAGTAGTTAGAAATAAACCTGGGATACCTCCATCCCTTGGTAAACTCTTTTCCGTAGACATAGAACGCCTATCTGCTTCTGGCACAGATATCGCGACCGTGGTAACATTCGTGGACGATTCTGTGTTATTTTTTGATAAAGAAATCGTGGGTGGGTTACTTGTGGGAAGAGATGGAGGCGTCATGGGTTTAGCTGTATTATCAGCAGCCAGCTTTTCGGCTAGGGCTTTCTCCTGCGCTTTCTTCAACTTGGCGAGCTTTTGGTGAAGAAGTGCGTTATTCTCGGCCCGTGTCTTTTGTTTTACCGGTGACGCACCCGTAGAAACTACAGCGCCTAAATTTGTCGAAGCTGGTTGAGATGGTGGTGTTGATGCAGGAGGTTGGACCGCTTTTGCGGTCTTCTGTGCCTTTGCCGCTAATTTCCGAGCAATTTTGTCTTTCCGTTCTTCGGCGGCAGTCTTTTTAGTAGGTTTTGTATCACTAGTGGTGCTGGTATCTACTGTAGTTTCGACTATTGTAGATGGCTTCGACTTTGACATAATTGGCGACTGAATTTTGGGGTTCTGTGACTCGGGTGCAGTCTGAGAAAGATTAGAGGGCGCAGCTGGAACCTGCAAGTCAATTGCGGTCTTTTGAGCTGTAGCAGGTTTTGGTATTGAAGCCTCTAGGCCCAAATCCGTGAACAAGCCTTTGATAACCTTCTCATCGAGTCCTTCCTCGATATAATCTTGATATCGGACCTTAAGGGGCCATAGGCCAAGGATAGCTTCCTGTGCCTTCTTTTTTGCTTCTGCTACAGAACGAATAGGACGGATTATGGGATCTTGTTTTTGTTTGGAAGCTGTTTCATTTGCCAATGGGGTTTCAACTGATGGCTGCTGTAAGTGTGTCATATTTATCCCTGGAAGAGATTGTACTTGATTCTGGGTGATTGGTGCTTCTGACAGCCGTTAGATACGATTAAAGAGAACCAGTATATACAGAGCAACTTACGCTTAATTCCCTGAGATACGGGCTTGCTCACTGACACCTTGCGCTGGATCTCTCTAGGAGACAAGTAGGGAGAGTACGAACCGGATCTCTCGCGTTCTTGGTAAGAAGGCTCCCAGTCCTCGTCCGGTGAATATGCTCGTTCGGCCGTAGGAAGCGACGTAGATGTGCTATTAATGACAGCTTCACCTCGAGGTGTTGTGCCATCATATATGGAAGACCCGTCGGCATCCCCAACGCTTCCATTTTGGTTTTCCATCACACTTGGGGGTCGAGGAGATGGAGGAGTTGGTATGGCGATATCAATATTATCTTTAGGCTCATATAGATCTTCAAATTCGCCTTCGCTAAGCTCTCCTTCTTCTGGTGTCTGCTTTTGTGTCTGGGGTGGTACAGGCATCTCTCGATTCTCTATAGGACTTTTCTGAAGGTTACCCTGCTTAGCCATAAAAACAGGGGATTTATCTCTAGCTTGCGTGGGAAGCTGATGTAATGCAGGTTGTGTCTGAGGTTGCCATATACTATTATTTTCAGATCGATATGGCATAGGTGGTAGAGAGCTACCCATTCCAAGGCCAGGTATATTGCTTGCATTGTATTGGAAGGAGTTATGAGCGGTTGCATAGTTGCCCGCAGTGGCGACTGGCTGTTGGAAAGCCCCGTAGTAAGGCGGTTGAGCATTTAGAGGAGGAAGTGACTGTTGGGCGAAGGGCGGGAGAGGTTGCGAATGAGGCTTCTGGCCCTGATACGGGCTGTACCTGTAAGGATGTTCTGCCATATTGAACCAGGTCGACGCGATGCATGAGGAAGCCCGTCCCTAAAGTGGAGCAGTAGTTCAATATATCAGCTGAGAATAATGGGGAGATCCAGGCAACGAATAGCCAGTCGCATGAGAGTCGCGTATAAAAGAAAATATTTGCAATGGTCAATTAGTCTTTGGGGATAAGAATAGATGAAGACGTCGGATGGAAGGTCTGATTGACATGGCAAGGGACATCGACGCGTCTCCTTCAAAGCGATAGATTGATCAGCGGCAAGAGATGATTGAATCTAAGGACGATGAAAAAGCCTAAGAGTCAAGGATTTCGGACCACCGAGATCAAAGACAATGTATTACCAAAACTTCTTTCAGTAAATGAGAAAGAATAGTTAGCTTCGGATTGTACTTGATTCGTACTACTTCGTAATGATGAGAAGTATTTGATGGATTTCAAATTATTGTTTGCCAGTTGATCGTAGGAAAATGGTCCAAGCGCTTCAATACCTAAATATTACCTAATCATTTTTAGGGTGAAAAGAAAACTACCTGAATGCGATCAGCAAAGGTACCTAGGTACCTTTGCACGAGGTGCCCAGTCGAATCCATACAGACGGTACTAGGTTAATCCGTCAACCGATATATCCCCACTTTAAAGTTAGATACCTGAGTACATAGGTAACTTCTTAAACCCCCACTACCTAATGTACCTATGGGTGGGCATCATGTAGGCTGGTAGGCCAGAGCAACCTGGTACCTTAAAGCCTTGTTTTAGCCAATCAAAAAATTGGGCAGCCAACACATTATGCATGGATATACGCTAATTTCTGCCAAGTCTAAGGCCTGTTTACTTCCCACACGCCCGTTGCCATGTGCTTCTGCATGTCAACAATTGACTTCCGTCATTTTGTAGCATCAATTATCTTAAGACAACACCCATTCAGAAGGAATTGTCTTTTTTGGGGGGGCAAGATACCTCTTTTCATTACTTTGGAGGCGTGGATTTTAAATTGGTTTCGTTCGTTCAATACCAGTAATTGTTTGTCTTCTATGGCATCGTGTCTTACGATACCAATCTCCGCAATTTATGTAGTAACGTTTAAGTAACGGCTACAAACGATAACTACAAGATTTCTTCCTGATGAAGTTGGAACTGAGCCAATGATATATTGGGATCCTTACTTTAACATTGGACGCTCCCAACATGTCGGTACGCAATAATCCTTTCGTTCGAAAGGCTTCACCCTCACCCTCGCCGTCGCCGGGTCCGAGCGGTGTGGGTAGACCAAAATCTGCTATATTCCCCTCCCAGTCGAATATCTTAACGAGAGTAGCAACACCACCTACACATAATCGCACACAGTCACAAGCATCGATAGCTGCTGCCAACCTCCTACCAGTTGGCACAAATGGCCCTCGGCCGCATCGAGTCGACTCGAAAAGCAGTGGCCCAAACTCAACAACATTCGCACCGTCGTTTATTAAAACAGAAGAGGACCGGCGGAGGAGCTTGGACCCTGTAAAAGGAATCGAGGGCGAAAATGACTTTTCCGGCAGGAGATATGTCTGGCTTAAGGATCCACAAGCTGCTTTCGTCAAGGGCTGGATAGTCGAGGAGCTTGGAGAGGGCCGTATATTGGTGCAATGTGACGATGGCAGCGTAAGTCTTGCTCTCCCGCGTAGTCGATGATAGTTGTACTGACTCAACTTGGTAGCAACGTGAGGTTGAAAGTGAAAGTGTGGATAAAGTCAACCCGGCCAAGTTTGACAAGGCGAACGATATGGCGGAGTTGACACACCTAAACGAAGCATCTGTTGTCCACAACCTTCACATGAGATACCAGACCGACTTGATATACACTTACTCAGGATTGTTCTTGGTTACAGTCAATCCATATTGTCCTCTACCAATATATACGAATGAATTCGTCAACAGGTATAAAGGCCGAAGCCGGGAAGATACCAAGCCACACATTTTCGCCATGGCTGATGAAGCGTTCCGTAACTTGGTCGAAGAAGGGGAAAATCAGAGTATATTGGTCACCGGTGAATCTGGTGCAGGAAAAACTGAAAATACAAAGAAAGTAATCCAATATCTTGCCGCGGTAGCTCACTCAGAATCTCCGGCAAAGGGTAGAGGACAGCATTCCACCCTCTCCCAGCAAATATTACGGGCTAATCCCATCCTCGAAGCTTTTGGCAATGCGCAAACTGTTCGAAATAACAACTCCTCTCGATTTGGCAAGTTTATTCGCATCGAGTTTACTCGGAATGGAGCGATTGCCGGTGCATTTATCGATTGGTATCTCTTGGAAAAGTCGAGAGTTGTTCGCGTCAATCCTCAAGAACGAAACTACCACATTTTCTACCAGCTATTAACTGGTGCCGATAGTCAAATGAAACGAGACTTCTTACTCGACGAATTTGAAGTACAAGATTTCGCTTACACCCGTGAGGGTCATGATACCATATCCGGCGTCTCTGATCTTGACGAATGGGAGTCGCTACTCGAAGCGTTCGATGTAATGGGATTTTCTGATAGTGAACAGAAATCCATTCTACGTACTGTTGCTGCGGTCTTGCACTTAGGCAATATCACTGTCGTCAAGGAAAGTCGTATGGCTGATCAAGCCCGTCTTGCGCCCGACGCTAAGGAGGTAGCAGCTAGAGTGTGTAAGCTTCTAGGGATCGCCTTAGAACCATTCCTACAAGGGCTGCTTCATCCCAAAGTCAAAGCAGGTCGCGAGTGGGTAGAGAAGGTTCAAACTCCTGAACAAGTACGACTCGGCATCGATGCCCTAGCGAAAGGCATATACGAACGGGGCTTTGGGGACCTTGTTACAAGCATTAACCGTCAGTTTGACCGAACTGGGCTCGGTATTGACGATTCACATTTTATTGGCGTACTTGATATTGCAGGATTCGAGATTTTCGAAGAGAATAGCTTCGAGCAACTCTGTATCAACTACACCAATGAAAAGCTACAACAGTTCTTCAATCATCACATGTTTGTCTTGGAACAGGAAGAGTACGCGAGAGAACAGATTGAGTGGCAATTCATTGACTTCGGCCGCGATTTGCAGCCTACCATTGACCTCATCGAATTGTCAAATCCTATTGGTATCTTCTCATGTCTTGACGAAGACAGCGTCATGCCAAAGGCCACAGACAAATCATTTACGGAAAAGCTTAACTCCCTGTGGGATAAGAAGTCTAACAAATATCGTCCGGCACGTCCTGGTGCTCGACAGGGGTTTATCTTAACTCATTACGCAGCTGAGGTTGAGTATTCAACTGAAGGTTGGTTAGAGAAGAATAAAGATCCCCTTAACGACAACGTGACGCGACTCTTAGCTGCTTCTGTAGACAAGCACATCGCCAATTTATTCCTAGATTGCGCCGACTCAGATGATGACAATACTACATCCCGAAGTAGGGTCAAAAAGGGATTATTCCGAACTGTCGCGCAAAGACATAAGGAGCAGCTAAGCAGCCTTATGTCCCAACTTAATTCTACTCATCCCCACTTTGTTCGTTGCATTCTCCCAAACCACAAGAAGCGACCTAAACAATTCAACGCATTACTCGTCCTTGATCAGTTGAGGTGCAATGGTGTCCTCGAGGGCATAAGAATAGCCCGAACCGGTTTCCCTAACCGACTCTCGTTCACAGAATTTCGACAACGATATGAGGTTCTCTGCAAAGATGTACTTAAAGGACACATGGATGGACAAGCAGTGGCAGCGCTAATGCTAGATAAGCTGGGGATAGACAGATCCCTTTTCCGTGTCGGTCTCACCAAGGTATTCTTCCGAGCTGGTGTGCTTGCCGTGCTAGAAGAGCAACGTGATGCCTTGATTACCGAGATAATGTCTCGTTTTCAGTCTGTTGCTCGCGGCTATATCAAACGTCGCTTGGCTTTCAAACGGCTATACCGCACGGAAGCTACTCGGGTGATCCAAAGGAATTTCAATGTCTATCTTGATCTCTGCGAGAATCCTTGGTGGCAACTTCTTATTAAGATGAAGCCATTATTAGGCACAACGCGCACGGCCATCGAAGTGAAAAGACGTGACGAGAAAATTCGACTGCTAAACGACAAAATGAAACAAGAAACTGAGAACCGCACTCGACTCGAAGAGGAAAGGCGCAACTGCCACGCAGAATTAATGCGAACGCAGCAGATCCTTGAAAGCGAGCGAGCGTTGGCCCTAGACAAGGAGGAGATATTCAAACGGTTACAGCTTCGCGAGTCCGAGCTCGAAGAAGAGCTCAAAGGTGCCATTGAAGATCAGGAGAAGCTCGAGAACCAACTCGACGATCTTCTCAGTGCGAAGAAGAGAGCTGAACAAGAGGTGGATAGATACAGAGCCCAACTTGAGCAAGCCGCTGCCCTCATAGCCCGGCTCGAGGAAGAAAAGTCAGAACTTGACGTTCGAGTTGTCAACCTTGAAGTAGAGATAGAGACTCTCTCTCGGAAGCAGGCGGATAGAAGTGCGCAGGAGGCTATCCTCGAGGATGAGGTCAAGATGCTTCAGAGCCAGCTGTCGTTGAAGGATCGCAAGCTAAGAGATGTCGAGGGAAAACTGCTCAAAACTGAGCAAGATGGAGACATCAAATTCGCTGCCACTCAAAAAGAGCTACAGTCTCTAAGATCACGAGAGCAACGTCTAACAAAGGAACATCGGGAAGCGCAGCAACAGCTATCCGAATTATCGAAGACCTCGACAGATTACGAAGAGCTTGTGAGGAAAAAGGAAAGCGAGCTTTCTATTCTTCGTTCAGATAACAAGAAGTTTCAGATGGAGCAACGTAATTTCGATGAGCAGAGAAAGACACTGGGATCCGAGAAAGAGAAGATGGCCGACCGTCTACGTGAGGTTCAGGCTGAAATGGTTGCTATGAAATCCCAGCATTCGCAGCTCCAGCGCGAAGCAGAAGATGCGAAACAATTACTTCAAGCAAGACTCTCCGAAGATGCACAAGCGAACCAGAATCGAGAAGTCTTAGAGTCACAGATCAAAGACTTAAAGGATGAGCTATACAAAGTTCAGATGGATTTAAGTCGGGAACGCCAATCACGAGATGACGTAGCCCTCCTTTCTGAGCATAAATATCAGGCCTTACAAGAAGAGCATGATCGACTCAAGGAATCAAAAATAACGATCGAGAAGGAGCTCTATCTTCAGCAAGACACTCTACGGCGAACCATGGAAGCCCGAGCAACTGCTGAAAAGGAACGCGATGATGCGCGCGATGAGATTCGGCGGCTACGAATAGCGAAGACTCAAGCAGAGGAAGCACGACTAAACGCGGAAGAGGCAGGTGAACGCAATGCCACTCGTGTAGCCCGGGAGCGAGAGGCTAGTCTACAGAAAGATCTTGATGCCACGCAAGAGCGGCTTACATGGTTCGAAGGCGAGTGTGAAAAGTTAAATCACGAAATAGAAGATCTTAATAAGTTTATGATCTCATCCGGAGAATACGGTCTCAAGAATGACCAGGCCAAGGAACGCTTAGAACGTGAACTGGTCACAGTTAAGGGACGTCTAACTGCCTCCGAGAACGATAATCGCGCTCTGCTCAACAAACTGCAGCAAAAGGGCCTTGAAATTGCGCGATCCACCTCGAGGGCCAGTGAGGCCTCGAGAGGACAGATTACAAGCCTGCAACGTGAAAAGGCAAGGATGGAGGAGCAGAATGCGGTACTTAACAAGCAACTCGGAGATGCATCATTGACTATAGCTGGCCTCGAGAAGAGGGTTGAGAAGTTGCAACTTAACGTGGAGGATCTCAACCACGAAGTTGCACGCGAAGTCAAGTCCAGCCGCAACGCCGAGAAAGCTTCATCCAACTATACGATTCAGCTTGCCGAGGCAAATCGAACAATAGAATCCGAGCGTCAGCTACGGACTCAGGCTCAGACTACTGTCCGCGCTATGCAAATGACTCTTGACTCCCGGGATAAGGAATTGGAAGAACTTCGAGCGCAAATGTTACGAATTTTGAAGGCTGTTGACCCAGAAGTCTCAATTCCAGCTCAGGGTGATGGAAGTCATGATAAAATCATGAGTCAAAACTTTGATATGCTTAGGAAGATTGAAGAATTGCAACAAAACCTCCGTATACAAACCGCTGCACGTACAAATGCGGACGCACAATTGACTGAGCTACGTGCAAATCGAGCAGAGTCACCAGTACGACCTAAACTGGAGGAGATGCACCCTAATGAGGCACCTTTCAACGGCTCTCCTACGCAGAAACGAAGTAAGCTGAACGGAAGGCGTAACTCGGTTCTTTCCACGCCTACTCGCCGCGTTGGTAACGAGAACGATGTGATTCCGGACTCTGGTAGATCAGACCGCACCGCCGATATTCTCAGCTTCAACAATAGGCAAGATCTGAAGACCGAGGTTGAAGAGTTGCAGAACCAACTTCAAATATCGCAGATGCAAAACCGTCACCTCCAAAGCCAGCTTGAGCGTGTCACGCCCACACCAGAGATGAACCTTGATAATAGCCCTTCAGCTCGCCGAATGAAGAAGCTAGAGAAAGCCAATAACCGACTGCATGATATGCTTGACGACTCTGCCAAAAAGGTTTCCCAGTTGGAAAAGTCGATTAGGAGTGGCGAGTTGTCCGTGCGAGACCTCCAAACCAAATCGCACGAAGAGATTCTCGACCTACTCAATAGTCAAGAAGACTCTAGGCGTGCACTTCTCCACAATCACAACGATGCTATTACTGAGCTAGCTGACGTCAAAGAGCATTTCGAGAAAATGAGGCACGAACGTGCAAGGTTAGAAGTTGAGCTTCGAGATACAAAATCAGATCTACAAGAAATGGCTGTTTCCCGAGAACAGGAAGCCTCTAACCGCAGCCAACTACTCCAAGAGTTTACCGATCTACAAATTCGCCTTGATGCTGAAAGCTCTCAGTTAGCAGATGTGACTTCGAGCCTCGAGATGTATAAGAGTCGTGCCGACGAATATTTCAGCAAGCTAGAGCAGGCCGAGATCGCTGTTCTGAAGGCGACGCGGGCAGAGCAGTTTGCTAAATCTCAGGCTAAAGAAGCAGAGGAGGCCTATGCTGAGATCATGTCACAGCGAAATAAATCAGATGGAAGCATGGAGGATGTACTGCGCCAGAACCAGCGTCTTGAGGAGAAGCTAGAAGATCTGTCCACAGACCTCGAGGCTGCTTTGCAGTCGAAGAAGCGTCTCCAGCACGAGCTGGAAGACTATAGAAGCCAGAGAGCCATTGATCTTGAGGACAAGGAATCACAGATGGAGCAAACTCGCAAGAAGTATCAAGCAGAATTTGCTACTCTTACTAAAGAACTTGACATAGCACGGGAGGAAAAACTCTTCAAGCAGTCCGAAATCATTCGATTACGCGAAGAACTTGACGATCTCCGCTCCAAGTGGGACGACGAAGTACTGAACAGCACGACATGGTCAAAAGAGAAGGCACGTCTTGAGAGTACGCTTGCTGACGTTGTTTCATCACGCGATGAAGCCGTTAGCGCCCATAACGAAGCCCAGAGCAAAGTTGTTTCACTCCTTTCTCAAGTCCGAACCCTTCGAAGCTCAGTGGATGACATAACCGCTGAGCGCGATACTTTAATAAGAGAGAAATCTAGCATCGAAGCAAGACTCAAAGAAGCTAAAGCCAATCTTGAAGATTTAGCTAACAGCGAGAGTCCAGCGATGCGTAATGCTGCTAATACAGACAAGGAAATTCTGGAACTAAAATCTAGCCTAGCCCAACGGGAAGACGTTGCTGCTGCTGCGGTAGAGAAGATGCGGCGGGCTGAGTCCCTCGCTACTGAAGTGCAAAAAGAAATTGCGGCCGAACGTGAGCTCAGCGCCGACCTATCTAAACAAAAGGCAGCCCTCGAGAAGAGCCTTAACGAAGTGCAAGTACGACTTGTCGATCTGGAAACTAAGGGATATTCAAGCGGCAGCCAGGATATCAAGTTTTTGCACAAGCGTATCCAGGAGGTTAGTACAACGCCAGACCCTGAACATGAGCCTCCCGGCAACGTGACAATATCACAATCTCCAACAAGACCCCTATCCTCTTTATTCCGCAAGCTTACAAAGCGTACCGCTAATACTCCACCAACATCATAGCTCGAATCGCAGCTCGAGACTCAAGAGAACGAGCGGTCGAAATCGCAACGTTCTGTCCGCAACGTAGATCGAATAGTAAAGGATCTGCAATCTCAGATAGAGCGTAAGGACAAACAAGCTGTGCAGCTCAACGACGACGTGTCACGACTACGTGACAGGGTAGAGAAGCTCCTCGTAACAGTCGATGAGCTCCAGGCTAGTGAGAGCGATATACAGCTGTCGGCGCGTCGAGCTGAACGGGAATTAAGAGAGGAGAAGGAGAAGACTCTACGGTTAGAACGTGAGTTAGAAGGATGGAAACATCTACGGATGGAAAAGGGAAGCGTTAACGGCAGCGTGCGGCTTAGTACGCCTGGCCTAGAAGGGACGCGACGGCTCAGCGCGTGGCGAAACGGAACCGGAACCGGTGGCGACGCGGACGAGACAGCCAGCCTTGGCGGAACCGGCATCGAGGTACCAAAGCGGACAACTAGTATCGGACGGAAGCCAAGCCTAACGAAGGGCTTTTTGTGAAGCATGGAAGATGGGGGGGGGGGGGGGGGGGGGGAGTTACAGGCAGCATTGTTAATGTATCAACGATTAAGTGGCGACTTATGTATTTTACGGAACTACGCTTGTACTAATCATGATAATGCATCGAAATGAGGGAAGGATGGGGGTGGATAAGATAATGTTAAGGCATTGAGCTGGTATTATTTCATGTAGCATGAATGAGTGGCTCTGATGGTAATGTGGATTGGTGGTCTAGCTGCTTTGCTACACAACACTGAAGCTTGCTACTGTTTATGTTTATCCCTCACCATAGGGCCGTGCTCCTCTATCTATACCTTCTTGCGAAGCATGGTATAGGAATGAATATAACCACACTATTATACATACAGTATCAAAGGTTACTATCAAGATAGATCCGAGACATACCATTAATTACCCGACCATGTAATACACAGCAGCACAGCAGGTAACCTTGTTCGCCCAAAAGTGCGACTTGTCTCATATAACCTGGGCGTACGCCGTCCTCGTCAGGAATCAATCATGAAATACCCTCTATGGGATTCCTCTCTCGTGGTTTGCTGGGAAGCAACGCTTGTCAAGCACGTATCCGGATACGTCGTGGTTAGTAGTACTATAACGGTGTTTAGCCTCATAATTAACTAGCTGGCTGTTTGTACGCTTGCACAAACGCGAGTTTATACTTACTTATAAAGTAGAAGATCACTGTCATGAGAAGATCCTGCGCTTCGGGGATTTCTAGAGTAGTATCTTGACCTAGAGCAAGGTAATATCATCTGCTACCTAGGTACCTAGTTAACTTAACCAGCCAGCCAACTTAGTTACACACGCTCAGCGTAAGACCTCTCCCCCTAAAGGGCTAATAACAATGGCGTTTTCTCACTTCCTAATGCTGGACCACATAGCCTACCAATGCCATGAAACATCCATCCACCAAACCGAAATGGGCAATATCCTCGGCTCCCAACGCGTCTTCTACGTCGGGTATGAGTACACCCGGAGCCCTGTGCGTGACTCCAGCGACGATACAAGTGACGACGTTGTCTATGCCCAGTATGGCTGGCGCCAGTTCTTCCGGGAATTATTTGGATTCCCACAAAGTGACGGTTCACAGGAATGGGACTCGTCGGGGGGGTGGGGAGGTAATGTGGTGGGGGTACAGAGGAGGAAGGGCTGTGTATGAGTGTTTTTCTCTCTTTAGTCGTTCATCTATCTACTTCTATTTTCTCTTCCCTCTCCTTCTCCTTTATTTCCCCCTTTCTCTTATGCGTACCCGGCACCCTCGCAGGGGAAAAGGGGGTAAAGGAGGGAAATAGGAAGACACAACCAACTATAAAAAGTAACCCTGACAAGCTTACCAGATAACCCGCGACCACTGGGCGCTCAAATTCAGGCCCGGAATCGATGCCTCGCAATTACCGCGACGGATTAAAGGGTTCCGGACAAAGATCCCGAGCCGGTGCAAGGAGAACTGCGGCTGAGTGATGCGTGCACATTGTTGGAGATCTTCGAGGGCGACCAATATCAATATTACCATCGTGGGATAACAATAAGGTTTCACCTTTCTAAGCTAGATAAATAGCCATGACTTAATGTAACATTTTGTTAGCCGTTCGAAGGAGGTTAGGAAGATCTACAATATAGTCCACGTGGACGGGGTCAAAAATTATTATCACAACTATGAATAATGTATAATAACCCATAGTGATAAGTGACCTAGCATCCCTACCTATATAATAAAAGGACATAAAAGCCAGGCTCTATTTAACTGTTGGTGTTATATAATAGAGTAAGATTAGTTACTATATAGGAATGTCATTATAATTCATACCTTTCATGCTGGTAATTCTGTCTACACTTAGTATACCTCGGTGATATATTTTATGAAAGAAATTGATTGATTATTCATATCTTCTGAGATGTTCACCTGAAGAGTGATCTACGGGTATAGTACAAGCAACCGTGATAGAAACAGTCAACCATTAAATGTAAGTGTCGAGAAAACCCCTGTCCTTCCTTGAACTCCTGCTTCTTCAATAAAGAAAAGATGCCGACAATAAGAACTCGCCGATGATAACAACTGAGTTGTGATAGTATCACCAAACTACGTCCTATATCCATCATATCGTCCATTATGGGCCCTGCGAATATCGCGATGTTGTTGCTTTCCATGATTTAGCCGTCGCCTGCTGTGTGCAAGTCCCTTGAACATTCTCTTACTATAGCTCAGCCTCTTTTTCGGGTCCTTCCTTTGGCTTCCTGAGTTGCTTCTTCTTTCTGTTCCCCCAAGGTTCCCACCCTTTCCAGGCCGGTTATGTAAGCGTCCCATCGGTTTGCAGATTCCAACCAATATTCTCTCATGAAAGACAGTCTCTGTTTTCTATAACCCTCTGCCCCAGTATGCTGAATAAAATGAAAACCCCCTTGAATGTCGAGAATATCGCGCAAGGTCGGCTTGTTTTTAACCTCATCTAAGCGGCTAGAGTCTGTTTCCTTTATTAGACCATTGTAGAACCTTATAATGGTATATACATTGTCAGGGGTAAGGATAGCAGAGATATCCTCCCAGACCTTGGCTTCGTACTTGTGCGAGACTTGGCACTGCACATCCGTTCCATTCCAACGAATATCGTGTATTCCGTAAATATAAGAAGTCAAGATACCATCTGCACTGTATCTTGGTATATTCTTAAGTATTTGGCCTTCTGAGTTAGGTAGTTGGCATTTACTCCTTGTCCGAGAAGAGATAGTACCAAAATAACTAGCAGCTCTATCTAGAGTTACTCGATCTTCGCCTAGAATATCGAGACCGCAGACTTCGCGCAGGGCTTTTTCTGTCGACCTAAAGTTATTCAACTGCTTAAACCATTCGGGTCTATCTGTACCAATGCGTTGCCTGCGGGTCGCCACTATAAAATACAATAGTTAGCAATGGCTTATATGATAGAGTGAGTCTGGTAAGATAATGCATTCTGGAAAACATTACTCTACTCTTTATGAAAAACTAAGTGATGGACAAGGGCTAAAACCAGATGCTAGCTTACATGCTCCGTCGATTTCCTTTATCAACTTATCAGTGGTCTCGTCCGGAGACTCAAGGACGAATCCCAGTCGGAAGCAAGGCAGATTCCGTATGGTGTGCAATCCGTCAGGATATTCCAAGACCCGGTTGAGATTCGTGCGCAACACGTCGGCGGCGACTGTGCCTGGAGGTAGATCGGATATTTCTTCAATGAAGGTAAACTCTTCGAGGCTGGTTTGACTAAGAATTACCAACGTGCCGTGGTCCAGAGGGTATGTAGGGCTGTCATGAAATATTCGCTTGCTTAGAAGCCAGCGGTCAAACCAATTATCCACCTTGAAGTCGACCCGACGGATTGCTTGACGACGAGACGGTATAATAGCCGCAAGATATTTACGAAGCCCGATCAATTCCGTAAAATAGAACTTGTTGACCTTGTAGAACGGCTGAAAGTGTTCAAGCTCAGCATATATGGCTCGGCATACGCGAGCAAGCGAAACAACAGCCGGCTGTTGTCGGCATAGGCGATTTTGCATAGTAGGCGCGGATATGCAGCATATGAACTTGTTTGAGCGGGACTCGAATTGCTTTGGTCGAATCTCTTCACTGACATATACCGTATATTCGTAAATCATGAGTCGGACCTTTAGAAGATGTAAGCAATATTATTAGTAATAGTTTACGACTGAGACAGAGAAACTAGACATACTTCTTTAGGGAGCATCGAGAAGAACTTAGAAGCGTCGTTCAGCTTGGTGAGACGGTAGTTGGGATGCTGCTCATCGCTGAGGTTAACAATGGCTCTTCTATAAGAATCCATAGTTGTCGGGCTAGATAGGCAGTCAATCGGTGGTTGACGGTGGTTGACGATGTATTGGTGAATGAATGATTTAAGTAAGAGAAAAGATTGGAGTCAAGAAAGATCGTCGCACTAACAATTTATGTCAAATTTATCCTCAACAGAAAACTTAGCAGTAAACTATGAAGTGGGAAGGTACCCGAGGTAGACTACCTATTGAAGGTACGAAACATAAGACGAGGGAAGGGACGATGCTCATACTAGCATTCACGTAGTAACTGCAATAATTAAACCTAGCGGTGTTGCCACCGTCGAATGTCAGGCAACTTGCATCTACAGTGCAAGTTACATACTTCGAAGGTAGGTGGCTTTTACAACGAAGGAAGGGACGGCAGGTGTGAACGATAAGGTTGGGTTTAATGGAGGCGCATTGAATTACCTCGGGAATTACCTAGGCAATTACCTTGGGTACTTGTGTCACTTATCAGAATCGGTTTGTCGTCAGTGCTCTAATATTTACCTGCGGGTAAGTACGAGGCGTATTGACGGAAACGGGTAGCAAGACTTTGAAATTGTGAATAGCGACATATCTTCTGGAGGAGACTCTGAGGCGAGTCATTATACTCCCATCCAACCCTTAGTTAATTGAAATAAACCAAGTCTATAGCAAGGAGAATTAGGGGCCACTTAAGACACGTAATAAACAGATCACTTTACGAGCAAGCACAATGATGAAGCTATCTTTCAAGAAAATATATAGTAAAGTTCAAGCTCAGCTATAATTTATCGGGGTATTACTATTACTACAAGTCCATCCGTGTTTTTATACACTCCACCACCCAAGCCGTACCACTTCTCCCAACTCGCCGTCATCGAGATACGGGAGAAGCTACTCCACCGAACCACCACGGTGTGACGGTATATCAGTTTAAATTAAAAGAAAACCCATCTTTTTTGCCAGGTTCCCAAAGATATGCAAGTTCGTTCGTAAGGATCGTAAGAATCTTATTTTGACGGCAGTGGCCATGTTGTACTGTACAGAGAAAGAAACTTGCCTACGGTGAGGCTACTACTAGTATTGTATTACTCGCATGCCTTATAGGGCAGCGGCGACGACCATACCGGCGAAGCCGAGAAGGCCCATACCGGCACCGACGTGGGCAGCGCCGGCGGTGAAGATCACCGAGCTGCTCGGGGCCGAGGTTGGGTAAACGACACCAGTGCCGGAGGGGGCAGCGGTGACCAGGGTCGAGGAGCCACCCAGAGTAGGGTAAGGGGCAGCACCAGTCGGGGCCGGAGTCTCGGCGGTAGGAGTAGCAACCGGGACGGTAGCGACGTAAGTGCCAGGGACGACAACAACACCGGTGGAGCTAGGGCCGTTGGTAGCGGTGCTGAAGACGATACCGGGGACGGTCAAGCTGGTGCTGATGGTCACAGTGCTGCTGGAGCTGGGGATAGTCTCACCAGCCTCGTTGGTGCAAGGAACAACAACAGTGGTGGCAACCTCGATGGTGGTGACAGCAGCAGGGGGAGCAGTAGGGGTAGCAGTGAGGATGGTGGTGATGGTATCAGCACCAGTGGCAATACCGGGGTTGCTGGGCACGAAAGGAGCGCAGATACCCTGGAAGTAGCTGATAGCCTCAGAGATGACCTCATCAGACTCGCCGTGGGCGTACAGGCAGGTGAAGATGTTCTTGACGAAGCTAGCGTCAGGGCAGTAGCAGGCAGAGTCGGTGTTATCCTTGCAGCCAACGCTGAACATCCAGGTGTTCAAGCAAGAGGGAACAACGTTAGGGCAAGGGAGAGTCTCAACCGGGCCGGCAGGGGTGCTGCTGCTGCTGGAAGCAGGGGAAGTACCAGAGGGGCCAGTAGGAGTCGACTCCACGGAGGACTCGGTGGGCTTGGCGGCAGACTCAGTAGGCTTGGTAGCGGGGGTAGAGACAGCCGGGGTAGAGACACCAATAGTCTCGGTAACAGGGCAGATGGTGGTAGAAAGGGGGACGGTAACGGTAACAACCGTGTTCGAGCCAGCAGGGCAGTTGGGAACAGAAGGACCACAGCTAGTGATGGTCTGGACCGAGGTAGTGAAAACAGTAGAAGTAGTCAAGTAGCTGGTAACAGAGAAAGAAGAGACATCAGCGGTAGAGCTGGTGGCCTCAGTAGCAGAGGTAGTGCTGTTGACAACGGGGTAAGGGAGGGTAGGCGCCGAAGTGCTGGCGCTTCCAGCGGGGACGCTGACGGTGGACGAAACACCAATGGGAATGCTAGTGGTGGCAGACGAGGAGCTAGTCGACTCGAAGACACTGGCAGAGCTGGAAGAGGCGACGACAGACGATTCAGACGCGCTGCTGCTTACAGCAACAGAGCTAGTAGAGAGGCTGCTAGCAGGGTACGAGGCGCTGCTACTTACGGCAACGGAGCTGCTGCTTACGACAGCAGAGCTGCTGGGGAGGCTGCTAGAGACGCTGCTGCTCACGACAACGGAGCTGCTGGAGGGAGTAGAGGGCTTAGGGGGTTTAGGGGCCTCGCAGTCGAAGTCGATGTGGTGGATGCCGAAGTCGCAAGAGTCCTTAGGCTTAGAAGGCTGCTTAGGGTAGACGACAGTGACGTCGGTAGCACCACCGCACTGGGTGTTCTCGACGACGGTACCGGAAGCCTTGCAAGAAGATCGGTGCTTGCAAGCAGATCCGTCGGGCATAGTGTAGTGGAACTCCAAGTCACAGTCGAACTCGGGGGAAACCTGGAACTTCTTGATGGAGGTCTTCTTGACACCCTTGCTGTTGTCACAGCTGATCTTGGGGCTCTTTCCCTTGTCCTGGTGAGCCTTGCCGGTAATGCACTTGCTCTGGAAAGTCCGGGCAGTCAGCTCATCCCGCTTGCCGAACTTCTCGCCGCAAGTGAAGCCGCTCCACTTGAATCCCTTGTATGCGTCGAATCCACCGAAGGGGAGGTCGGACCAGTCGATACCCTTTACGATGTCGGGGATACACACGTTGTCCGTGTTATCGGGGCAGCTGAATTGGGGGGCATTGTGAAATCCGAAGAAGCCCGTGGCCGTGACCTGGCTGATGCCAGCAGCCAGGGTAACAAGCGTGAATGAATACTTCATTTTGATTTAACTGTCCTGGATAGGTAGTGATTTGTGAAATTCTTATAAAGAATGTAGTTTTTCCTATAATTACTGTATAGCAAGAAAATGAAGGGCGGAAGTAGGAAAACGAATGACCTAAACTTCCAAATAAGAAAGAAGCGACAGTGATGTCTACCTTAAGGAAAAGAAAGTAGTGATAGAGAAGGAGTCTTTCTGGAGATAGATGAAGAAGAGATTCACCACCATATATACCAGATCTTAATGGGCAGCCGTGAGCCATTCGTTTGGAGAGGAGGTTAATAGAGTCGTGCGGGTAGAGGTCCAACCCTGCTTGACTGGGATCTAGGATTGGCTGGATTATTCCAAGCACCCATTCTGAGGCCTGTGGGCTCTTGTCCCCTGTTCCAGGATCGAGCAAGACCTAGCCCGCAGGGTGGTCTTTGACTAGGAGGAAGATTGCCCAAAGCGGCATGGCAGAGCTCTCATGGAGGTCGGAATGTCGAATGGACTCACGCTAGGGACCCGCGTGAAGTTGAAAAAGTCTTGGAACTCCACCTCAGTTAGACTAAGTTGAGAGCACAGAGCGCGCGGTTGCAAGCCAGGGTGTCTTAGATCCTGGTGTGGTATTTTCAGGGGTTTATCAAGGATCACCTACAATCTATCCGTTGTTCCTGGCCAGTCAAGTCGACCCCGACATGTCCTTTTTAGCCAATGGTAGCCCCTGTTTACAATGAATCTGGCCAAGAAACTGCCATAACATTCATGAATTCTTTTGTAAACCAGATACAGATGTCTACTCCCCTCTATCCGATTGCTACCATAAACAGGTAACTACTGCCGTTGGGGTTTGTTTGAGTAAGCCGCCAGAAATAAACTGGCTGACACAGGGTTTAGCAGTTGATTCTAAAATGGTGAAAAGAGGATGGCTGTCGTGTAACGAGAACGCCCTCTATCAGGCAGAAAGCAGTATAGCCCTAATACCCCATCGTCAGATACTGCCGGTTCCTAGATTGCATAGATGCATGACATTAGACACTTGCCAAAAGCAAAGCGAGACTGGCTCAGAATTTGAAGAACCCCTTACTATTAGAAGAGATACATAGTAACAGATGGTGGTTTGTTCAACTTGAAACGGGCACAGCCACTTTGCCTCTAACCTGAGGAACTGGTCCTAATGCAGGTACAAGAACTATCAATGAGTTGCATCTGCAAACTGTAAACTGCAGCCAAGGCCAAGGCCAAGGGTGGCAACGTGGGACCACCGATTCGATTACAGGTTTTTTTTATCGGACGCTCAGATCTGTTATAGTCCCTGCAACGATCGGTCTTTTTCTACCAATAATGCGTTAACCCCACCTATGATAATCCATCAGTCACTGTTAGGTAACAAGATCTACATTCGCCTCACTGAGCCTTACCTTTATTATCAAGTATAATGTTCGTTTTCTTTATTACCTTACTCAAATACTAAAATTGGCTGTTACAATGCTGCATGAATGTGACCTCGTACTGCTATAACAGGCCTCCATAAGATCTTTCTACTCAACGAAGTAAGCGTCATAGAAGAAAGTAGTTCGTCAAGCTATCAAAATAGGAGTCGGATAATACGAAAAGCAAAGAAGCATACTATGTAAAACAGCACCGGGGGCTAACGTAGTTAGGTAGTAAGGAGGTAGTTTCTGTTAGACTCGTTAAAGTCTTCCTGATCGGAAAAATAGCACGAAATAAGAACCTAACTACGAGATGTTCCGGCCAATTTTTGTGGCTAGAGCGACTAGAAGTCAGGAAGTCATATCCATGGATGTCAACTAAGCTTTAGCTTTATGGTTTGACAAGACAGGGCAATGACAGGGTAGTTAGTTTAACAGGGGGTTAAATCTAAGATCTTGGCACCTCCCTAAGAAGCGAGAACCAACACTGTTAACCCTTTTGTAGTTTAGCTCTCTGTACTCCGTTAGGAATTGTCGAGCCCTGCTTTATGTTTCACTCTCCAGCCAGTAACAACTTCCGACACCCGCCAGCGTTGAGCCCAAAGTCTCACCATTTTCTTTCTTGTCTGCTTTTCTCTACGCGATTTAACTACATAGTAATTAGTAGCTATGTTAGAGTTGAAAGGGCTAAATCTAAACCCGCTGAACTATTCTCCCTTTCTCCTAGATCTCTAATGTCCTCCGAGATTCCGAGCTAGCTCGATGATCTAGACAAGGAAAACCCTTGGCCGGTCGCTACATACCGAGAGCCGAGCTTCTATCCACCTTCATCTAGTTTCCCCTATTCGGACGACAGGTGGTCCACTACGGGGTAAATACGAGCCGCACGCATTACCTGAGACCTACCCTTGGCTGATGTGACGGTAGGTATTGGTCATACAGTATCGTCCCATCTTCGGCTTGAGAACCCTTCTCGGAAATCTCGTTGTTACAGATCATGTTAACTATTATTTACACAGCCACACACAGGTAACAAATAGTAAGGCTAGATCTTCGCGCTTAACAGAATGGCGTCAAAATAAGTGCCTATCAAAGGGTACTTTTGAAAAAGATTCTCAAGATATATCAATCAACAAAATACCAAAAAACATAGCCATATGAAATAGACTCTAAATTTCATTCTGATATAAGTTATATATACCTAGGTACCTTATATATATATATGCTCGAGGATTTTGCTGAGTTGTGTGGATAAGAAGAAAGTGAGCCTTTTGGTACGTTACCTAGTACTTACAAAATCGGCACTTTTTTGACGCTGTTCTATTTCATAGCAGTTAAGAGATGTCAAATTCCACAAATTATTATTTCCTTGACCTCCCGAAGCTAAGATAATTCTTGATAGGTCCAAGCACAATTTCCTATACGAGATAAAAACATGATTATTAGAACGGTTTATTCCGATAGACTGGTTAAACTTTCGGCTTCTTCATCTCGTTAAAGAGAAAGCTACAATGATGATGTATGTGATCATAACTGGGACTGTGCGTTCAATCTTTGAGATCAGTTTAAGCGACAACCTTGGAACCTAACAGGGATCGACAGGCACACATACCATTTTTGGAATAAGCTAACGCTATCGGTACCCATGGATGTTGGAATGTTGGACAGCATATCTACCGTCCAACCATTCTTTGGGGTCTGATCACCAATAGTTTCCTCGTGGTCGGAAATCAATTACCTAACAAATGCCATATATGGCTACGGATTAAGTCCTAAACTGAAAGAGTAACGCTTCTTTCACATTTCTTTAATGCTATATCAGGCTATTCATAGAAGAGTGAAATAAGAGGGCTTTCCGAAATCCAACTATGCAACGCACGGTTACATATTCTATATTAGCAGAGCTACCCGAACATTCAATCAATACAACATAACTACCTAACTATACAGAAGAACATAACACTTACATACTTAGCTTCAGGCCTAAGGATTTATCGAATGATAAAACCTAAGGAACCTAAGCTTAAGGGTCGAAGGAAGCGACTATTTCGAAGCGACCTTATGATAAACTACGCACGGAGCACCTCAGCTATAGTAGCTAAAAAACTAAGAGATGAAAGATTCTCTACGCGGATATTACTACGGCAAATAAGGGAAATTAAGCGGTACTTTGAAATATTCGGAACTTCGTCTATTAAGGAATCACTCTCTAAGCTACTAAACTGTCGAGCTCTAAAAAAGAGCCAAAACGTGCTGTCAGGCATTATTCAACTATTATTAGCTGCGAAGTGCTGCGATCAGCGCTATAAGCAAGCCTTCTGTTCCGGCCTCTCGGGCGTGTGCTGATCGCTATTATAACCCCTACTGTAAATCCGCGGGAGCTAAACGCTGACGACGAAAATCCTACAGGAACAAAACCTAATTGGTCCCTGCGAAGTAAATCAACGAAGATCGATCTGTGTCGAGATCCCTTTGATTAATTGTCGATTTGCACTCCACTATTTCAAGCCCCAGCTTCAGATTTACAACTCCAGCCAGATGGCCCAGAAGCCAAGTTCGTGGTAAAGACAAACGCAGGTGTGTCGGGAGGATTTCGTGCTTGGCGACGATTCTCCCAGTGCCGCTAGCATGGAGTTTTCATAATGCGAGCGGTATATTTACGAACGGCATATAATACCAAGGCCACCTCCAACAATATAGTCAATAGTCAAACAGAAACAGAAACAGAAACTAGAACACGGCATAGTTATTGATTAATCTGACTGATATTATTGACTGATGGCTGCATGAAGAAGACATGATTAACCCGAGCTATCCGTTACAATGGTTGAGATGAAGAGGAGGTGGCTATGTATCCGGGGATAAGCAACCTCAGAACGGTAAGTTAAAGCTACCTGATCCGGAGATATCTATCGTATGACGGATAACTGCAGGCATAACAGTAAGCCAAACGCATCTAGAATTTCACGTCTGGGATCAATTGTCAATTATCATATTATCATATGTTTGAGAACTTATCCATGGGTTATCTAAAAGGAACAAGTCGAGTTGGTGACGACGGCAAATGCGTATCTCCTGCCAAACCCGTCAAATATAAGGCTCGCAGGATGCACTATTATAATCCAACAGCTCTTCCCCCTTTCATCTACCTAGGTACCTAAGATATCCAAGAATGAGCTTGCTTATATCTTACTTACAGGTAAGCTACTTACATCAGGTAAGGTAAATAGATATCGTTGAAACTGTAGAGATCTTTCAGTCCGTCACTCGGGACCGAACCTGACTTCCAGGCATCTAATTTTGATAGCATCTTCCTTGACCTAGCACAAAATGTGCCGCGGTGTAAAAAGAGGCTTCCCAGTCGGGTTCTATTGAGCGCCCGGCATAGAGTTAGCGGCGCTTATGGGCGTTTCGCCACCACCCGTTCTATTCTAAAATGTCCTGTCTTAATTTCCACGGACCAGCAATAGATCTAGCTTAACGCTGTACTACTACACATACATGCATTAGGTACGAACAAACAACCGCCACGGGAGAAGAAGAGGCACGCTTCGGTACTCGGCGGTTGCGTTCACTTGACCTGGTTAG